ACTAAAATGACCAAACATGTGGCGAGTATGCATTGGCGCGGATAGATAAAAAGCCATCAGGTCATTGCACGCGTACATGAAAGGTGCACGAAAAGAAACAAATGTTCCACTTTTAGGAGAAAAATAGACTGGGTAATCAAGGAAACATAGCTTTTGTTCTGCAACAATACTGAATGCATAACAATCATAAAGCATATATTTAATTTCGAGAAAACTTTCATTGAACTAGCTTTTTTATTTATTAATTTTTTAATCGCCAAATAAAAATTTCGTTATAAACTTAAGATAAATACATAAATATGTATTTATATAAATACATATTATATACTTACATAATATATGTATTGTACTGTAATATATTTTTATAAGTTAATAAAATGTCATACCTACTCAAAACAGGCCAATGAAAAAAGAAAACTGGAATATTATAAATTTTATACACTGGTTCATGTACTCGACTGATATTGCATTGCGCGTAAAGGAATGCCATTACTATTCGAAAGTTCTTACTTTCAAATGAGGACTGGAAACCTTTGTAATTGAACAGGAATAATCGCAGAGGAAAAAATTGTGGAATAAATGACTTGAAAAGTGAGTTAATCTGAATCCAATCAAGTATAAATATTTACCTTGCAAAAGTATTGCGTATCTGCTTGCTGCAGTGACATACTGTTTAAATTGATCCTGGATTACTTTGTAAATGTCAAGCATAATTATTTCATGTGATTGTGGTATCATCGAATAAAATTTTAATAACCATAAGCACCACGTAAAATATCAATGCATTTGTTCAAGAATTTTTAACGCGTTGCACTGGCATTGCAATAATTAAGAACCTATAAAGGCGATATTGAAGCAAGGCTAAAATAATTATTTTTAGACTTATTTATAATTATTATTTGAGATATTTTCTGTAAAGTTATTTCAACTTTAAAAAAAAATATCAAATTCTTTTTAGAAAACTTAAATTCGCACTTAAATTTCGTTTTTTTGTGTACCTCGATGTTCAGTGTATGACGCAGTCTTTTTGCAAATATTTTTATTCAATGAACATGACGTATAGTTAACATTAAGGTCGCAACGAGATTTTCTACTGTAATAGGATATTGCTCGCTTGTGTATATATATATATTAATATTTCATACATCTCTTCATTTATTTTATGTATTGCACGAAAACAACTTTTGCGTATACTTCCAAACTGTAACAAACGGTTTTTTATAAATAAAATACCAGAACGAACCAATGATATTCCCTCCTCGAAAAGTTAAAAAACTTCTTCAATTACGAACATAGTCACACGTTTTGTACCGAGACGATAGTATTACCTACATGATATGAGCTTAAGTACTTATCACTTTCGATTTGGTTATAGACGCACATATCTAACATCTTACATAGATTCTAAATTCTATGTCAGATTCAAAATGATAATGTGAATGCTTCTAGAAATGAAAAATATTTTTATCAACTCTAGTTTTTAGCCGAGTATAATTTTGTGTCCCATTTTAGATTTTCAGAACCGCTTATAGATATATTATTTATGCAAGATCAATTGCATCTTTTTCGATCAGAGACACGATGTTGTGGTTGCACCATAGATGCAAAATCTCATGAAGATTTTCTACTGAATGAATTATTGACAATGCTGATGTATAAGCATAGAAAAATAACTCAAAAGAAAGCGTAGTAGATAAGAACGATTTGTTTGAATGTTTTTTTTTGCATTTTATCATTGAAAAAAAGCATTTTTTCCAAAAATAACTAACACCATCAAAAAGGTTAGAAAAAAATATATCAAAATCATATATTTGTTTATTTTTTTGCGAGTAATTTAATGCATTAATAAAGCAAGGAGAGTCGTAGCCAACAGAGTGGTCCACCGAAACGCTTGAGAACGGCTGACTTAGCGCTCTTTCCTCCTTCACCGCTCGAGAAAATCGAAAATACCCACTTTTTTTAAGACCAATTTAAAGTAAAATCACGACATTTTTCGATCTAGCTACTCACACAGTCGATTGGAGTTGAACTTAGAAGTTACAGCGTAATTTACCTTCAAGTTTTTTTTTTAGATTATGGAGGCACATTTTCCATTTTTGACCCCCCAGTAGAAAGCTGAGGTCAAACCCTATTGAAACCACTAATTGCTTTATTTTTCTAAATTTTATTTTACTTTTTGCAAGCGAGCTGAAAACTGAGCAATTATCGGGCCGTTTTGGTCACTCCCGCGAGATGCTGGGGCAAGAATGGTGTTTCGCCCATATAGGTTCCCAATCTGGATATCGCAGCGAGAGCCGAAGATAGGTGAGGTCAATTTAGCACACAACCTCCGATCGCCTCCCCGTACAGCATCTTCTTTTTTGAGATTACTTCCCTTCCTTATTATGTTTTTTGAATGACCAAGCTTCGAGCTTATACTGCGTGTAGAATGATCACGAGTGTACAAAATGGGAAATAAACGCGAGCGCGTACAGAAGATTTGAGCCCTTTGAAAATTCACTTCCAGCAGTTTCACTTGACTTTGACAATTTTCTAGACGTTATTAAATTCTCAGCTAGAGCTGCCACAAGCCTGCTCGATGCTCTTTGAACATCTCTAATACGCGCTAGTGCACGTACATACTTCTACATCTCCGTAGAAAGACGTATCGCATAGCAAAACTTTATTTAGATACGACACTTTTACAGTAAATACCTTTTTTCGAGAAAAAGAACGAATTACACTTCTTTGAAACTGTACGCCGCACATTGAAGGCAACTTTTTTGGAAGCTTTTGGAATGTTTTTAAGTATTTAAAAGGCTGTTTCTTCTTTTTCAAAGTTAAAAATACTCATTTGTTAATTCAGTAATCGAAAATTTCGAAATTTCAGTAAGCGAAAAATCGAAAGTAAGGAAACGATAAAAATAGTTCAAAATTATACCAATTATCTTTTTTTGTAGTAGAAAAAAGTCCTCAAAAATTCTAAAAAATTCTCACAAATATTAAATATTGGTATTTATATGATCAAATTGTATGAAAAAATTATTCATCACATGTTTTTATACTTTGCTATTTTTTCGTCTTGAAAACGAATGATTTTAGCAAAAAAATGCAAAGAATAAAAATGTCTTAGAATTAGTGATAGATCATGAGTGAATTTTTTTAAGACTTTTTGAAAAAAGTCAGGCATGAACTCTCATCTACAGTTTAGGTTTAGGAGCATCCCAAAAAAATTTATTTCTCACAAGTACCTTTCAAAATCTGAATTAGCAAATGGGAATTTTCAACTTTAGGAAATAAGGGACACTCCAGCCCTACTTTACGCAGCAAGTTTGCGAGCACGATTTAGCGCACATGAATGAATGTATGGACGGAAAATATATGCATTGCATGGGGAGTAGCGCAATTCAAAATAACAAAGATAACTCCGGCAGCTCCTCCGCGTTTCTATGATAAACTATAGAGCTTTTCGACAAAGTCAGATATAAATATAGGCGCGCTTATTATTTCATCCATTTTGGGCGTAAATAAAAATATGTCACGGTATAAAATTTAAATTATTGACTATGAAATTTTATTGTAATCCATTGTAGTGCGTAGCTACTGTCAAGCTGACGCGTGTGAATGTGGTTGACTCGATTTTATGACTCTAGCTCGCGAAATTTGCAAGTTTAGGCGCTTAGCAAATTTTACGATCTCATTGTCATTCTCCACCTTATTTTGTACATCATTCTTTATTAAAACTTTACTTATCTTTGCCACGAAGTGAATTTAAAAATCATTTCTACTAATTTATGGTGAAAAAGAAGCCTGTCATTTTCTACATCTTGACAGGCATAACTCATATTCGTATTCTCGGGAATGAAATTAAAATCGAAATTTTTTTAAACTTGGTGCTGGGAGTAAAATATTTTATTGAATATGATTATGAAATTCAAGTTAGGGTTACATTATTATATATCTCGAGTTAATGATTGACACGAGGAGAAATTTCGTTTTAAATTTTCTTCTCAAGCTAACATAACATCTGGAAAAGTTGTTCCCAATATGCTCATTGTATGAAAGCTTTCCCTATTTTATGCAAACATGAAATATTCCTGAGCATGTTATTGTGCATAAACATGTATATGCATATATTTATACGTAAATACCCTAGATTTTTCTTCTCCTTTTTCTCGCGTAATAACGTGCACTAGGAAGAGAGTACGCGCCCACCGACACGCGGTTATATAGCGCGTCGACTATTTTTTCAAAGTACCATTTCAAAGCTAATCGCTTTTCTCCATTTGCACGGCTGGCTGAGGTTTCAAAGAGAAACATTTTTAAGCAACGTTTCACGCATTTTCCTCGAGCTAACAAGAGTAGCAACCCTTTCCTTTTTTCCATTAAAAACCAAATGAAGAATGCTAAATAAAATAAAAATTTCGTTCGCTTTTGGCATACAACATTTCTGCTCTTTTAATTTCCAGCGTAGACTTTCTTTTGCTTTGCTCAGATGCATTTTTCTTGTGATTCATATTATGACTGGAAACTCAACTTTGTTCAGCACAATTTTATCAGTACAATTGAATCTTCTGTTTTTCAACGGCCATTCTATATACACAGTAACGACATTTTTTACAAGCCCCGTGTTAATCTGTCTTGCTCTGCTTTTAACAGTAGCACCTACTATTTCTTCATAGGTGCATAGCTTTTTTTACTTCTTTTCGAAAAGATTTAATGGAAAAGTGTGTGTAGAATGTCGATGCAAGGTTATAACCGATTATTTTATTTTTCAATATTTACTGCGTTACTTTTTTTAGCTAATTTGCAGATATAAATGATTTATAAATTTAAGAATGACTATACACCAAAAATAGACTGAATAAATGCAATTAAAATCGTTCGAATGTTTATTTCATAAAAACTTATTTGTGTTTATAATTTACTATGGAAACAAATCATATTTCGAATTGCTTACGTGTTTTCATAAAGGATATCCTGATGCGCAATTAACATCTCGTATCGTCGCGCATTGTAATTAACAATATAATGAAAATCTCGATTTTACGCGTTTCTTATAGTTTTCCAAATCCCCATTGTTATAATTATTATTATATCTGTTATGATTATCAATTAAAACATAATTGGATATTGCTTGCGTCAATAAAGCCATTCCAATGACGTATCCTGGAAACATAATATAATGAATAATGTTAAATAAAAGACGCAATATGATTTCACATTTACGTATACGTGTATTCATTATTTACAAATTAATTTAGTTTATTTATATATTTTTTTCATGTACAGTTTTCCTTTATTTTTATATTCAACAATTAAAAAATGGAAAATTTACTACGCTTATATGCACAACATTTTTGACACTCTTGTGTATGAACTATTTATCTATTTATGTGTTATATTATACATATACCATTCATGAGTTCGTTAGCGTTTGTATGTTTACATTTATATTATGTACATAACTATAGTGTAAACTAGCAACGTGTGTAATTCAATGAGTTGAAGCATCAGACATTAGACATAGTTCAAATAATACATCAGATGGTGACACCGGATTACTTTGATCGCGGCGACGTATCTACAATTACAGTGACGCAACGATCAAATTGTGCGTCAAAAGGGATGGGGCGAGTAAATGATAAGGTCGGGCTCAAATGGAATGAGAATAATAATAAGAAAGGAGAGAAATGGGAATATATACACATCAATTCTGGCTCACATACTCACCACACACAATCGCACACGTACACTTTCTCTCTCTCTCTCTCTCTCTCCTTCTCTCACCCTTACTATATGTTGCTGATATATATATGTATGAATAACGTGTTATATTTTGTATATATGTAGGTGTGTTTGAAAGGCGCCGGTAGTCCTGACGCTGCTCAGTCCAGTATTATTTGCAACTCTAAATTTAACGAGACGCATTTATAACACTCGAAGAACGTGTAAACAGTCTCTTAACTGGTTCTCCGTCTCTCTCTCTCTCTCTCTTTCTATCTTTCTCTCTCGCCCTGTATCTTGATGATGCACTTGTCTTCATATATCTTCAAGCGGGTAATAATGCTGATGATTCCCAACAAAGAGAAGCGGAACACCTGTAAAATAAAAACAGAAAAAGACGAGCGATGAAATAATGAGTTATGTCTGTGCGATAAGCGCGGGAATTTGTGCCGTCGCATGTCGCAGTTGACGCGGTTTTATAGAAATACAGGTAAAAGCTCGAGCTTTTCTGATTTAGACAAAGTGGTATTCCACGAAGCTTTGATATATTTCAATTAAATTATGATTGTCACTAGGTGAGGCTTTGCTTCATAAAAGCACGAAAAACAAGAGACTTGTCTTTTACGTTGAAAAAAATTTTTTAATTAAAATCTAAACGTTTGTAGCATGTCCGAGAGCTTGAAATTAACCTCTACAAAGTTTGCCTGTGTTTTGTAGATGAGAATAAGAGAAAAAGAGCGGGAAGCAAGGAATTCTCGCAATGCGCACACTTCACTTATTAAAAGGAGCGAGAAGATTTTACGATGCTTTGGACGTTCTTGTGGAGAGTAATCGAAAAAGTGCATAAAAAATTTTATGCTTATAACGCAATAGCTCTATATTTTTTATATCTTTCAAATTCAAACTTCAATTTTCGCGGGAACTTAATAAACAAGTCACTGCGCGCATGCGAACGAAAACTTCACGCTTATCATTTTTGCAGCGATCGTTTATATACCGCTCGTCAGAACAATGTTTATTTTTCAAAATTATTTGAAGGAAAATTTTTAAGAGCTTTTACCTAATAAACAGCGAGTTTGAAAACGCATAAATCTCACGGGTATTTTTTCTCTTTTCTGCTTTCCATTGTTACGTGGCGAAAATAAGCACCTGCAAAATTCAACGAGAGATATTTATCGGTCTACTTGAAAAACATTTCGACTGATTTCCGTTAAAAATTAAATTTTTTCTAGCTTCAAAAAAGGGGGAAAAAGCGTAGATTTTTAAGATGTACGCTAGCAATTTGAGGCTGGTATTGAGAATCGGTGAAAGAAAGAAGAATCGACAAATACGTTTCTATGCTGTTTTTACATTTTCTCGGTCTGGAATAGAAACCGAATAATGCTTTATACGTGACATGCTCTGTTCGATTTGGCTGAACTCACAGTTTCTCCGATAAATTGAAATCTATGCTCGTACGGCTTGGCTAGTACAGGAGCTAGGGAAATATACTACCGATTAAACGGCCAATAATCGCATAGTCAAGGCTTCACACCTGCGAATATCGTTGCGCGTCACGGAAACGGATGAGCAACTTCAGAAGCTGAATCGAGAAACGCACTTCACTCGCGTAATCCTATTTTGATGCTCAGTTGGAAAGAGAGTGAGCTGCATGCATAGGCTGACGTGAGATTTGAAAATGTCGCCTCACGTCATTTTCAGACAAATCTGCATTAAAGTGTACGATACGCCAGACAAGATACACGCCCAGATCTGCAAAGAAAAAAAGTGACTTGCTTGCTATATGATATTGCAATTGAATCTTACTTAATATCCTTGTCAGTTTACATATGAAAAATTGGGAGATGAGCATAACTCATTTAGCAGAATTAGAGCTGATGATTTCGCTGTAGCAGAGAACGCCGAGTTTAAGGTGGGGTAATTTTCGAACAAAAGAAATTTTTCAATTGAATAATGTACATTTATATTTGATGAGTTGGTGAAAACTTTAAAAATTCAATTCTTTATATCGATTATGCTTAATGTGATTGTTTGCAATACGTTATTATATAGTATTTTAATTTCCATAATTAAATTTTAACTCAATTAACAAAAACAAAATACTCGATTGGAATCATAAAAAGTGTTTCTATGAAATGCTTAGCTAGCTCGCATGAAATAATCGATACATTTCGTAAAAAGTATGGATCATATAATTTCTACCATGAAAATTTGAACAAAGCTTACTTCTTATCATTTTTCGAAAATTACGCTCCATTATTCCGGATAGTACACACTATGTACAAAAAATTTGAATAAATCCACTTCCGTGAGCTCGATGTACAAACGGAAGTTAAAGCCACTGTCCACGTGTTCGTGAAAGTAACGACTGGCCATATCTGTTTTCATTTCGCTTGTGTGTGGCGGCAGTTGCGGTTAAAGGTGCGATGCTTGTGAAAAAATAAGAAGCTAAGCAAGAGAAATAAATCAGGCTCTCGAGCGGGTCGAAAGTAGCATTGTCAAGATTTCTTTCTAATGATCATATAGAGAAGGATGGTTATCGCAACGAAATTGCAGGATTATCCCTGCAAAGCTTTTTTCATTAAGCTCAAGATAAAAAGGGACTGTATTTCTCCGGACACTTTCAAAATATAAAAAACCGAATGAACGCTGCCCCTCCACTGCTGCCGATACTACATGCAAAATCGAGCTTATAAACAAGGTTTTATGCGTGAAATGGAGTATACGATTTTTTTTGCCACGATTGAAACTATAAACGAGCTTCCCGTTGAAAATTGAATGTAATACGAAGCTCGAGCTTCTGCAACCCTCTTAAGACTAAGTATAATAAATACATGCCTGATTTTCCTCGTATTTTCCTCCTTCACACTAGAGACTCCGTATTCGTTTCCGGTAGGTGGAAAATCGACGTGACGACTGAACTATCCTATAAAATGTCGACAGAACTGCAGCCCCTCGTTGTCACCTTGGTCGTCGAAGCTATATTATTCAGGTTGTGTGATTCCGGGTCGTCTTTGCAATAGCGACACTTGACCGCCTTGAAGAAGACTTTACGAAAATTTTCACTGAGGAAGGCGTATAGAAAAGGATTGACGCAGCTGTTGGCGTAAGCAAGCACGTGACTGATTATTTGTATAACTATTGTTTCGGACGTCAAGGGGTAAGCCTTCACGGACTTTACCACTAAAATAATCTAAAAGCCAATAATGAGCGAAATTTGTTTATGGCGTGGATTGGAGATGAAGGTGTAACATTAAGATAGAACTCACCTGTATGGGGCACCAACAAACGGCGAACACACCAACGACGATGAGCACCAAGCTCGTGACGCGCTTACGGCCTCGGCGACTCTCGGCGCTGACTCGCGACACCTTGTAAAGCCGCACGAGCATAAGCACGTAGAGCACGGTGATAAGCATCAACGGCACGACGAAGCTCACCGTGAAAAAAGTTATCTGGAATGCAGGCCAGTCTTCCTCCGACAATATACTGCAAACCGTCGGTATAAACGAAGGCTTTGATTCCGCTGCTTCAAGTGGAGGTGCTGCGGCTACGGGGGGTGTTCTCGCCACCGCTTCTTCCTTCTCTTCGAACGGCAATTGACTCGAGCAGCGCTTCAACTCGGTTACGTTCAATTTTTCGTAAACTTCATGCTGAAAAATGTGACTTTTACAACGGGATTTATACACACGTGCACACGTATAAAACATCCTGTGTCAATATTTTTATGGATATGGTATATTTTGTGTGTACGTGACTCCGGATTCAGTGTGAAAGCTTTTAAAAGTAACACCTTTATCCATAAACAAACTCGTTGCTAAACCCGATGTACACAACAAGTGGAAAAAAAAACAACAAGATTTATGGAATGCTACTCCCACGCCACGCCGTCTGATATCGTAAAGATAAATGCTGACAGGCTACAGTAAAATCCATGTAAACTTGATGTAAAATTGAATTGCGTGATATTTCGCAACCGATGTTTCGCTGGAAAAGTATATACATTCGAAAAATGTAGCCCCGCAAGTGCTTTTATAAAAATACGTGCTCGTACGACGGCATTATTCAGGAAAATTTTTCCAATGCTCTAACAATTCGCTGATTTTCTTTCGTAAACTTTGTACCGATCTGAATCTCGGAGCAACTCTGAAACTGCGTCATGCGTTAGAAAAGCATTCACATAAACACAGACAAGCTGAAAAATGGCATTGCGAGCTTCAATTAAAAGTTACTAATTAAATTGAACCGGCGACGAATGGCGTGACACACGTGGCACGAGCTTTTATGATTTCGTACGATTTCCATCTCTATAGTCGCGAAATACGCGTACTATGCGTGCGCGCAGTTGAAATTTCTATTCGAGAATAACTTTGCTCTCTTGTTTCGTAACTCTCATCTACTGTATCTCGGCTCCGCGCAAAACTTCTATTTCCGTTTATATAAAACATGAAAAATATATTGGGCATAAAATGTTGGAATAAAGTATCCTCTCGACGCTCTTATCTCGTCGATTTGTTTTTTAAGAGACTCAGCTGGCATGTGCGTTTATTATTCAGTGGCGTTAAGCTAACGCGAGCGCGTTGGACACGTGTCGGGGCTGAGAAAAACTCTGCCTCGTGCGAGTAACTCGAGTCTCGAGTGGTGCCCGAGTTGGAAAAACAAAAATTTTCGCTGGCACTTTTCCAAGGCTTGCGCGTGTGTATATGTGTAAGTGGGTGCATGCGTGACACGACGTTATCGCAGATACAGCTCTCAGACTAACTCGCTCACCTCGCCGTGAATCATGAGCACCGGTATCGACACCGTCAGTATGAGAATCCAAAGTGCACCGATGGAAAAAGCCGCGTTCTTCGCCGTCCGCCAGGATATCGAGTTGACCGGATGCACGACTGCCAGATACCTGTGGGAGTAAGTAAGAAAAGAAAAACAGTAAGAAACGTCGAATGAAAGGGAAAATCCAATCGTATCTACCGAGTATACAATGTATGTTTAAACCATACTCTACGGATCTACATATCGTTACTTATTTTCCCCATTTCAGAGCAATATTACCATCTAAAAGTATACGTGCAAGCTCCTCGCTGCTGAAATTGCAGGCATATAAGTTTAAAAAGATATTCTTTCGTCTTGCTGCATGTAAATCGTTGTTTACTGCAAATATCGCGTGTCTATACGCTCTGCCGTTTTATATCGACTAGATGCAATTAATAAATATAAAGCACAACGTTGAGGTTGACGTAGAGCATACATTTTGACCTTCGCTAACGTGTGAAATTAACGAGTTACAGGCCAGAGCTTGAATGAGCACATGATCGATAATAAATGTATTGTATATAGATCAAGTCTGCCAAGCACAGGCTTGCCTTATCGAGTTTCGAATAAAATTTCGCAGCTTTCGTTACATAGCTACGCCGGGTTAGGGAATATACATTAACTCGATTCGAAATTATTTCTTATTGTGAATCACGTTTCTGCGCTGAAAAATGAGCTCAAAAGGTTTTTCAATCGAACGTTGAACGAAAATCGTTAGTACCATTCGAAAGTTGGAACAGTTCATAAAGCACGAGAGGTGCATAATCGATAGAATTTTTCTTACTCTCTGTACTTGGGAACTCGAAGCCGAAGCTATTATTCGCACGCCCGGAGGGAATACACTAAACACACGGCAAAAAGTAGTACCAACCAAGTTCCCTCTGCGCGCGCGACAATGCGGAACGGGCGCGACGAGTATGAAAGCGAAAAAAGCTTCTCGTGCTCTTTGATTTCCCGATCGTAATGAGCACACGCTGCGCTCGCGCGTCGTCGTCACCATTGCATCTCTGTCTTCTTCTCGCGTGTACGAGAGAGGTCCCTTGATAGTACACGAGTGTGGCGTCTTTTTACCCTTTTCATTTTGTCTACGAGTAATTCCTGCATGCAGACCTACCGTTTATATGCAAACAAAGACAGAAAACAAAAAGAAAATATAAGACTACACTCAGTTTTCTTGATTCTTAAGTCTTGGCTTTATTACTTTTTTCTGCGGTTTCTGTAATACAATATCAAGTATATTCTGCTAATTTCAGCAAATATTTTTGACAGAAACTATGCGATACAAATTTTTAAAGTGAATGCAATTTCTTAATTTATGCTCTGGGATTAATACAAATGAGTTATATAAACAGCTTCAATTAACAGAGATTAATTATTATTGGTTTTTAATTGATTCGAAGAAACGAATGAGAAAAATGCATTGATTCGCAGTAAAATTTCAAGCATCGGCAACGGCTGATACCGTAAATTACGATTAATTGCACTTGGCTGTTCTTTAATTATCATTGCTATTCATTATAATGAGGTAACAGAAAAATTTTTGTTTGTGCCATTTTTGTTTTTATTGATTGAATCTAATGAATCTAATGAAAAAATCTAAAAGATCAAATGAAAATATTTCACACGATTGAATTCTCGATATAGAAGGAATTTAATTTTCAAGGTAGTAAAAATTTATCGGTGGTTCTGATTTTTTGCACAAACAATAAGCAGTAAAGTTCACAAGCGAGCGAACCATTCAGAGTATCGGAATTTATACCTTCAATTTTGATAGTATATATCTCAGTAAAGTGTGGGATATTTTCTTGATACGAAACAATAATAATACGTGAAATTGTAACACAAATTAGTAATGCATTTTTAAAAAAGTGAGTCAAGATAATTCGTATCTTTTGCAAACTTAAATATATTCTCTAGTAAATAATGTCAATCTCGGTTAAATAAAACCCCGAATAGTATAAAGGAAAAACTCGCTCTTCGCGGTTGATGCGTCACGGAAAAATACCACGAATAGGAAAATCGCGAATACGGCAACATTGCTCTTATGGAATTTCACGGGTTGAGTATACATAATGCAAAAAAATTTTAATATGCCAGCTAAAATTATAATTTTCAACGATATTCATTAAATTTTCAATTTATTTACGAAAATAATCTAAAAGCCGAGATTTTTTTTACGTCTATACAAGCGTCTTTATACAACTCTCTATATGGTGCGATTATTTTTAAATTTAAACATCCAAATGATCAGCATCTTTTTTAATTTTTCTATGGACACTGGTCAGCTGATTTTATTCACCGTTGCATGTTGGCCAAGTTGCGTATCACTCGCCAGAATTTTTGCTTCACTATATCTTATGGATAAGATTGTTGATTTGTTTTTGTCGAAACATCGGGACACTTTACCGTACAGTATTATTTTCGTTCAATAAGTTTAAGATTTGCAATTTTTGAGAAATTGTTTTTACTTTTTAACTTCGTTTATTTATTTTGGGAGACTTATTCTCAATCGGAGTCATGTTACAAATATTCACCTTTTGAGACGAATGAAAAATTTAACATAAAAAGTTACCGTTTAAGCCCAGTGACTATAAACAATTGTATTTATTATATCTTTATCAACGAAATTATAAAATGTAAGTAAATATCAAAATGTTTGGCCTTTAGCTCCAGTTAAAACCGTGAATATCGAGTTTTTACATTCGCGTACACTGAGGGATTGTCGGAAAAACTGCGAATAGCGAGGTTCTCCTGTACAATGCAACAAGTACGTGAAGCAGATAACCCTCACTACGCTTTAGTGCATAAGCTTTTGGATAAGGCATGTTCCTCGTGCACTAGTTGCATACAATATATTTAATATTTGGCACTCCAGTCTAAAGTTTTACTTCCGAACCAAACCTAAATATTATTTTAGACCTTTCAGATTGAAACCTTTATGGTTGGAAAATCCAAGTTTCGAGCACAGAGTATGAAAAGTTCTTTTGAGTTCTCTTTACGCTTGGGCACAAAAACTTCTGAAAAAGTCATCTGCCTCACACACTTATTACATAATATACTTTTCTTTCAACGTCCATTTCTACATTTTCAGATTGATATGATTGAACACATAATTTAATCAGAAATCTATTCCACTGAACCCATTAAGTCCGGGACGGACACATTTTTGATACTTTTTTGAACCATTGTACTTTTGCTAAAAATAGGGTCATTACTTACTAGTAAGCATATCCTACACAAAATTTAATAGCAGATTTTTGATATAACAAATAGGTCAAAAGTTATGGATGGTTTTATCCAAAAAAAAACGTGATTTCGAAAAAAAAATTTTCTTCTTTTCGAATTTTCACATGAAAATTTTTTAAATCCTGGCGTCTTCGGTACAAATAAAGCGTCCATGGGTCCTTTTCTTCAATTTATGACGATTCCGATTAGTGAAATATGATTTTAAGTACAAAAAATAGCAACTGGAAAACGAAAATATATAAGGAAATTTTTGGAATTTTTAACTCAAAAACGATGGATTCTTAGAATTTATCAAAGGAACTCATTCATCAGTAAATTTTTTTCCTCTAATCATTTCCATTAAAATCCGCTCAAGAATTTTTTTTAAAGTCGCTCAAAACTGATCTCAGGATTTTTTGAATATTGGCATTAAGGATGAATTTTGGAAAATTTACTAATTTTTGACATATTCTTTAAAATCATGCTCCGCATTAAATGTGACATATTTTTCAGACCAAAATAAATAAGCTCTGGTTTTGATATCATTTATTAATTAAATGCCTTATTAACCATCTGTGTTGATGAAAGTGGTAGTTTTTTGAAAAACAGACCGCAATCACGACGAGCTCGAATTTTACGCGTTTGAAGTACTCATATGTTAAAATAAAGAAACTGAGCGCTAGGCCAATGATTATCTCATAAAGACCTTGAATTTTAAAAGTACTCCCCTAATTAATACGTATTTGTTTTACTAAATCGCAAAGAAAAAAATATTTTCTTTGCTGCAAAAATTATTTGCAGAGAATAATTTCCAAATTGATTATGAATACAAAAAACTAATTATTAAGTAAGTCGCCATTAGTTATAGAGTTTTTTTCATTGATTCCCATTGAGGATCGCTTGATTTTGAGTATTGAGGGAATTCCTGCAAATTAAGATTTCTTAAAATGTAATTTCTAACTTTTTGATCATGATGCATTCAAAGTAAAGAAATTTTTTACCACAATTGTTAGTCTTGTGAGAAACAACAAAAAAATTCTTTGGCTAAAACTTCTGAGCATTTAAAAAAATAAAAAATTAAAAATGTGTGCAGAAATTTCTATAGATTACTGATGAGCGAATTATATTTTACATATATGTATATTTACTAGAATAATGTAGTCTTTTTCAGGGAAATCTTTTTTTGGCGGCTAGTATATTACTGCTCTAGACCGCAAAAAGCAGAAAACCCCCTAACGGCCAAGGTGAAGCCCTGGTCAATAAACATGTGTTCCGAAGTTTTTTCCCACGTCTAAGGCCAGTATACTTTTTTCCATATTCATAAGGAGATCCTTTTATCTCCGGGTCCTCAAATGTCCTGAAAATTTGTGTGTGGTCTTCTGGTACCTAATGATAAAGCCCCTCACAATTAGTTTCATCCAATGGGTCTTTTAACAACATTTTCAAGCATCATGAAGTTGTATTAAAAACATCATTATAATTAAAAATGTTGTAAAGGGTCCATTAGATCAAACGAACTATAGGGGGCTTCATCATTAGGTACAAAGAGACTACACAAACATTTTAAGGATATTTGGTGATCGGGAGATGAAAGGCCCTCCTTGTCAGTTAACCAAAAACAGTTTCTATCCCACTTTGCTCAGTATCAGAAGAATTTTCAGTTTTCCCACTCTTACCTGAAATATGAAACTTTACCGCTTATTTCAGGCCTACAACTCGCCTTCGGCTCGTGCTATAATCAATCACTCGTATTGCTAAAAAATCATTGTCGCACTCATTGAGAAATATACTATTTTGGGACGCTGATATAAAAAACGGGTTACCGACATAATCTCCGCGACAAAATCTCCGGTGACAAAATCTCTGGTGACAAAATCTCTGGTGACAAAATCTCCGGAGACAAAAAATCACAAAATAACCCAAAATAACCCGAAATAACCCAAAATAACCCAGAAAAGTAATAAAATAATATTGATAGATACCTAAAAAACATGAAAAAATTTTGAAAAATGTGGCGGAGATTTTGTCGCGAAGATTTAGTCGCGCAAAGATTTTGTCGCGGAAATTCTGTCTCCGGAGATTTTGTCGCGCTCCCATAAAAAACACATTTGATTATTTTTTACACTGTTTAATAATTAATTATAATGCGCGTAAAACTTACACCGTTCTTATCGAATAAATTAAGGAAAAAATTACGATTATAATCGAAAAAAACATTAATTTGTGTTAAAATACTATTGCGAGAATTAATATATTTCCATTGTAGTAATATTATTGTTTTTGATTCAATTTATATTGGTTTTTTCTTAATTTCGTTTGACTATCCTTAGTCACATGAATTTTACAAAATTGAAGTTTCGAGGAAATCAACGATAAAAGCTCAAAACTTTATTGCCAAGATGAAATATCTTGTATGTTTTTTTGCTTACAAGCGGCTGGGACAAAAAGTTTTTGCATTAAAAATCAATATTCAATATTTAATTGCATGTTAGAATAAGGTATATGCAGCAATTAAACAGTCCCTGTAAGTATTACTTATTGCTGCACAACATAAAAGATAAATGTGCACAACTACTGAACAAAAGACTATGGAAAATATTACGGTAAGAGCAAGGTAAAAAAGAAAGGAAAGGAGCCAAAAAACGGCGCGAAAATTTAAGAGCATCTAATTATTCGACAACGACTCTATTGGTTTTTAACTTTATTAATAATGGTCGTCGTTGTCGTTCTGTTCACGGCGGGTATATTAAACCGAGGCTTAAGACCAGAAGCATGAGTGCTTACCTGTCGATGCTCATGAGCACGAGCGTGTAAACGCTGGCTGCAGCTGTGACTATTATGATGTACTGCACACACTTGCACCAGACGTTACCAAACGGCCAGTAGGGCATGACAAAGTCTGTCGCGGTAAAGGGGATGCAGAATATCACGAAGAGCAGATCAGCCACGGCTAAATTTATAATGAGTATGTTGGTGGTCGAGTGCATAATCGGATTGGCCGATATGAGCACTATGACCGTCGTATTGCCAAGGAAACCGAGGATGCCTATGAGGCCAAATATTATTGGCACGATGATGGACACGACATTTTGAATGATGGCAAAGTCTTCTTCGTCGATATCGTCCAGCTGGGAATTGGCCGTATCCTCCGGGAAGCAGCCGTTACTACTGTTGATGCTCAGTGCCAGAGCAGTTGTGGCAGCCGTCGTCAAATTCATCACGGACTTTTGTGGTTTTATACAAAAGGAAGCTGAAATGATGGCGATGGCAGCTACTTATTCTGAAGTCGCTGTTGTTAACAAATTGACTCAAGGCCTGTCCAAAGCTGAGACAGGGCTGCAAGCATAATATAAACTACGACAATTTTAGGAGCTCTCACACTTATTTCCTGACCCTATCCAGCTCTGTTTAAGTGTAATTGTGATTTTGAGTTTTTTATAATACGTAAAAAGTGCTGTTGGAATGTTCAAGACATGTTATTAAACTTTGTAATAGGAAAAAAATGAATATCTGCCTTTTTTTCTTTTACTATTGGCATACTACAACGCGACAGCTAAGGCTCGCAGCAATATAAGGTAGACTCTATATATTCATCGAGGCGCTGTATTATGTCGAGAGAGAGAGAGAGAGAGAATATCTTGACCTAAGCCAAGGCAAAATTTTATTTACATCGCGAAAGCGGCAGTGCTCGGGTATAATGAGAAATTGTTTACATCGAAACTTCCGAAGCTGTTGCTGCTACTGCTAAACACGTATAAATCCAAAGTATACTTATTGTAAAGTATGTATCGTTCTTTTTTAATATTTCAGATATTGAAGCACGTAATCTATTTGTTCGATCTTCAATAAAAATAAGGACCGTAGCTACGAGCTTGTGTTTAATCGGTAAATAAATGTAAATGTATTTTTCAGCAAGAGCCGATATGCAGTTCGTCAGAGCTTTTTGGCTCCAGGCAAAGGTGCCAAACAAATGAATAGTCACGGTTCACGTGAAAAAAGAGACGACAGAGAAAAGCGAATTAAAATTTTTTAGCTTTCGAAGTAGGCCACTGTCTCAAATGTCAAAATACTCAGAGTGCAACCGAGCGTAGACGCCTTTTGGAATATTATTTTTTAATGAATAAATTTAAACGAAGCAACCTAACAAATTTTTTGAATAATTGCTTTTTATATTCAACAGAACACAAATAGTTCGAGCTTTAAAACATTTAATATAATATATTCGAGCTTTTTTACAAATTATTTTCTTTGAGCTTTCAAATCAAAAAATAGATTGAATTTCGGTATGTTTCATTTTCTAAATTTATGCAGATTAAAAAAATTCACGACTTGTATAAGACACAGTTAGCCCCGAACATTTTCAAAGCTCGGCATTCGAAAAAAAGTGATTTTCCTACCGCGGGAAACGCACATATTACTTTTAAACTCGATTACTCTAAAACTAATCGCTCGAGAGCACGCGAGTGACAAATAATATTTATTTTAGGCCTCATAAATATCGTGATGCGCGTTTTAATTTTACTGAAGCAGCTCACAGTTGATTATTCCAGCAACACCTCATACATTAGAATAATGACGAGTGAGATGTGCGACGTAAAAAGAAAAGTGTGTATTTTTATGTTGCGTTACTTGTGTGCCAGGCTGATTTTGCCGATTTGGTGGTTCTGTGACGTTGATTGACATTGAAATAAAATCTTGAACATTTACCCAGCCCTGTCTCATGACCAATCGGTCGAATTTTCGTACACGAATTGCGGCACTAATATCATGGTTAACTAGCCATTATCTTGCAGGCTGCTTGTTTGACACACTGCTTATAATAATTGTATTGCACATTAACTCAATGATCGATGGAAATAACTTATACTGCATTTCTTTAAATATTTGCACTAATAATTGAAAAAAACACTCCAAATGTCAGCTGTTTTTACATCGAATTACCAAAATAACATGAGATTAAACGAAGAACACGTTTTTTCTTTGAATCTGAACATCATTTATATTGCGTTTTACCGGAGAAAATTGAAAGCGGTTTTCACTTAAGATGAATTTGCCGCATGTGTCTAGCCGCGCATAAGAACTCTAACTGACGAGACGACCGCTCGAGCACCCGGTTGAATTTTCATCGCCTAAAATGTACCCGCGTAGTCTGCCGACGCCTGCGCAGAGCTTAGATCGAGGCGTGTTTGAAATTCCTTTAAGTGAGCACGAAGCTCGACCGACGGGTGGTAGGTGAGCTTGCAGACATATCATACGTTAATATATTAAATGTTTTCTTAAGCCGAAGAGGATACTTAGTCGGGGTGATATTTTTTCAATATATTAGTGTCGTTTTATTCTTACTTTTTTATTTTCTTGTATTATTCTATCAACAATTTTTTATTTGAACTGTGCAGAAATTATACATTACTCGTTTATCAATGATCGCGTTGTATCAAAATTTCACGTCTTCAATTAAAATTATGTCATGGAATAAAACTTCTGCAATAAACCCTCTGCCATTCAATGATTAGCTCCTCGCCACTTTGTCTACGATGGCTTGTGTAAGGATCTGTTTGGCAAAATTTTTAGCAAAATTCGTCAACTGAGAACTAAAGCTTGGTTTTTTCGTTGTAGTTGGCTCGGTGGCATACGGATTGTATCCTCCTTGATAAGGATAGTTGCCTTGAGGTGGTGGTGGATAGTTAGGATTGTAAGCCCCTTGATATGGCGGTTGTCCTTGAGGTGGCGATGGATAATTTGCATAAGGATTTTGGTAACCTGGATAGCCTTGATTGGGTGATGGGTAGCCAACCATACCCGGATTGTTAGGTACATTACCAGCCGTGTTCAAAGGAGAGCTAGCCTTGTTATTATCGCCGTATCCAGGGTAACCGGAGCTCGACGATGGATAACTAGGATATCCTGAACCTGCCGAGGGATAGGCCGGGTATCCAGTGCCGCTCGTAGGGTTACCCGAGGGTACTGAGGCTTTTGGATAGTCAGGATAACCAGAACCGGCCGATGGTGCGGAGGGTTTAGGATAATCGGGATAACCAGAACCGGCCGATGGTGCGGAGGGCTTTGGAAGCTCGGGATATCCGACACCGCTTGACGGAGCCTTAGGATAATCGGGATAAGAGGCCGACGGTGGTTTTGAAGATGTCTGATCGGGATAAATTATTCCTCCTGGATAACCGCTGTTGTTTCCGCTCTCGATAGGCTTTTGAGACTCCTCCTCGCGTCTATTCATATCTTTGTTCTCTGTATTTTCATTCTCTGAAAACATTCCATCACCTATTTGTGATCAATTAGTTAAAAAGTAAGCTGGGTCAACTTCAGACCCCGCATGCGTGTTAATTTTATCTCCGTTTTTAAAGTAATTACTTGTGTAATATTAGTTGAAAATTTAGTAATTATAGAAAGAAAATAGCGCATCACTACTCGCATAAAATATCTGAATGATTTCTAAAGTTACTTTTCAAATAAATGAATGAATGTGATGAAGTTGTTCATCAAAAGGTTGAAAGATATAACCTTACAATTTTTAGATTTTTTCAAATGGTATTCTAAAGTAGAGAGCTTAAAAATGACAAATTTTAATGAGACCCTCCCTCCTTGCCTCAAATAATATTTTGATTTTGTTCATTGAAAGCAAAATGTTACTTTATGATTATTTTTTGGTTGGGGTGGCACAATATTAGATAACTAAAAGCGAAAAACAGAAAAATCTCAAGGCATGAATAATTAGTGGCCGAGGCCGATAAATACGCGCACTGCGGCTTTCTTTTTTCTCGGTCTAGGCCGGTATGTTAATTTTTGTGTTCCAAATAAAAAGATTTCGAGTAAAATGAAAAAGGAAAAGACATGATTTTCGTCTTTGCAATTTTTGAAAATTTCATTATTTGTTTTTATGTATTATCAGTTTATATATTACTCCATCAGTATATTAGATTATATATTATTTTCATAGGAATTGTTTTAGAAACGCATCGCAATCTTGAATGCAGGTGTTGAGTGATATGAGCAGGATGGATTGGGTTTTAGCATGACCTTATCATTCATGAAGATTTTGTTGAATAAAAGTCAAAAATACTTATAAAATTTATTTTCGTAATAAACGAATACAAAATTGATTAAACTATAGATATAACTTTGATCAATAATATGGCACGAAAGTTAATAAAAGCGTCTAATTAGATAAAAAATATCTTTTTAGAGTATTTGAGTACAAACATTGGTTAAGTAAAAATGTGTACTATCCCGTTGCAGCGAAGCGGAAAAAATAAGTACATCAAGGTCAATCGTATCCTTAAAAAGAATTCATGATTTCTGGTGAAACAGAATGAATAGAATTATCCAGAGAAGGTCCAGACTTTGTTGCCTTTGGAGTCGGTAGACTCATGAGTCTTGTAGTTGTCCTGGCCCCCCGGATAATAATTGGAGGTTGGCCGGCTAGTGGGCCGGCTCGTCGCAGGTCCTGACGGTTTGTTGGGATAGCTGTCGCCAAAAAGTCTCTGCCAGAGAGAGCCGTTTCCGATGGTATTTCGTCCACCAGAGTATCCCGTACGATCACCGAAGGGTGAATTATCGCGTGGGGGTGGAGTGGGAGGCCTCCGAGGCGGTGGAGTTGGGGGTCTGCGTGGCGGTGCCGTCGGCGGCGTGACAACCGGTCTCTGCGTCACTTGTGGTCTCACGTAACCTGGTGGCCTTCGCGCCGCTGGAGCTGTGCACAGTCGGTTTTGTTTACGTGTTTTTTTGTTTGTTTTACTGTCTTGTTACTGAATATTTTTTTCTTGTCAATGAATCTGAAGCTTTGTCTTAAAAATTCTGCAGTGAAAACTCCGAAGCCGTCAGTTATTTGCGAATATTAATCTTGACTTAAAAAATCAATGTTGCCAAGAAATAAGGTCAAGAAGGTCATACGTGATAACAAATATCAAACGTTGTAATCGTCGAAAAGTTTTTTATCGTGATCGATTATTCGTTGAATGAGATTCAATGAAAAGATTTGAAAATTGTTACTACAGTCAGGCAGCATGTATTTAATGAATATTTCTTCAAGCATATGAGTTAAAAAGTTTGAATTTAATGAGAATTGATGAAAAGCAATGTAAAAGCATCGAAGCAGAAAATCTATGTCAAATAACTTGGGAAAAATACAATCGTTTATTAAAATTTATATTTACAAAACAATCGCTTAAAAATACCCATCGTACTACATAATACTACAGTAATAAGTTTTCGCACTTTATTTTTAAGTAAATCTTGAATACTGACATTTTTGGGTAACTTTGGTTCATCTAGAATACAATATCTCGTTTTGCCCTAAACGAAGGCGATTTCACATTTTCTTCAGTGGTGGTAAACTCTGAGATATAAATATCTAGAAAATGTTTCACTAATCATTCCTGACTCAGAATACTCATGAAAGTTGATAGTTTAAGATTATAAATAATTAAATACATAGAAACTGCTCATCCGAATTCATTGACAAGTAGCTCGATCATTAAATGATCTTCATCGTTGGCTAAAAAATTGAATTAAATCCATGCAGATATATTTTTAATTGTTTTTCATATCAAATATTCCAAAGTGGTCATTCTCTGGTACTTAATCATTGGTTGATCCGACTAAGCTACCTGCAGTTTAGCACGCGCGAAGAAATATGTGAAATTGCGTTAATCTAGGGCTTATTTTATATTCATGATGTCGAATTAGTAAAATGATTAACAAGGCACAATCATTAGATGTAAAAAATCTGCACCTAATCGTAAACGTTTTTTCAATAGCTCGAACAGCGATCGAAAAAGCACATACGTTGAAAAGTGTCCTCTAAGACAGCTCGTTGGCATGGATGCAAAACTTTCTCATTTTGGTCATAATGATAAACACGGATACGTTCTAAAAAATGTTTATAAACGGATTTATGGTTTTAGTATGAGTTTAACGAACAAGTCAAACTTGAAAAAAGTGCGTCGCACGATTCGATCTCATAACACGTGAAAGATAAGTTATTGAAATATTTAAAGAGAGTTTTAAACAGAGTTATATCTTTAGAAGAATGGAAGGCACATATGGACGTATTTTGGGCTCATTTTTTGGTTTAACATTATTCATAATTCATCCCACACACACTTTGTTTTTTGTCATTTTATCTCGATAATTCACCCATATAATCAGACTTGTGGATGCTCAAAATATTTACAATGACAAGAAAATATCATCGACAAAAATGCACATGAAAAGCTTGCAAATTCACGTCTTAAAAAAAGCGAATGTCAGCAGCGGAACGAGGAGCAAAAAATTCGACGAGACCACAACATTAGCCCCATTTCGTCGGTAAATAGAATTAGAGTAGGTACTGCCCCATCCCGGATTAGCCTGAGGCAGGCTATGCTGCGGGTAATTGCTGTGATAGCGCGTATTATCTGGCTGCCTTGGTGTCACCGGTGGATACAGCGGGTAGCCGTATTGATCGACCGCGGGTCGATTATTATTGTTGTAGTTTATTGTAGGATATACGCCTCCATTGCTGGGATAGGGTGGATATCCATTATTGTTGTTGTTGTTGTTGTTGTTCGGATAGGGTGGATAAGCTGGTCCAGTGTAGGGCCCTCGATTATTCAGGTTGTCGTTGTTTTTATCAGCTGATGGAACATCGGAGTTTGTGTAACGCGATGCACCAGTTGAATGTTCACCTGGTGAATTATTATTGACCCTCTGGCTGTTAATGGAGCTAATGCCCGACGAGTCGTACCCTAAAAATCGACAGGTTTTTTTTGTTTTTTGTTGTTGTTCCAGTTGTTTAGCTCTACGGCCCACGCACAAATAAACACAAAATCTAAGCTGATCTACGTATCTAGGTGCTCTGTGTGTTGAACGCAATCCACAAATGGTATACTAATATTCACATTTAATACAACATTTATTAGGACTGTTTTGAGTTGTGATTATAGCGTGATAAAATAACACTAAATATTTGTACAATGGTTACTGCATACATTAAACAGACTTGGGTTACGTACATACGCAAGCTCATGCAATCCTCAAGCTTTCAAATATAATTCACGGTATTACGCGGTTATTAATTGCTTAAAAGCTTAGGATGCACTTTTGTTTTTTTTTCCATCGCTGCGTAAAAAGTGATTTTCAATATGTATCGAATGCGATGTTGCACAGTTTTCGAAAAAAAAAGTTTAAAATACTTGTTAGGAATTTGCTCCCAATAACACAGATACAAAAAAAAACAAAAAAAAAAAACAAGTTATTCGAAATCAACAAGCAAATATTTGCGAATCGCGCTCATTCTCCCTACTACTTGTGTGCATGTGTATGTGTGCGTGTGTGTGCGGGCGTGACGAAACATGGAACAATTTCGTAAATCGCTCGTCGACGAGCAAAGCCTGTCGAGCTTCACAGTGGCCACGTTCTTTTTTGATCAACTGTTGCTGCGCAACAGAAGAATTGCTGGGCAAGCATGGAAAAAGCACCCACGCACACATACATGGACTGACGATGTATAGAGAGTACCCGTGAACACTCGTTTAACTCGATCGTAACTACGACTACTCTGTATTCGCGCATTACTTTGCCACGGCACGCCCGAGTCATTCGCTTTGACGATTCGAGCGTACGTACCCGGTGCTATCCTCATCGTTCGAGAGGTTCGTTAGTATTTCTTATTACTTTTATATCGAGCTCACAGCGTCTTTTTTTCTTTCCATTTCAATTTTTATCAACGCGTTAACGACTCGAACCCCGAGAGACAGACGAGCATCGAGGAGAAGCGTAGGTCTATAAATATTATTGCGAATGAGAGAGCCGATATAGATTATCGCTGCTGTGCGAAAAAACCCCGATTGCTAACTTAAAGGTCGCGGGGAAAAAACGATCGTGCTACGTACGAGCTGGGATATTGAGCGTGGATTTAGTGGGATGTATGGCTAAACGAAAAAAACGAACAACATGGCACATATTTATAAAAGGCCAGAGAGCATGCGAGCACCCAACCACCTGTGATGTGCGTGCGTGTTAGTATATACAGGGTGGGGAATAAATATGGAAACCCCTAGAAATTTCGCAGAATAAGTTGGGAAAAAAAATCAAAAACCTCATATCCTACGTATTTTTTCACGGGGAATCCAATGGTGACCTTGAATTTGACCTTGAACATGACCTTCAAGCTCCAGCGACCCAAAAATCGATTTTTCAAATGTAACCCCCATTTTTTATTGCAGATTTGAAAAGAGCACAAAATTTCACGTCAAAATGTATGTTTTGTTTTTTTTTTCAAGGTCATTTTAAGGGCGTTACAGAAGCGAATAAAACCCCAATTTAACCTAAAACTAAGTTCAAGTAAGGGCTTTTTTTCTCATTGTACCGACTCCTAAATGACCTTAAAAAAAAAAATAAAATACATATTTTCACGTAAAATTTTTCACTCTTTTCAATGGTGACCTTCAATTTGACCTTGAACATAACCTATACTCTACGGTGAACCAAAAATCGATTATTCGCACGGTGACCCCCATTTTTTATAACAGATTTGAAAAGAGCACAAAATTTCACGTCAAAATGTATGTTTTGTTTTTTTTTTAAGGTCATTTAGGAGGCGGTACAATGAGAAAAAAAGCCCTTACTTGAACTTAGTTTTAGGTTAAATTGGGGTTTTATTTGCGTCTGTAACGCCCTTAAAATGACCTTGAAAAAAAAAACAAAACATACATTTTGACGTGAAATTTTGTGCTCTTTTCAAATCTGCAATAAAAAATGGGGGTTACATTTGAAAAATCGATTTTTGGGTCGCTGGAGCTTGAAGGTCATGTTCAAGGTCAAATTCAAGGTCACCATTGGATTCCCCGTGAAAAAATACGTCGGATATGAGGTTTTTGATTTTTTTTCCAACTTATTCTGCGAAATTTCCAGGGGTTTCCATATTTATTCCCCACCCTGTATATGTGAGCCTATATAGGCGTGTGCGAAACGACACGAAGCCGCAGTGGTAGCGTTACTGCCAACTTCCTATAGTCGTAAATTGCATTTTCACCTTTTAGCGACGCGAAGCGACGCAGCTTAATGCCTTCGCCTGTATGAACGATTCGACCAATCGTCTATCGCTTATAAAGTATCAAAAGATCTACGTGCTACGAAAGACTCGAGCTTTTTCCATACATATAACTGGCCATCGTAATAATTCGCAAGCCACCGAATTAAAAGAGAAAAATAATAAACCAACTGCACTCGATAAAGAAAAAACAGGAATTTTCAAAAATATAGATTAAAATTTGAATTAAATTCTGCGTAATTAAAGTTTGTCCTGAAGTTTTTTACTTTGGGTATAACTAGTCAAAACTCTTATCATTTTTTCAGAAGTGTGACGTCCAACGCATGAACGGCAATTCAACAATGAAATTTATATTCAATATGGGATAGGTGAATTTAATTTAAGTTTAAACATCGTAGTACTAATCGAAATTTCACGTTCCGATTCGTGAAACTGGTGGATTCCTCGAGTTCGAGCTTGGTAAATTAAGATGAAGTGTTATGAAGTTGAATATGAATGATCCACGTTTGTAATAATTTTCAATAGGTGAGAGACATTTTGGAATTACTCCTCTTAAAATCGCATCTAATATTAATTATGACGTACAAATTTTTATACACTACCCGGTGGGTTGCTGATAAAATCGTTGTGTCTGAACAAAGAGCATACAACGAATTAAAACAAAATAAAACTCCCACCTTTTGAACAATTGTCTCTTTTTTGCAGGGAATCCAGTATTTATACCGAGTAGCAATGGATGATTGCACTCGGAGCGTAGCCGAGTGGAATTTATAACGGAATACGTAAATATACCGTTGAATGGAAAAATATTTATTTTCTTGGTGGAAGTATGAAAACGAGACGATGAGCACGATATTTATATATATTTATACAGCATCAGAGTCGTTACTAATATAAGCGTGTGTAAAAATTGCATGACTTGAAGTGATAAAAACAGAAGAACAAGAGTAAGGTAGAGAGAAGCAGAGAAACAGACAGACAGATAGACGCAGAGAGAGCATAAGTGATGAACAGAGTAAAGGGTCATAAGAGAAAAACTCACCTAATCCCGGAGTAGTATTCACACAAGTTGGCCTTCCGTTTTCCGTCTTACAGTATGTGCCTGAGGGGCAGAGTTTAGTTGTGCAGCTCTCGCCTAAAACACATCAATTCATGAGAATAAAGAGGAAAAATCAGTTGCTTCTTTTCATTTTAATTGTGCAAGGTGAGAAAAATTCTCACCTCCCGAATTAGATCTCTGGCAAGTCGGATAACGTCCACAGGAGTCGCGCTGTGTGTAAGAGCCGCACGGGTCCTCGGCCATGACACATACCTCATCGGAGCGGCAACCAATGTCTCGGCAACTGCGGCCATATTCTGTGTAAAAAAGAAAAAATAAAATAATCATTAATCCTGATTGAAATCAATTTCTTTTTATAAATACTTTTCAATGAAAAAGGACTGAGAAAAAATGCCCGACCTATTTCAGCGCTGCTATTCTAAACTACGCGGCTGATTCGTTTTTTTTTTATATCTTGCCTGGTAATAGCTGCTTTATTGTCAGTTTGCAGAAATGCCATCGATTGCTAAAAGTGCGTGGCTAAAAGTGTAATCAATCGAGCCATTACATCGGCTTAGAAAATGGCATAAAAATGTTATAATTTTTCTTTGCTCATATTTGCAGGAGCGAGCCGAGAGCTTTCATCGAAAAGAAGCTGATCTCTCGATACGTGCAAAAGTAGTAGCAGCAGCAACAGAGTCTTTTTTCCAATAACTCGATGAAACCCTGTACGCGTTTAGCTGGTTTGTGCTACTTTTAAATTTTTACCGTGTAAAAAGGGATCTTGATGACGTCAGAGTAAAGTTGCACATATACACACGCAGACACATGCGCTTACGGCTCGATTTGCAAAATGAGCTACTCGGCGCGAATACCTCACGCCCTTATATACAAACTCGTAATGCCATAGTTAATTAAAAATCAATGATGACACGTACGCAGCCCCGTGAACGCGTCTGACGAGCGAGAAACTTGTTAATTGACACTGTGACGTTGACGTTGTTGTCGTCATTGCAGGAGATCTAGCCGTCAACGAGTAATTCGATTTCAAGGTACTTTTAAGTCTATCCTCAAGAGTCGAATTTTCGTCCTCCGCTCGCTAGAAGCTTTACAAGCTACTTTATAACTACAGCTATTACGAGATTAATTGCTTTAGATAGGCAAGAAATACGGCAGAGTATGGCAGGGATAATCAAAATGTACACGAAAGTATAATGTACTCACTGGAGTAAGGAACAGCATCGGCCAGAACCAGGAGGGTCAGCAACGCCCCGAGCAGCGGTATCAGCGACGTCTTATTCGACGCCGACATTTTCCTCTGCAAAAGAAAAACACATGCACATTGCGCGCGTCATTTAAGCGATGATTTACGCAGAAACGAGTTTTAATCCCAAGAGCGAGTCCAGCCACGCAGCAAGTGCATTATAACTCTTTGTCTTTCGTGCGCTAATTGTCCGAGGATAATTGGATGTACGCGTGTGCTCGCAGGTAGGCACTAGGCGATGTTGGCTTGCTTATACATGTATAGCGCCGCACATTTACGCTCACGCGAGAATGAAAAAAATATATACGCGCCGCAAAAGGGTAAAGGGTCAAGAACTTTTTTGTGCGCGAGAGTAGATAATTATGGAAATGAATCAGGATGGAACAGTACCCGTGGGGCCTGGACTCGCGCCTAATGATTGCATCGCAACGTCCACTTGACAAATATTTGCGCAGCGTGTTTTTGTCGTTATCATAACTATACGCTCTGTAAGACGCTCGTGAGACGTTATAAAATGAGCCAAGTGCATAATAAGCGCGCAAATGGTAATAACGCGACTTTATCAGCGCCGATAGTGCATAGGTCATTGAAATTCGCTCTGAATTTCGTTCGGAAAAAAGCGACTGCACTTGAAAGATCAGCGCGTTTATGGTTTACGATATCTATGTACAAAGAGATAGATTGAGTTACGACTTTCTATACGTATTTCAAACACATCCGGTGCGTGAAACTTTTCCCCGCGTTTGCTTGAAAATTCATTACGGTTCAGAGCGCAATATGTGGACTTTATAAAGAGTCAAATTAGCCGACGTTAAACGTGCGCCGATCGAGATGAAATAAGCACGTGTATTATAAGCGATGACGCGCGCGCTCCGAAACTTTTTCAACGATCGCGAGAAGGTCACGCCAACAGATCGAGCAAAACTCGCTTTTACGCACATGAGTCGTACTTGATACGATCCAATAGAAGCAGCCTTGCACGTATAATATAATATTAAGTACGCAGTATGTCTCGTGTTCCTCAGCACGTATAATATACGTACCGTACACATCGTTCACAATTGCAAGTCTCGCAGTTTTTAACGAAAACCACAACAACAACAACAACATGCATCTGTCGCTACTCACCTACTTTTCTGTATTTCCTTGCGAGGAGAAATAGAGACGGTGCTCACGGAGAATTCAGAAAAAAACGCAGCCAGCCCAGTGTATTAGAAGGCTGTTTATATTTGATACGAGCGAGAATCAACAAGTTTTTACAACGGCACAGACGGAGAGAAAAGAGCAGTCTCGAGGAGCAGCGATCAACGACTACTATACGACATCATCACGAGTCACTCGTCAGGCTTTAAGCGCGCTGGAATTTTCGGTGTGGGGAGAGAGCGAGGCAGCTACGTCGTCGTGAGCCGAGCTCGGTATACATATACGCATACATTGCCATAGCACAGAACTATATTTATGCCCCCTCCTAATACGTGCAAACGCGCACACACACACGTGCACATTAATAGCACGAGTACTGCTGTACTGCTGCTGCCTCTGCGGACACGTGATACATCTGCGCGATCTACTCTTTGCGCTAGACTTTTGTCTAGCCTATAGTCATCTCTATTGCTGCTGGCTCATCGTGGGTTTATAATGTGTGTAAGCTGCGCTTCTAAATATACACACGAGCTGCGTTATGGAAAGCCCTACTTCGGTCCAAGGTGCTTTTTTTCTCCTTTCGACGTCATTGGAAAAACTTGCACACAATCTGCGTTTTTCGCGAGGCTTTTTTCTCCTCGCTTCCAGTCAACCATCCTTCTACGACGGAATAACGTTACAACTACTTCTTTCCCAAAATTTCTGCATAAACTGAAAGCTCTGGGCAATCCTTAACTTTTAAAAAAAAAAACCTCTCGCGAATGCTTTCTTCCTTTTTTATTCGACGACTCTCCAGTCCACAAAGTGCACGGGCATTAGCTCGCTTTTATGTTTTATATAACTTGTGCATTTCATCGCTCGTACTTCTGCGTATGAATGTATTCACGCATACATACAAAGGAATTACATTGTTGAAAGTACAAGGAAAAAAAAGAAAAGAAATGAAAATAGCAAGCTGAAGAACGTTTCAACGCAAACTCATCACGAACAATAACAATGGAATAGATATAGACGGTACACGATTTAAAATCGACAAAATCGCTGATGAACTGCTCGGATTTTTCATGCGCGAAATCTAATTTCAATTAATTGAAGAGCGTTCAAGTGACACTGTGCGAGTCGCAGGCGTTCGATACTTAATTAAGCTGCGCATCAAATCCTCGACCCTCTATTTGGACCTTTATTTTATAAGTTTGATTTGTACTTTTAAGGTGCGTAAAGATTCGATTTTAATCGGAAGTAATACAATTTTCCATTTCACGAGTCTTATATTTTCATAATGTTTCATGAATATATATAAAAATAGTAGACACCTCTTTATTTCTTTCCCCTTCTCTCTCTCTATCTATTTTATTCTTGTCTATGGAAGAATATAATAATTGACGTCATTCTGGTTTTTTTATAATTAAAAGTAGGGGGAAAACCGATCGCTTGTCGCGGGTTCTTGATTATTCGCGAATGAATTATCTACTTGAATAGAAAAATTATTGTAGACAGGCACGCTCGAGAGAAAGAGAGAGAGATCGAGAGACACATGGCCAAATTTCAGAGTATTATTCACCGGATGGTTGACTGGATAAGTGTCTATGCGAATGCACGTAGGTGTACTCGCGTCGCAAAACCACAGAGATACGAGCTAATGCAATGCACACATGGTAAGTATATATATAAGAAATTTGGTGCTGTATACGTACGTACATCGAGAACAAGACAGCAAGAGAATTAGGAATAAGATAGAACGTTTGCGCGCTGCTGCGAAACAGATGCCACACTGGAGAATTTACTATACGAGCTCCGTCTCTGAATTTTCGATCGGTCAATTAAACTCGAATGAAAAGCCTTTAATGGAGTGCAAACTACCACACGCAAAAATACACTCTTTGAAACAAGTCTTATGTGATTTATCGATTTATTATTACCAATGTGTCATAAGCGGTGTGCGCTTTATAACGCCTTTAATATTTCTCTGCGGGAACGAAAAAAGGACTTACCGTACTTGTTGGAGAATGAAAAAAACTGACGTTTCACATCCCTACGCCAAAAAATATTAAATCTGAATAATTTACCTTGCTAGAACATTTTTTGAGCTTTATGACAACTTGAAAGACAAAAAAATCATTTTATTTTTTTATTCGTTCCTATGTTTATGGTGGAAAGGTATAAAGTCTTAAGACACTTTTTATTAAAAAAGTCCCATGCTTTATTGAAGCAATGGTGAATAATCACATATGTGCTTGCTTGCATGAGTTGAATTGGAAGTTGCCTACTAATAATACGTCGAAAAATCACGGTATGATGTCTCTAATTTTATGTCTCTAGTAGAAAACTGTTTTTATCCAACTGTTTTAAAATGTACAAGCGAACAATGAAAATATCAGCGAGCCGCCTACGCAAAACTATTTATGACTTTTGAAAGAGTAAGATCAATCCATATTATGATGAGATTATAGATTCGAGTATATATTTCTGCAATGCACTATCGTTCATTTCTTCTGGTACTGTTTTTTATTTATTCATCTTCAACCAAAATCGATTGTCGAAATTAATCGATTTTTTGATGTATGATGTATATCCGGAAGTAATATCCTAGAAGCATCGGTACAGCGTGAAAAAAAATCAATCGTTTCGACGCGATTCGTTATCACCTGTCTCGCGGGCCATAGTTCAATTATATGATACCAAGAGATATTGGTACGCTCAGCAACTACGCTGACGAGGTTTTTCGGCGCACACTTATTACTACATGTAATATGCAGCAGATGCGTCCATCATACGTCAAAGCCATATTCCTCCTCCCATTTTCTTTTACACGTGAATTACTCTTCGTCAACTCTCTCTCTCTCTCTTTCTTTCTCTTTTTCTCTCGTTTTGTCTCACTTATTTTTCGTTGGTTTTATTTTTGCTGCAGTTTAAATTCTCAAAAAATTTCATCTCATTTACAGCTTCGCGAACACATGCCCAAAGTACCTGCGTAGGAGCTTGGATCGAGTCATGCGAGCGAATACGTCATGTTTAAAGCTAGATCGCTTAAAATATGAAACTCATATACCGCCGATAAAAGTCGAAGAGAGAAAAAAGAATACGATACCCGACACATGATGTTCTCTATAAGTCTCTGGCTGTATAATCGCGACGTTAAGGTTCTAGAGCTGTGCATGAAAATCGACTTTTTACCACCCTTCAAAATGAGTGAAAAACTTAGCCATTATATAAACTGGAAAGAGCTGTGAATATCCCAAATAGCATCGAAGCTTGTGGCGGTGAATATTCAAGCTTTATATATAATGACAAGAACCTGCGTTATGAGCGCACACGTCATTGTCGTCTCCTTGTGTTTCAAAATTTGATCGAAATATACACTAGGGAAATTTTTTTGTCAAGTGTCTTTTCCGAAAGAAAAGAAAAATGAAAAGGAGCGTTTGAAGCGATCAATTTATGCAGCAGCTCGCACGGAACGTTTGTAATTCATATAGCAAATCTACGATAGTTACCGACAATCTATTACTAATCGCTAGACCTTGCTTGAAAAAAATTGAACAGCTCCAAATTAATACATGATCATACATGCACATAGCTAGCGGAGATCGTTGAAGCTCAAGTACGCATTTTAAATCGTGTATTCAAATTTTTTCATGCTCATTAACTCGAGGGCGTTATAACTTGTTGAAGCTTGGGTGAAAGCTTCGATTACAGTTTGCACGAGCTGCTCATGAGTTGTGTATAATGTTATAATAAAACTCTCAGTAATTTTATATGAGCAGCTATTATATAGTATTTGTGAGATGATTTCATTGATAATTGCGCCATTTGTCGAAAAGCTGCGAGTTTTTTTTTAAATGCATATTTTTATAATTGTCAAAAGGGTATACAGGGGAATATTTCATCGTTCTAAAATTGTCCGCTATTGAGAAGTGTCCGCTGTTCAGTGTCCACTATAGAGAGATTTCACTGTATTAGATATAAGTAAGAAAAAAAAAAATTCTTGATCGCAGGAAGCAACTTCGTAGGAAGCGATTGATATGTGGCTATACATATCAGAGGATATAAAGTAAACATATGAAAAAAAGTACACCATTTTTCGATATAAGCGGAATCGCACAGTAGGCATGCGGTAGGCACAAGTAGCGCACAAACACAATTTTCCCCGTGTAAACAGTCGACCTGCTTATTTGCTTGCCTACACACATCCGTATTATACGATTGCAACTTGTATGCATACATATGCGAAAGAGAGAGAGAGAGAAAGAGAGAGAGAGAGAGAGAGAGAGAGAGAGAGAGAATTGTGCAATGCAGGGTGCGCGCCTTGGCGCGAGCGCAGATACTTCGAAACATTGACGGTAGAGGTGGTGCGCATACATGCGCCGGAGGTGTGCCGAGCGCTCAGCCGCTGCAAAATCTCAGTCCAGCTTGGCGCGTTGTCGTTTGAGCTTCTTCGGCTACCGCATTTGTCCGCACCATATATATAAATTTTTACATATAAATGTATTATACATGGGTTGAAACAGAAAATAGTTGATAAGTCAAAAAGCAAAATTTAAAAGAAGTATGTACTCCTAAAGAGTACATTGAAAAATGAAAACACCTACTCGATGGATGAGAAAAACATACTTTTCCTTATTTCTATGAATTTTTCATGTTTTATCATCCTTCGAAAGCTGTCAAATTGTGTTTAATTTTATTCATGACCTAATTTAAAAAAAAAGTTACATTTTAGTATTCGAAAGAACACATTATGAATCTAACTAACTCGAAGGATACAAGCAATTTTATTTTTGAACTTTTGAGCTTTTCTTAATTTTTATGGGTTTATGAATTTGATTCTGAATAATGAATTGAAAATTATCAACTAATTTCACATTGCAAAACATTGTTCAAAAATTTTTTTATACCTACCCCATAATAGCCGAAAAAAAATTTGTGAAATGAAAATGCAACTTTGAGAATCAGACTTACGAGGATTACAGACAGCTCAAATTTTGGAGATGTTCATTTTTCAATGTACTTTTTTAAGAGCGCATACTTAGTTTTGATTTCGTTTTTTTGATCTATCAACTATTATCTGATTTGACCGATTTCTAAGAACATACAAAATAATTGGAAAGCTAAGCAGTGAGATGCCGATTATACGAAGTGGTACTCGATGCTTCCGTTCTGGTCAGATTCGAGACAAAAATCGTCAGAGACGAATGCGTGTGTCGCGAGCCGATGAATCAGCCCTCAAACAATCGTAAACTAGTGAATTTATGGAGCATAAGAGAGCAGGAGCCGATACCGATGCTTGTTTGCACTACATCAGGTACTGTAAAAATCTTACTCACACACAATCATAAAATAAACATTTTTTGGCGCACTTGTCTCGATTTCATCCACAAAAAGTCACCGCTCGCTTGTTTACACTCCTAATTCGTGTACACTATGGTTCACAACGGCATAACCTGCACGAGAACGCACCACGACTCTTGTACTCTAAATACTCTTTGTTGCAGCGTCGTTGGGTTATCTATTGTATCGTATTCTATCTTTGACATTGCACACGATTTTATTATAGCACAATCAAAATTCATCAGGAGAAGAAGACCAAAGATCAGAGTAAGTGGCTTCGTCAATGCAACTCAATGCAATAAAATACCTTAAATATTCATTTTATCGAGTTAGATCAATGCAATAGCCAAATTTGGTCTTTTTTGTTTCACCCGAAGACAAAGTATAATTTTGCCGAACGAAATGAAAATATTACTTAGTTAGACTGGGGGATTCACAAAAAGCTACATTTTTACCTATGCAGCGAAAAAGTAAGTCTGAGAACACTTGTAATTAATCAGCCGAGGCCAGTTTTACACTGCCTCGGTGCAAGATATGGCATTATTTGTTGGCGTTTGTTCACGCTCAGTTGTCGCTGCGGGGGTGTCGATTTTTGCGTCCCCCTTTCTTTCGGCCGCTCCGAACAGCGGAAGTGAATCGATTCTCGTCTTGGTGCCGGGCTACTGGCTGCAGGAGCTCTCCCCTGCCACTGAAAGGCTCCGTTTCGCTGGCGTATAATAGTCCTTTGTACGGAAAGCCCCTTGATATTTTAAACTCAATTTCGCAGCTCTCTTCATAGTGCTTTTGTTTCGGGCGCGCGCTACTCGGGCACACACATACTCTGCGTCATGCCGCGACTTTTATGCACGAGCATTTTATACATATATATATCTGTAGCTATACGAGCGCAGCTGCAGTGCAGACCGTGCATACGCAGGGCCTTTCGTTTTTCCAATGATGTTCGCTAGCATTAGTCGACGTCGGAGCAGTCGAATATATAGCGGAATCCTTTTGAGGACTCGTAGCCCTCGAGGAAAAAGCAGGCGGCTGGCGGCGTTGCCGTCGGGTGCTCAGGCTGCGGCTGCCGTGGAAGCGGGTGCGAGCGAGTCAGGCAAAATATTCAGCGCTGAATAATTTTCTACCCAAAGAATCATACCGGCGGCTTAGTTATACGTACTCCTTATGATTGCCGAGCGCACACTCGCTACACTCGTTTTTTTCAAGTACCTCGCGCACAGCTGCTTCGAGTGTATATACCCAGGCGTAGTCTCTATTTTGCTCATTCTAATCACGTATAGCCTGGCCTTGGAGCTTGCCACTAACTCGACTGCTGCCGCTGCTGCTGCTCCTAATAGCAATGAAAAAACTTCTGGTTTCTCATGCAACTTCAGGCCAGGCGCGAACCAGCGAGCTCGAGAGAAAAAAAGTTTAAGCTCCGGCGTAATATGCACACGCGTCGTTCGGCTTGCATCCTTTGCGCCGGTTGCGGCTTTCGATGAAGCCCATATATTCTGATACAGTCAAGATTTACGGAGACGCGTAGCTTTGCGCACATTTTCGAAGCAACTTGCGACCCGAGAACTCGCCTAAGGCTTCTTTCGCAGAGAGAAAGAGGTATAGAGAAAGAGAGCGGCGTGTAGCTCGTTGCGCCAGTCCCCTCCGAGTGAGAGATGGTGCTCGGCAACTTTACTTGTTAACCCAGAGCCTGTCTTTGGCGCGCTTATACGCGTGCACCCACATATATACTTACTGCCACCTGTATACATATACACATCCCTGCAGACGTACGCATTCGTACTGGAAAACAGCTGCAGTTGACAAATCCACGAAATATCGTATGTATATGCTTCCAGCTCTATGTACATGCTGCACTCTGGGAAAATTTAAAGCTCGCTACCTTTTCTCGTTAATTCGCGCTTGTCTTGCAAAATGTGCAACTCGAGACTTGCCTTCTCTCCCTCCTTTTCTATAAATGATTCATCTGTACGGTAAGACGATGCATTAGGATCAAGTTGGCAGCCAAAAGCTGAGACGACAAATTCGATTTTTACTTATTACTCGGCATTGCGCACCGTGTGAGAATCTAATTACTCAAAAACAAACCTACCACCAGTGCGAATTTCGACGAATACTATTTAAATATCTTCAAACACCTGTACTGTATAATATTCGTTACATACACAAGCCAATCTATTGCTAACAACATTCTGCACTGATTATACACTCCAATTATATAGTAAATAAGTTAAAGCCTTGGTAATTTTGCCAAAACAGCTCATAGGTGCTTCGATGTACGAGTGCACAAACATTGGAAAAACAATTTTTTTATTAAAAAGTTCTCAACGGCTGTTGCACGTGCTACAGCTCATCTCTTTACATTTCAATCGAGCGCGCGACGCCACTCGACTATTTAGCACCAAAGAAGTACGATTGATACCAAAAAAAAACATTGAATTTCGTATTAGATATCCTTGGGATATTCATAAGCGCTCCTTTGAAAATGTATATACAATTCGATGTTTCCCATGAGGCTAAGTAGCAGCCAAGAGTTATCAGCACGCATTGGTGCGGTTTTGAGTTTCTCGCTGCATTTGTGCATACTATATATAAAGTATGTAATATGTGATCGTGCGTGGCACAAATCGCACAGTGCCGAGAGCTAACAAGTTTGCTCGACGCACTCATGGACGAATCATTATTTCGGACAGTCGAGCTCGCTTGACCAACACCACTTTTCTCGTTTCTATCTGCGAGCCACGCGCTACGCTGATTAATAAAATTATATCGTGAATCGCGTTGGCGCGAGAATTTCTGCATGCGCGATGAAGATTTTATCGAACATGCGAATTTCCAGCAAATATTCCAATATTTCACGCGACGCTTTCTTAATATTTTTTTTAAATGCCGAGAAAAAGCGAGAATTTGTCTGCGGCTTAATTAACTACACATCGGGGAATGAGTAAAAGAGCTGCGCAGCCGAGATAATGGATCTGGATCTGGATGTTAAAGCGCGCATCGCCCTACAAAACTTAGCATCCATCCAGTGCCTGTACGCCTACACATATATGCGCGGTGATTAAATGCATTTTTTGCGCCGGAAAGCGGCCGACTGCACTCGAGTCGTATCACTATGCGGTACGTTGCTACCTTCATCGAGCTAGCAAATATTATTACGATAAAGAAAAAAAAATGAAAAATAAACAAATGCAGTGGAGAGAGGTGGAAAAAAGTATTGATCGCATCCAATTCCCGGAGCTAGTGGTGGGAAAACATGTCGTCGGACGACGCTCGCCTCGTCACAAATCTCGAAAAGCGGAATGATTTTTTGAATTGCCAAAGGAGGAGCTCGGCAGGAAACAGCAGTTGCTTATCGGGTCACGCTTGCCACTGGTGACAAACTCATTACAAGCTTCAATCGCAATGTCCGTTAGAAAGCCAAGTAGTTCGAATCCCCGTGGGTCGCATCAAGTAGGTCGATCAATCTGCTCGCTCGCTTGCGCTTGGCTTTTCAACCTTATCTAACCCTCTGCCTCCGCAAGAGCTACGAACGAGCCGTGAAACGCTCCTGACTCTATTTCTTCTCTTTATGCCTCCTTTTTTAAACTTTTCTTCTACTTCTTCTTTTTCTTCTTTTTATAATACTGCTTCTTTCATATAACCATACTTGCCGATGACGGAAAATCCTCGCGTTGAACTGATCCAATTATATGACCTTAGAAGGAGAGAGACTGCGCTGCAACTCCAGGCACATTTCCTGCCCGCGCTCTGATAAGATTACGCACCGAGGAAAAAGGCAAAATAGCAGGCTCGAGATCTTATCTTTTTCATCGTATGTACAGCATGTATAATATAACGCGTGTACGAGTGTCTGGGAAAGGAAGCTGACCCGCGTACATGTACATCTTTTGAAAACCTTTTCAACACCAACGGTGGTGAGCGTATATAAAATATGTCTTTTGAGAGGCGAAAAATGATTCAGGAGGCCTGCTAACGTCTCTCGTTTTTGCTCCAGACATTATTCCTTCGTTAATTTAAAATTACTACAATAGTTATGTAGCATAAGATTGCAATTGAGCAAGTTCTTTGGCACTAGTTCTTTTCAAGGGATAGGAAAAGAAAATAATTAATTATATTTTGAACTTCCTTGCCAAAACGATAAATACCATGAATGGGTAAATATTTTAATTTTTAAAGTACTGCTGATGGCGTGGAATATATCCAAATACATATTAATTATTATATGAGTCAACTTTTTTAAGCGCAACATTACTTACACACTTATATGGCACATATCGCTCTCGTTGTCGCACCCAAGATCTTTTTATGCATTTTAGCGTCGTCTTACATTAAGTTATTGTAAAGCTATACTACTGAGAATTCACGCTGCTGTTGCTGTTAACTTCCAGACGTATGCAAGTTGGTGTTTTTTTTTATTATTCCACTGAAAATAGAGCAGCAATAAATAACGGTGCTGTACACAATTATTGTGTGATAGTGTTCACCAATTTATGCGTAAATGTTTGGGTTATATCTATATTCAGCTCATTTCATTTACATAGAACATTTATTATAAAAATAAATGATGCTATTGGTTCAATAAAAGATTGTTTTTACATGTTATTTGTAAAAATCCTTTCATTTGATTGTTATTATTGTTTTTCTTCATAAGGTATAGTGTACTTTATTAGCCCAACCTTTCCTAATACAGAGTATCGAATTCGATCATTTAAATACACCGATCAGTATTGAGAAAGAGCGGTGGCGAGAAGGTCCAGTGATGTTTTCACCGACGCTTCATCACATGTCTTATATCGTATGAATGAAGCAGCAATCTCATGGAATCAGTCGATCGGATAACGAATAACTGGGTGATGAAATGGCAACTCTCAGAACGAAACTACTCCATACATAAATAGATTGTTATATAAATGATAATGATAATTAAAAGTACGGGCTATTTACAGCACGTGCTCGCACTGACTTCATTACAAAACTTGGTGGTTATATAAACCGACTAACTTTTTATTTTTTCTTGATTTTTCATTAGAATGAAGATGCGATTTGGAATAACGACGAAAAATATTTTTACCACGTATATTCGATCGTAATTTATGTTTTTAATAATTAATTGCTAAAGGTTGATCAAGCAAGTGAATCTGCAAAGTGACCTCTAAGATTATTTTACACTTCTCTCTCTCTCTCTCTCTCTCTCTCTCTCTATTTATCTATCTATTTATCTATATCTAATTTAATCGAATCAGTCCTACATGAGTTTACCGCTAGTTTTGGGTTATTGCATGCAACTTGTGTGAATAAGCTTTTCCAGCAAAACTCTTTACAGCAATCCCTCGTTGTTCAGAAAAAGCACATTTACACCCGTTGCATAAAATACTATACTGTCTGATTATTACAGTGGTATGCCAAGAACAATATAGCGAGAGTCCAAGATACGCTTGGGCGCACTGTACCCCCCTGAGGAGTAAAAATTACCCTATGTTTGCTTCGTTTATTATTTGTAAAATCGAATATTGCAACTATCGTCTCGTAATGCAACGCCTGTGTCAAACAGTTTCACCCGGCCTGAGAGACGCAGATTATATGCATTGTTGATCTACCGACTGATGTTCTACATCTCTATCAAGCTCTGCACTGTACTCTACATCTTCTTCAGCCCTGAGTTCATGAAAGGCTCTCTCACAGACAGTCGACATAGGGGGGGGGGGGGGGGGNCATTGACTCCAGTGCAATACACCCATCGATTGCTCTAAAATCGTCAAAAACCTCATAATCAAATTGACTCCGACTCTCATCGGCGAAACGCAGACAAGCACTATACTGTTGAATTGCCATCACGCCATGTCTTCACATCACTATTTTCGCCATGTACCACTCAAAGCATTACAAAGTCATTCGCGATTGTCCGCTGCTACTTCTTTGTCTCAACTACACTGCAGCAGTATACGATACTGTCACAGAGGATGAGCAGAATTTAACTGAAAGAATTTAAGATTTATCGTGCATTTTGTTTACGACTCCATACCTCATTCTGCCCGTGTCATGCCGTATCACCTGGCACCAGGTGAACTGAGGATTGTCCAGCAGCCAACATTCAAGGTTCTGCGCGTGGCATCGGGTCGCTGGTATACTATAATGCAAAGCGCACCGACGCCCTCAACGAGCTATTCACCAACACGGCATCGTACATCTACTTTCCCCTGTCCTTTAAATTTGACCTTACCAATCTCATCAGCAGTCTCGTCATGAAAAACCTATCTGTAATCACTTTTTCTTACTCGACGAAAATGATTGAATAAATCGTCGCGTTGCTGTGAACCTTACCCTCCCTCTCACCATTACTCACCAACGTACGAATTTTCACCATATCATACATCAAGAGCAAACTGCTTTCTGCTCAAGAAATCTGTTGCCCAATCTCTTATTCCCTTTTACTTATCGACTTATCGGTCCCTTCTACTTATCGAGCTGTTGGAGGTGGTGGTAAAATCATGTACCATAAATGCTTCTCAATACGAAGGAAAGTAAAAATGTCGTGTTTATGCCCGCAGTCCGATTAATTAACGATAACAGGAATATCGCATCCATCGTATTTTTTTTGTCGGATCTGATGCAACTCAATGCTTGTTACGACAGAAGCACTTCTAACTCTCATAATCGCTTGCACATTTCACGCAAACACACATATCAAACAAATTATAAAAATATACTTTTACCAGAACCGCAGATGGGATTTTGTCCCAATCAAAATAAAATTTATAATTTAATATAATCTCTCTCGTCAAATCTCGTTCTTTCATGGAGTTTTTAAAAATATTTTTCAATTTTTTTAAAGAAGTCTTTAAGCATTGTTTATTGAATAAAAGTGCACAAGCTCCTGACTCTCTTAAGTAAAAAAACTAAACTTTTAAAACGCATATTCAAAGATATCTCAAAGATATATGTGAATACACCATGCCAAATTACAGATTAATTGATTGATTGAATTTAACAGAGAGAGAGAGAGAGAGAGAGAGAGAGAGAGAGAGAGAGAGTTGCGAAACCTCTTTTATTAAGTAAAACTAAAAGAAAATTCATAGTGAGCAACTAATGGAATTTTTAAATTTGGAACTAACATGAATATTAAATAATTTTAACATTTAAAGAACTTATCAAGAAAAAAATGTTTAGCGATTAAAAAATATTATTTTAGCTCTTACCGCGATGATGAAATATATTAAATGTACAGGGTTTCAAAGCTGTCGTTCACCTTTTGAATCGGCAAAATATATAGCGAATGCGCTCGTGATGACGAATGTTTTTTTATCAACGTTTTTCCATCGCAGCATATATACGTTTCTACTGAGTTCGCACGATTGCGCGCTCGCCTACGCAATTTAATTTTTTCTCTGTATTAATGAAAAAACTGTATTCACAAAATGCAGTCTCTCCGCAAATTTTTACGTTACATGTGAAAAGCTGCTGACGGCCAACGTTTCAGTATTCACACACACTAACACAGGCGAGCGCAAACTTGTTCAAAGTATAAAATCTCGCTTCTGCTTGTAGGATACTGCAGAAACTTAGCTTGGCTAGATTCTTTATCCCCGCACGCTGTGACTTTTTTTATCATTCTAGCTGCGAGCGAGATAAGACTTTATGGTGCATAGTCGTGCACGCGTGTACGTGGCGCAGTGTAAGAAAAAAATTTGCACGGCTTTACGAAATGTCGTATAAGGATACGCTTGCTCGTTTCAGCTGACAGCTCATCTGGCTCATGGTGTTAGAAAGAGAGAGAGAGAGAGAGAGAGAGACAGGGAAGGAGAAAAAAGCCGTTAGAAAAAAATGCAGCCAAACGATCAAAATTTGTGTGTTTTTTTGCAGTTTTGGCTGTTCAACATCTCCGCAAACAACTGGGCACGTATTGTCATCGCAAAGAGTGAAAATCTTGCTCGAGTCATGTCGCGCCTCTGCTGCTACTCTTTATTTTGCATTCCACCGACAAATCGCTCGAACGTCGACGACAGTTCAACAACTTCTTCGCAGGCAAGTAGTAATGTCAGTAGCGGTGCTGGCAGCGGCACATGGTTGTGTTTGGGCTCGGCTTCGTTAGCCCTTTTGTCGCTTTGTGTCGTCATCGTAGCCGTGTCAACCGACAAATGGCTTTTAACCGAAGAAAAACTGGCTCGTTTACCCTGGACTAATCAGCAGCAGCAACAGCAGCAAAACCAACGTAAAAACGGCAACAACAGCGAGAACATCAAGCTCACCTACAGCGGACTTTGGACAGTTTGCGTTGCTTATGCAGGTACTGCATGTTATAAAATACTAAGTTCGCTGAGCATTACAGCGAGTCCGCATGAAATTAGACCAATTATGAATGCGTAAACAACTAAAGCTGAGCGCCCTCTCGGTCTCGTTCACGCACAATACGTTCAATTGTTAATTTTCGCTCAACCCTGTAATATCGCGTTTTGTTCACAATCGTTATGGGCTTCATCGTTTCATACGGATTATAATTATGAGAATAAATTTGACCAAGACACAGGTCAATAAATGACCGTACGAAAATTATTATCGATTATCGGTGCGTTGTACACAAGCTTTGAAGTTTATATAACTATATCATTATTTTACGAGTGGCAGAGCGCACGCCAACTTGCAGCTTGTATGTAACTTTTCCAAAAATAGCTCGATAGTTCGAAGCATACACTGTAGACCGGTTGTTATTTCCCAAGTTGTTCTGATCTCCCCTCCAGACGTTGATTCTGATTCCTAGAGTGTAAAAAATGAGAAAAATACGTATATGAGTCATTTCACGTCAAGTCTCCTAGCGCGGCGCCCGCGCGGCATTATTAATCGAAATTGCTCAATTTGTAACTCGCCAGAAAAGTACCTAAATGCACCCAGAAAAAATATGTGCCATATGATTTTGATAGGAAATTTTCTCAGCTTTACGATGATGAGGTCAGATTTTCCAAAATTTTCCATTTTCCCCGGAAAAACTTGACATAAACTTTCAAACTCAAATTTCTCAAAAACAGCATTTTTAAGATTTTTTTAAATAGTGCCAATCGAAAGCTGAGGAAATTTCCTATCGATATGCAAGTTTTCAGAGAGTACTTTTGATAATTACTCAATGAAATACAGCGACGAACGTGTAAAAACGTGACATTTCGGCCCGTGCGGCAGCTGTTCCCGCGCGCAGTACCCCGCGCGGCGCAAAATCTCACGTTTTTACACGTTCGTCGCTGTCTTTCATTGAGTAATTATCAAAAGTACTCTCTGAAAACTTGCATATCGATAGGAAATTTCCTCAGCTTTCGATTGGCACTATTTAAAAAAATCTTAAAAATGCCGTTTTTGAGAAATTTGAGTTTGAAAGTTTATGTCAAGTTTTTCCGGGGAAAATGGGAAATTTTGGAAAATCTGATCTCATCATCGTAAAGCTGAGAAAATTTCCTATCAAAATCATATGGCACATATTTTTTCTGGGTGCATTTAGGTACTTTTCTGGCGAGTTACAAATTGAACAATTTCGATTAATAATGCCGCGCGGGCGCCGCGCTAGGAGACTTGACTTGAAATGACTCATATGAGTTCAAAATAGTTAAAACGTGGTGCAACTGAAAAACCCGAAATCGATTTTCAAAAAAGTTCTCAAAAAATTCTAAAAATATTTTTTTCGTGTTTATTGACTAATTTTAAGGCCTTTTTCTTCCTTGCAATTTTTCGTTTAAGGGCTAACAGGGGGCTTAATTATTTATCAATTTTCAATTACAGTACTAGGCTATAAAAGTGAAAAAAAATGTTTTTTTTCAATAACACAAATGATAACCCTTTTCAATAGCCTATTTGAAAGTATTTTGTCAAGTTAGATACTTAGAAACAATTGAGTACAATAATAATGAGGGTATTGGTCATCAACGCAAGCTATACGCATATCTAAGCTACCTGTCGTAGAAATCCAAGATCAAGCATTTAGCTAAAGGAGCCTATGTAGTTTCATTTTGTTCGATAGCCAATTGGCCATGGTCGCAACCAACCGCTAGCCATAAGATGAACTGTAGCTACTCCTGTGTACAATTTTCTAGAATTTAGTATTCATTTTTTATCATTTTCCATAAATTAATTTCACTTTGCTATATGTACAAGTAGCTACAGTTCATCTTATGGCTAGCTTTTGGTTGCGACCATGGCCAATTGGCTATCGAACAAAATGAAACTACATAGGCTCCTTTAGCTGAATGCTTGATCTTGGATTTCTACGACAGGTAGCTTAGATATGCGTATAGCTTGCGTTGATGACCAATACCCTCATTATTATTGTACTCAATTGTTTCTAAGTATCTAACTTGACAAAATACTTTCAAATAGGCTATTGAAAAAAGTTATCATTTGTGTTATTTAAAAAAAAACATGTTTTTTACTTTTACAGCCTAATACTTTAATTGAAAAATGATAAATAATTAAGCCCCCTGTCAGCCCTTAAAGGCTTCTATCTCGATATAGAAAATCGCAAAGTTTAAAAACGTGGTTTTCATGCTCGAATTTCACGAAAAACAAAAATTTCAAAAGTCTTCGACAATTTTCGGCATTTTGAGTTGCGGCACGTGTTAGTCATTACCTTTTGAACTTATTTTTCTTAGTTTTTACACCCTAGGAATTAGAACCAACGTCTGGAGCGAAGATCAGAACAACTTGGAAAATAACAACCAGTCTAATGTACAGATATATTTCAAGTATATACATTTGCGAAAAGTAAAATGAAACATTCAGTATAATCTATCTCATCATAAGTACAGTAGCCTAAAGTACAATTTTTCAGCTCAAAAAAATATTGAGTTTTGCACGCAGACATTGCAGTAATAGAAGCAGTAGCGGTAGTAAAAGCAACTGTAAAAGTAGAGGCAACTATAGAGGCATACGTTTCCGGGTCCGGATATAACTATTCCAAGCTTCGAAGATGATCTTTAGTTGCAAGCTCGCTTATATACCTCTTACATAATGTTTTCCGTCTAATTCCCATCGTTTCCCGTCGATTCTGCTCCGCAGCTCTAAGTGTGACCCTATTATCAGTGATAGCGCTAAATTCTATACTCGTATACTATCAGCGCATCAATTCTATAAAGAAATAAAAACGATAGATTATGTATCGTTTTTTTATCCTCTATACTAATACTATGATAATATGATTGCATTGTCTGCCGGTGTGTGTTTATACGTTTAGGTATTTTTATTTTGGACTTGGATGTCTCTATAATTAGCTTAAGCTTTTAAGCTTTTAAGAAAGTTTGGGAATCTACCAGGAAGCGTTCATGGAAGCTTTCAAGAAGCTGAAAATGTCCACGACCAAATGGTCTCAGAAAACTTTCTTGAAAGTTTCCTGAGAGATATCATGGAAACTTCCAGAGAACTTTCTTGAAAGTTTTCTGAACGAATTTTCGTAAGTTATTTGGAAGCTTCCGCAGAAAGCTTCTGAAAAGCTGAAAATGTCCGCACTCAAATTATCACAGAAAGCTTTCATGAAAGATTCCTGAGAGATTTCATAAAAAATTCCAGAGATTTTTCTTAAAAGTCGTTTGAAAGGTTCTCAAAATGCTTCCTGACTCATACAGGTTAACCAGAGCTAAACACGGCGTTATTCATGTTACTTTGTAACAGCGACCCTTGCAAGGTGCTAAACTTCGGGTCAGATGTATTTTAGTTTTTTAGTGAGGTATTCACTACAGGACCCCATTATACTCATCCATGTGTGTGCAAAATAAAGTAGAGACTGATACAAATATAAAGAAATGAGCGACACTAGTCTAAAATTTCAAACGGCTTTCGTAAGTCTATTTTTCACTTTTGGCGCTGATGCTAGCTGGACCTCTAAGCAAGTAGTATAGACTAAAATAAGCTCAGACATCTGAGTGTATGCGAAGCAGTAACGGACTATAGTCCCGCCAGTTTCTCAAGTTTTATTGGTCCTGCTGGTGTTAGCCATTAAGGAAAGTTTGTTGTCGCATGAGCAAATTGAAGTATCTTTTATTTATTTTGTGTTTTCTTGAACAATTTACTACCTACACATACCTTGAAGTTCTTTTTGTTCAGAAACAGCGAAACTTTCGATACTAAAAAAAACGAAATTTCAAAGTCACATATTATAAATTTTTTCATTTTCTCTCGTTCTCTTCCCTCTGTCTCTCACTCAAATTCCATTGATTATGTATTTTTAACTGTGCCAAAAAATAACGGAGAGAGAGAAAGTGTGTGGGTTCATGCAAATTGTGTGAAAATCTAAAGAAAGGGATTATCCAAGCCTTCCAATAATCTCATACAGATCTACCTAGAAAATGATGAAAGGCTTGAAATCTTGTTAGTACAACTAACAATAACCAAATGTGCGTATAACATCAATTATAATGTATAGTCTTGTAAAAGGGATGAGCAGGGGAGATAGGCTAGGCCTACTGAAAAGTTTTAAGTTGTCTGATATGCCTAGGAGAGGGTCCGAGCAAGCAAACTTATAGTCTACTCTATGCGCCCCTGCCTACAATATAACTTTCGCTACGACAATTTTAACTTCTTTAACTTCTTAGAAAAGATCTGTACGCTTGGATCGTCAAATGGGTGCAATACGTGGATGAGTTTATATGTGTGTATATGTTGTGATTTTTACGTGTGATTTTTTCTTTATTAACTTTTTTTCTTTACTTTGTAACACAGCAGAAACGTACCAGGAGTTCGAGTGCTCGAGTATCGATTACTTCCCAAAGGAGGAATACAGCCCAGATCCGAGCGATTCGACCATGGCAATACCCTGTAAGTGCTTTATACATATATCCTACGTACTGCGTCGATACATCATATACTGTGCGCGGCAGAAATGAAAAATCATACGCAATATACGCTGTGATGGTGAAATCGACTAGGGAATTATTGCGTGCTCAAGATACTCGCTATACCGATACTTCCTGCTTCTACGTACATCTTTTAGAACATATAAATAAGTATAAAATATTCCATTTAAAAATGACTCGTAAAAATTTTACAAAAATCACTTTTCCATGCCCTTATTTACACGTTGATAAAATCTGCGCAAAGTGAACCTGTTTCAATAATTACATTAAATTTAAATAAATACTTACAATTCAATATTTTTAAAGAAGCGTAATTTTATACTTCGAAAAATGGCCTATAGATTATACAAGCTTTAATTTAATGTAATCATATATGACAGACTCCACGCTCGACCAGACACTGCGCTCGCGCGGGGCATATTTTATTAATTTTAAGTAGCCGATTTATCAAAATTTATCGAGATAATGTAGTGCAAATCAAATAGTACACGTGAATAACAATATTAATAATACAGAATGAATGAGCGTATTGTTTTTAATCATTAAACAGTTTTATTCAACTTTAATTGTATTTTTAATTTGCTCTCCTAAGCTAGCTTAGGTTTTATAATAATAATGTCGAAAGGGAAAGGTTGCATTTTTTGATTCGCCGATATTTTTTTGTTAAACATATTTTTCAGTTATTTTATTCGATAAATAAGCTTCAAAATGTTCGTAGATGAATAAAATATCATTATTATTTAAAAAAATAATTTTTAAAGTACTAAACGAAGGTTGCGCCACATTAAGCATCGTGACATAATAGGCGGTTCTCCCCTATACTAGAAAAAATGAACATTTGATTTAAAAAAAAAAGGCGAAAGTCGAAATTTTTTTTCAAAAATAACACTCTTTTAGGTACTTTAATAATCTCATATTCATTACAATTTTTCTTATTTCCGTAATTTACTGGTATATTACCCTGTTGTATATGATAGTAAAGAAGTGTGTAAAATTTTGTAAGGATCGGCTGAGTATATCCGGAGATTAAGTGTCCGCCATGGAAAAAAATATCATCTCGAGATAAACGCGTTAAAAATTATCAACTGTTATTGAATACCATGTATACGATTTTACTCAACCCTGATGACTAACTTGAAATTCCATATTTGTGCCAAATTTCAGGAAGTGATCCTCAGAAGTATAAATAATCCGTATAAATGCTGTAAAAAAAGTTGAACCGGTAATAAATAGATCCTTAAATCATGTTATTCGTTATTGAAACCAAATTGATTATTTAAAAATGGCGATCTGCACAGAAAATTATTCGATCTGATATCATATTATATAATGTGAATTTTGTGAAACACAATTTTTTGGTGGTAAAAAATATCTTGATTAGAAATCATAATTTCCGCCATTCATGTGCAGAATTTTAATCTTTGAAACTAGTAAGCTCATTCAAGTCATTAAGCTTTTTAATTGGTATATTTTCAAAATTATTATAGACCATAAAAAGTTATGAATAGATCAACAAATCTATCTTGACTTTTATGATGCCCACAGACGCAGTTACCAAGTCAGCTGTCTTCTTTCTTGTTGCTACCGCACTGCTGATAGCCGCTGAGTTTTGCTACCTCTTTGGACTACTACTGCGACCGAGGACAAGCCTTTATATATTCACTGCCGCAGTTATTATGATTGTTTCAGGTATAAAGCGTCATATATTTTGGCACAATGACAATTTTAACTCACCGTAAAATTTCCCAGCAATTTCACTGAAAATGTAAAGCGCGAGAGAGGATGTAATTTTTGGGACTGGTTCTTGTGTAATGATGAAATTTCCATCTACCGCTATTTTATTGTAAATGTTTTTATAATTTTCATGTGCAGGGCTACTTATGCTTGTTGGTATGGTTATGTACATTTCGATATTCAAAGCTGAAGTGGGCAGTAAATTACGTCCTCGCTCCTCTTTTCAAGTAAGTAATAATTTATACAGACTAGCAGATAGAGACCGATAATAGTTTCTGATTTTTTAATGACCTTAAAAACTCGGAAAGATACATCGATAACAAACTCAAAAAACGGAATACATGTATTACGCAGTATTAGCGTGGCGATATATTTTCAAGTACATATCGATTTGTAACCAATTTTGGCCTTGTGTCCTGATTTTTTAACTTATGCCATTATTAAAAGATGATAATTCAGCACTGATCAAGTATCCTTTGATGTAGATCGATATGGTCATAATGTAAGAAAAACCCATGATTGTGTGCTGATTTTTAAACTTATGCCAATGGAAGGAATGTAATTGTGAAACTCATAGAATACATAAAAAAAATAATGGCATAAGTGCCACTAGTAAATATAAAAAACGATGTCCAATATTTCGGGTTAAAATATATTTACCCTAAAATCAAAATATTGCACATCTTTCGCAGAGTCTAGATTTTTATATCTACTAGTGGCACTTATGTCATTATTTTTTATGTATCCTATGAGTTTCACAATTGCATTCCTTCCATTGGCATAAGTTTACTTTAAAATATATTGCCACCCTAATACGGCGAAATATTCAGTTTTTTGAGCTTGTTATCGATGTATCTTTCAGACTTTTCAAGGGCATTTCAAAATCAGAACCTATTATCGGTCTTTATCTGCCGGTCTAATATCGTAGAAAAGTAGGAAAATGTCTCTCTTTCTTTCTTTTTCTCTCTTTGAACGAAACTGACTCACTGAGCGAAATTTTATCACACGTTCACATTGCTAATGTCGAGTAATGAAATAATTCAAATAAATATTTTTGTAACAAAAAATTGTAAGGGGACATTTCCATTTATGAAAGGTAAAAAATCACTTACTAATTACGTTATTTTTTCAAATCTATGAATTTTAATTCTGGGCTTTTTCGGCATTATTCCTTATACATTGAACTGCAAAAAAAATTTTTATAGAGGACTAAACTAGAGTAAAACAATAAAGAAAAGTCATGACGAAATTCGACATATTCGCAAGTAAAAATCAAATTTTCTATTGTAGGCGATGAAAATTCAATAATTAGATACAACTTTACAGTGGAAAGTTAATGTGTTACCGGAAAAAAATAAAGTTTAAAACTACCGTAGAGCAAATTTCGATACAAATAAAAGAAAAGAAATATACTTTGTCTTTCCTGTTAAAAAATGCGCTTTTTCTTGTTCTTTATATTTTGCACGATACACTTCATAAAGCAGTCCCTTTTAGAACATGTACAATAGCAAATGAAATTATAGTCCAAAAGCGTATAAGTGTAACGAGATGGAAGGTATGAAGTCTACTTAGTTAGCAAAGTGAAAAAATACGTATGTATGTATAGAGAGAGAGAGAGAGAGAGAGAGAGAGAGAGAGAGAGAGAGAGAGAGAGAGAGAGAGAGAGAGATGGAGAGTAAACGAGAGCGTAATTTCCGGCTGGTACACAGGGTCCTCCTTTCGTCTACCGTTACGGCTACTCGTTTCTGCTATATGTAAGCGGCTTCATAACTACAGAACTGGCCGGCATTACTGCCATCTTTCTGCATATCTCCTGGCAGCAACTCGAACTCGACCGAGAATTTTCAAAGCGCAAATGCCTCAACGTAAGTATATCTCTCGATAGCAACAATTACTTTAGAATCTCTAAAGTCACTATGAAATATATCGCGCTGTGCTGAGTCTCAAGAAAAACTTAGCATAGAGAGCGATAATGACAGAAGTGATAGTAATTAGACCAAAAAGTTGTTTGCCCTACCTCACACATATTAAACATCATGTCAAGCGAATTTCATCATTTGTTTACTTACAAGGAGACCACATGAGATGCGGGTCACCAATGTCCTGAAAATTTTTTTCTGGTCTCCTGGTATCTAATAATAAAGCCCCCTATGCTTAGTTTGATCCAATGGGCCTTAGGGCCCATTTTAAAAGTCATTTTCTAGTTTATTGAAAAATCTTTGTGATTTTCTAACTTGTAATAGGACATATTAAACGGAAAATTGCACAATGTACAAGTCTTAGAAGTAGTCAAAGAATACATTTGAATTTTTTCAGAATTTTTGAGACCTGCTATCACTTATTTTCAAAGGCCCAAATTTGACGTGCTTTTACGATTTTCTTAAGAATTTCAGAGACCTTCGAAAGTAGGTGATAGCAGGTCTCAAAAATTCTGAAAAAATTCAAATGTATTCTTTGACTACTTCTAAGACTTGTGCATTATGCAATTTTTCGTTTAAGATGTCCTGTTACGAGTTAGAAAATCACAAAGATTTTTCAATAAATAAGAGAATGATTTTTAAAATGGGCCCTAAGGCCCATTGGATCAAACTAAGCATAGGGGGCTTCATTATTAAGTACCAGCAGACCAGAAAAAAATTTTCAGGACATTTGGTGACCCGCATCTCATGTGGTCTCCTTGTTAATGTTAGGCGTAATTGAAATAATCTTTTTTCTTTATGTTCACTGTAGCATGATTCATACCCGTTAAACTACAATTACTCGGGACATAGTCACAATCATCATCACATGTTAATGCCCCCGCTACAAACCCATCGCTACTACAGCTCGATGCTCGGTTATCATCTCTGCGATCACCACCAAAAGCGATACTTATACGAGAGGCCAATATTTACTGAGTCCACGGACTTGTATCAACACCAGCATCAGCAGCAAATGAATCATCATCACCACCATCATTATCACGCTCACAATCATCACAATCATCACAATCATCAACATCAGAACATGGCGCACTTGGAGTGCTGCGAAGAGTTGATGTCGAGGTCGCACAGCGTCACCTCCTGCAATCGTTATCACACAGGAATGCCTCATGATCTTACAACGGAAACGGTGAGTTCAATTAACCTATAATCCATCTTTCTGTACCATATTATGACTGATTGCAAAACTTTGATTTCTATCAAAATTCTTTTGAGGAAGGATAAATGTGAACTTAGCATACAGTACTGTAATAGTACTTTACGATACAAGGGCTATAAGTAACACTAGCACTGTGCTAAGTTCACATTTATGCCCTTTTTCCGAGTTTTAAGTATAGCACTTTCTAGTAGCACGGTGTTAGGTTAGCACACGAGCGCAGCGAGTGTGGTAGGAGCGACGCAATCCCAGAATGTGCGACTTATGACACCGAAAAGCGTGCCATAAATGTGAACTTACGCTCCGCAGCGCTATAAAATTTCGTACGATACTCGTGCCATAAGTAATACTTTTCGGCCCAGATATTAGTACCCTCGCAGCGCTTGGACCTTAAACTACGCCGTGCCAAAAAGTGTTACTTATGGCACGAGTATCGTAAAGTACTATTATAGCACTGCGTGGCATAAGTTCACATCTATGGCACGCTTTTCGGTGGCATAAGTCGCACATTCTGGCACCGCTGCGTTCGCATCACACTCGCATACGCTCGTGCGCTAACCTCACTTCGCGCTACCAGAAAGTGCGACTTATGCATCGGAAAAGGGGGCATAAATGTGAACTTTGCACAGTACTATAAAACGTTGTTCGATACTCGGGCCATAGGGGACACTTTTCGGCCCAGCTATTAGGACCCTCGCTGCGCTCGGGCCCTAAACTACGCCGTGCCAAAAAGTGTTACTTATGGCACTTGTATCAAAAATTACTATTTTCTGCAAATATGAAAAACTTGTTGATTTCGATACCAGATGCCCAAAGTTGGCCATTTTAGCGTTTTTCAGAAATTCATTAAAAATCGCAAAAATTCAAATAATTCCTAGATCAATGTAGAATGACTCAAAAGCAAAACTGAGTTAGAGCTTTTTTATTCTTAAGTGATTGGAGCAATCTGGGAGCTTATAGAGTAGAAAAAACTCGAGTTTGATCCGGAGTTTCGTTTCCAAAACTATGTAAAAAGTTCCTGAAGACGCCGACTACTACCTGATTAAATTTTGTAACGGGCCTTAAAATGTAACGCAATATTGACAACTATCGAAAAACAGCAAAAAACGTCCAGAAATTTCTGTTTTTGGTATTTTACGGATTTAGAGCCTATTTTTTACGTTTTTGCTTATTATTTGACACATGTTGTTGTCTAAATTGCGTTTACTTTGAGACCTATTACAAAACCTTATCAGGCTGGTCTAGAAATTATTTGAATATTTGCGATTTTCAATGAATTTCGGAAAAATGCTAAAATGTCCAACTTTGGGCCTCTAAAAAGTGCCATAGAAGGCCCCAATTTTTCAAAAAAAATTTTGGGATAAATCTGACATCGGGAATAACAAGTTTTTCATATTTGCAGAAAAAAATTTTTTTTGACTGTTCGACTTCACGGAGAATCGGACGTATAGATAGATAGATAGATAGCTAGCTGAGTTTAAAACCAGCGGCAACTTTGCGATTTTTGACTAAAGTGCTATGAAAATACTATTTTCTTAAATGGGTAAAAAATGAAACTTCCGCATGCACGTGTTAATGACGCCGAGGTGAAGACGAGATAATCTACTGTATTTTTGAGCCTAAAATTAATGATTGCCTTCGATTCTACAAAAAAAATTCTAAAACATTATCTAGTTGAAATGCTTCTCAAATTTTTCGTTTGTTTCTTATCATGGAAGGAGAATTTTTTCCCACTTTAACCTAAAACACGCGGCTTTGCGGTTAATTTTATGATTTTGTGGGAAAAAATAGTGTATAATCAACTGGTGCGGGTTTTTCATATAACTGCAAAAAAGTTAGTTTTAACAGCGGTGAATGAAAAATAAGTAGTTCAATGCTTTGTGCAATGAACTATAATAAACTTAAGGGGACCAGAGTCCAGTAAAAAATGGAAATTTTCAAATAAGTATTTTAAAACATCTACTGAATATTTCTCTAAAAGGTGTTCCATGGCAAATTTTGCTGTTCTTAAAATTGGTTTGAAAATTTGAATTTTAGGCTACCTTCGCGGATCCCGTTAAGTGCTATCACGATCATCAACATAAACTGATCGTCGAAATAATATTCGCGAACACGTCACTACTATAGACTAGCGGAGAGATATTCTCTGCTCATCGAAAACCTCACAGGTAATAGACAAGCATCGGCCTACCATAACCGAATTCTACCATCTTCCGAATATCATCATCCGCTGTAACATTAACATAAAATAAATACACGATACGTTGAAGTCCTTCAGCGTGCACAATAATTTTTAAAAGTAGGTTATAATATTAGGAAAAAAAATTTTTTCTCTGCCATAAATAAAGAAAAACAATAAAAAAATTTATTTAAGAAAATCTAATTTATTCCTATATACGACTTGAGGTGAGATAACTTTTGCTCTTTACGTGCTTTTGTAGGTGAGCACGATAGCTGACGTTCTTCAAGACGACTGCCGAGCGAGTACACCGCAACACGAATGTGTGAGCTTTGACCTGGGCGATAATTTACCTCCGCTACCTGAGACTGTAAGGAGCAGTGCTTGGAAATCCAATTCCTTTAAGAGAACTACGCCTGTTTGATACACCGTAAGGTAAAATCATTTGATTCAATTAGAGTCCACCTAGCCTGAGATAAATATTGATTATTATATTTGAGCTTTTGGTCATATTTACTCTCAGGTACGCTAAATTGCTTCAGATCGGGCCAAACACCAACTACGATGACGACGACAACGACAGGACCAGTAGCTACTCTTTGTCATCCACCGAAGAAACTGCCAAACCAAACGATTCGAATGATAAGACTCTGTTGCTGGACAATCAATAAATCATTATTTTAAATGTAATACAAAAATTTACCACACTCGTACATTAGAAACGCGTATACTAATAAAGGATGGTTTAGACCAATCAAAGAACTCTATAGAAAGTGATAATTAACCAAAGTCTTTTTATACAGTTTTAATAGTCACGACTAAGAACAAATTTTATAATTATAATGAAAGTAATTGAGAACATAAGAGCGTAAAGAAAAATTTTTTATAACAATATATTTACACAAATATACATACTTAATGGTATCGCCGTATTACGTTCTGTTTTCTCCTTTTCCTTTCGTAAAATGAACGTTATAAAATTGTGTTCATATTACTAGAAAACCCGCATTACATGTAAATTGATATTATACACAGTCGAAGTAATTGTTCGTCATAGGGTATACGCATAATTGTTAATTTAACATTCCATATCGTATCACATGCAACAGGAGAAACACGATCACCCTCGCCAGTTATAATATTTGTAACATATTCAACATTCAAAATCATATTACATGTTATTGTTATAAATTTATCTGATAAGTCATGAATAAATATATGTACAGTTTATCAATCTTTGTTGATATTTGTGCGATAATAACAATGTGTTAGAAGCATGTATTCAAATTTACGGGCTTTCAAAATCAATCAGTACAGTTTTAATTGCTTAATTTTTTTGTAAAACATTACGAGATTTTAGAAAATATTTAGAGTTTATTAGTTCGTGTGTTACTAGTAGAGAAAATCCAAAAATATTTGCATAATAAGCACGAAAATTTTAATGAACGATTTTTTTCATTCGTCGTTGCATTTTATTCCGTTCAACGCCCCATGATAGTCGGTTCGTCAGCCATAGCAAGCTCTTCAGTGGCGGCCCGGCCGCGTTTACGTTTTCGCGAGTAGAGCATGAACGCCAAGGCGCTGATCAAATGGGCCGCAAAAACTGTCCAGGCGAGCACGAAAGAGTAACCATGGCGCAGTTCTGAGAATTTTGGAAACAGCCAGTTGTCACGTTTGCTGCCATACTCGACCGACTGAAGGAACACCTGAAGCACCACCATAACGCACGCACCTATTGGCAATGGCATACAATTTAATACATTAATACTCAAAGGTTAAGAAATAAAAAATTCAAATAGCGCAGACAGAAAGTAACTCACAGGTAATGAAGTGAATACCACCAGCGAGCCTTTTGAAAGTGTAACGAGGATTCCGAAAAGTGTAGATGGAAAAGCCAAAGCCCATTACCATGACAAAGGTACTAATGATGGCAAACGAGACGTCAGTTCTCGCGTAATCTATAAAGTAAAAAAGGGTACTGCTGTTACTGCCACAGTCAGAAAACTTTCCCATTTATGAAAATGTAAGTAAAATAATACGATAAGTTGATCTTAAGCAGCAACGTAAATCCTATCGATTTAACCGAGAGATTTTGAAATAGATCGCTTCTCCTTTTTCCTTGCTTTTCCTTTCTGCTATTTCTCAAAATATTCTTAATAATTGGCATTTTATTCTACGATATCTATATGAGCAATTCTTTAAAAAAAAACGCATTTTTGTAGGTAGATCAAAACTTTTTTTTACTCTACGTGGGTACGGGAAATATTTGTGGGATCCCGGCAACATGAAAAAACGTAGGAACAGTCGAAATTTTGATCGTGGTTTTTTTTACTTTTGTGATTTAGAGGACAAAAAATCATGTTTTCATGGCTACGTACTCAATTTCTAAGTCGCCGAAAAAGTATCAAAACTCATTTAAAAAAAGTAACTGACTACTGTGTTCGATAGGGAATTTTCTCAGCTTTCCAATGGTAATATTAGATTTTCGGATAAGTAGCATTTTCACTAAGAAAATCGTCGTCAAATATGCCAAGCAAAATATCCCGAAAAATACGGTAGGGAAAAAGTGATATTTGAGGTTTATTTTTTATTTTTCCTTGTAAAAATTGATTATTTCGGAAAATCTGATATTACCATCGGAAAGCTGAGAAAAGTTTCTATTGAACACAGTAGTCAGTTACTTTTTTTGGATGAGTTTTAATACTTTTTCGGAGACTTAGAAATTGAGTACGTACGTTTTAACGAGAAAGCATTGACGAGAAAACATGTCTATTCGTCCTCTAAATCACAAAAGTAGCTGATAAAAACACTCTGAAAATTGCGATTGTTTCTACGTTCTTGCATGTTCCTGGGACCCCCACAAATATTTCCCGGGGGTCCGTACCCATATAAGGTGAACAAAAATTTTGCCCCAAATCTGCATTTTTTTTTGAAGAATTGCTCATATATCCGCATCTCTCTGACAAGGGCCCATTATGATAATTATAATATAGTATCGTAAATAGGCAAGTGAGATGAGAAAGTTGTTGCAGTACAACTAGTTAAAAGTAATACGCGCTCTTGAAATACGTACACGATCATAAAGTCCATAAAGCAAATCATGTCAATGTCGGACCGATGACGTGGGTACTAGCTCTAGTTTTACGGACTCGCCGTTATGAGAGCGAGGTCTTACACATACGCATTTTTTTTACATTTTTTTGCCCTTTCACTCTAGCGCTAAATAATTAGCTGGAAAAAAGATTTACGTATCGTATTGAGAGTCACTGGAATACACATATTTTCCCGCAAACTCTTCTATCTATACATTTATAGAAAATGCTCAAATCATTGTTATTGATAGTGCAGAATTCGTAAATTTGTGCTAATATAGCAAAAAAATGAGTTAAAGAGGAGCTTTATGTACTAGCAGAGGCCTGAAAGCTTGAAACAAACACGAGAAACGCCTCAGCTAATGTTCTCTATTTAATTAGATGATACGCGTTTGTTAGGGCACCGCCTCATTTCTGCTCATAGTTTTTGCATAGAATTGTCTAATCTTTCTTAAAACACTAGTTTAACAGAAACTATATACTCTTCCCTTCTTCTTTAAAAATCTTATTCGTTCAGATTTATGATAAATTTTTATCAAAAAGATACGTCTGAATATTAACTTTAAGTTCTCACTCAGCTTATATGTATTTAAATTACTCACTAACTAACGTATCGTCTACTTCAGGTTTGCGCAGGCGTTTAGACTTCTGCTCGTTGGAAAACATATCGTGCGGATTGCATTCGCCTGTAAAGAATAAAAGCTTTCGGTTATAAAGAAATAGAAAGAGAAAAAAAGGACAAAAGGGGATATAATAGATTCATGTCACAATTGTGCACAAATCGTCATAAGTAGTAAAAATAAAAATTAGCTCGATTGACTTTCATACAATCCCTTGATATTTCAAAGGTAACATTTTAAGGTAAAATTTTATTTGATTTTTGGAATAGTATATTTTGCACCTAGGGAGTGAAAAACTGGAAAGTCTCAGAGCACGTGTAATTTATCATCCGAGGCGAAGCCGAGGTTGATAATTATGTGCTCTGAGACTTTCTTTTTTCGCTACATAGGTGCAAATACAATTTTTTGTGAATCCCCCAGCCTAAAGTAACATTTTGGTTTTGCTCAGCGGGAGTAAAATGTTACTTTAGGTTGGAGTGGCACAAAAAAGTATTTTTCTTTCCCTTTTTATAATATTTTTTAAAATTCCAATACGTTCATTTTTTCCTAAGGGTTTCCGTGAATTTTTTTGTATACTTTGCGTGTTAAATTTTTTCTTCTTTTGCATTTTCTGGTGAATTACGTATTTCAAAAATACATCTGACTTCTCGTAACTGTCTTGGTGAGACAATCCAAGGTCGCTCTCAATCGGTAGAATTATGATGCAGAGAACAGAAAAAAAAAGATGACAAAAAAATTATATTCGAGTATTTATGCAGAGTAACCTTCTGGTTCAATCATCTCAACTTTTTTTTAATTGAATTTGACTTGAAATCATAGCCAATACCACTAACTAGTTACTCGTTTTGTATAGGGTCAAATGGCTAGTTACGAACCACTAGAGAAAAATTTGGACTTCGTTCACTCATGGCGCTAGCTCATATTGTAAGATTTTTTGAAAAATACTTTCTGCTAAGAAAAAACCAACCTTATGTAAGCAAGCATCATGTAAGACAGCTTGATTGAAAAAATCTTCAAAATCTCAGTGTGGCAACCTTAACGTTTTTTATATCACGAAATATAGTTTTAATACTTCTTAATTATGAGTTTTAGAGGTCACTAAACCATTTATCACAGAAAAAATCGCGTTTATCACCACGATAACGCATTCGGATCGGGTCGGAACTGTTGATCTGGTAGATACAGGCCTATACTAAAAAGTAGTGGCATCAGTTTATCTCGATTCAAAATTTTGGACACGGTATCAGCCGATCGCAGTCAAAAATGTAATAAAAATCGTCAGAAATTTCCTTAATACTTAATATAAGAAAATACAATGCGGTTATAAAAATTAAAAACATCGTTTCATTCAAATATTCTAATGATTAAATGCTGATGCCATACAATTTTTTTTTAATAATGGTTTGTCGAATGCTTTTCTCTTTAGTCAGCGAGCGTCATAGAATCCTCGAAATGGCTATTCGGACCGTTACGCAAAATCGTATTTGGCTCGATGCTCAGCTGCAATATTTTCCCAGCCGTGAAATTATCGGAAATTTTGCTCATGCGTAGGGCAAGCCTTTACATTATTCGCACTATAACATTAATACAATTTGTATGAATCTATGCTCGTAGATGAGCCCGTCGAAAAAAGTGGAGATTTAAAAAAAAAACATGAAACGAGTATGGATGGTATTTTTCCGTTACCTTAAATAGATAAATGGTTGAGCTTGCACCGGCATAAATTCATTTATTCTCGTTTTTTGCAGTAACGCATGCAGAACAAAAGCCCGTGGCGGTAATTGAATGAGGCAAACGTAAGCTTGCTAGTGTTGGGGCAAATGCGTGCATGAAATCAATCGAACTTTGCACTGTGTACGCATACCCGTGAAATGTAATACTCACTTTTTTATGTTCGAGGATAGTACTATATGTGTAATACGTGATATACTAATACATACACATATGAACACTTAATGACCTCGAGCCTTCCTCCACTCATTGCACTTTAAACCCTTCAAGCATGAGAATTCGAAGCATTCCAATGAGAGCTAAATGCGCTACATAAGTCGGCAAGCTATCACTTAATGGTTACGCAATTTATACTTATAGTCAAATCAATGTAACAAACGATAATTTTTAAATTTCAAGAAATTAACGTCGCCCCAGTGCATAAAGGTATCTGTTTAATCTCAGAGGCAAAAAAACGGTCTAAGTTTCTATTTTATAACATAGCACATAGTTTCTTTTTTGTCTCCAAATTTTAACCCGTTCAATACCAAAAGACCCTAATTTTGACTTATTTTTCCACGCGTTATTTTTTTATGAAACTATTGTTAAAAATGTAAAAATACCATATATGATGGGATTTTTATCGCTCTTTTCAAATCTAGTGTCAGATTTATGATATATGCAACCGTTTCAAAACTACATTTGTTTAAACCAAAAAAAACGTGGTTTTTGAACATTTGTCTTCAAAATGATCGTATTTTTCACCACAATTACGCATTCGGATCGGGTTAACTCATTAAGTCTGGGACGGACACATTTTTGATACTTTTTGAACCGTTGTACTCTTGCTAAAAATGGGTCTGGGGAGAACTTGTGAGTAAGCATATTCTACGCAAAATTTAATGAACTTTCCAAATCCAGTGTCAGATTTTCGATATAATAAACAGGTCAAAAGTTATGGACGGTTTTATAAAAAAAACGTGATTTCGAAAAAAAAGTTTTTCTCCTTTTCGAATTTTCACATGAAAATCTATTAAATCCTAGCGTCTTTGGTACAAATAAAGTGTCCATGGGTCCTTTTCTTTAAGTTATGACGGTTCCAATTAGTAAAATATGATTTTAAGTACAAAAAATGGTGACTGGAAAACGAAAATATATAAGGAAATTTTTGGCATTTTTAACTCAAAAACGATGGATATGAGGAAAAATTTTTACTGATGTATGAGTTCGTTGATTAATTCTAAGAATCCATCGTTTTTGAGTTAAAAATTCCAAAAATGTTGTTTTTGGAAATAGTATATTACTGCCCTAGGCCGTACCTCGGCTTCGCCTCCGTCGCTTATTTCACGTGCCCTGGGACTTTTCTGTTTTTCCCGGCCTAGATCAGTAATATACTATTGTTTAACCGCGAGACGTGGAAAAATTAGAAAAAATGACTGAAAACCGCCCAAAAACGTATCGAAAAATTATACGAAAATGTCTAATTAAAATTTCTGTAAGTTAGAATAAAAGATTTATACTAAAAAAAGTTCTTCAGAAAGGTTATAAAAATGTACTGAAAAAAATATAAAAAAGTAATTTTGAGGTGTGATTAGCTCTTCACAGGCTTCACTTCATTTAGTCTACTCGATTTGTGTACTCGGACCATGTAAGCTGTATGCGCAGGCAATATGATCAAATGGTGTGAATACTCACTGTAAGGAACGATATCTGTGTCATTGGTGTGTCGATTTCTGTGAAAAAATCCAGTCGTGCAACTACTTAGAAGCCCGGCATGGCCAGTAAAGAAAAGTTTGGTCCCATTAGGTGAGTTCTGATCGCCGATAACGAGGCCCTTGTTGTCAGGCGAGCGAGCCTCTATCCAATGACTTGTAGCAATTGATACTGACCAGATGCAAACTGCAATGCCTACCAAGATTGTGCAGCCGAATAAAATACGTCGCTCAAACACCACCTGAGAGGGGAAACCGGATGCAAATTTTCAGTTCTATAATTCATTGTTTAACAATGTAATTGAATTTTTTCCATGCGACATGTGTGGAACTCTTTGAAACTTTTAGTTTTTCGCTATTAAAATATACTATTTATACTAATAAAATTATACTCGTAGATATTTAAATACTTATAATACAAGATCTGCATCGGTTCCCTAAATGTTAAAAGTTTCAGAGAATTTCACATGCATACGTACTTGATTGTAAGTATTCTTCATCTTCATTCGACTTGGCATTTTGACGTAGATGTCGTCGAGGAAATCCTCTTTCGTGTACGATCCTAGATATTACTGCACTACTCGAGTAAGACTCGGCAGCAGCATCGAGTTGTCGATGTTGCTGGCTGCTCATCGAGAAACCTACGAGCTAACGGTTGACGGAGTTTCGCTTGCTGTAATTCACCACCAGCGCATTCGGAAGCCGTCATGACACGAGCCTTAAGTGGCGGCAACGCGTAATCTGAGAACAAAAATACAGCGAAAAAAAAATAGTAGAAAATTGAAAGCACGCTTAAATATCTTCGTTTGGCTAGGTACAAAGTATAATACGAAAATAGAAATTGCCCGAGGAACGCGAGCGCTATGCATCGATCGTAAATTTAAAGCACCCGAGCCCAGAGAGAAACAGAGAGACAGATAGAAAAAAAGAACATTTATCGTTTTGGCCTCTTTGTAATAAACTTAGCGTGCAAGTTTGCGCACGGCCAAATACTCGTAAGCTCCCGTAGTGGTCGTATTGTGCATGCAGTGGCTCCTATTATATCGACTTACAAGCGTTGCATAGTTGAGGAAGCGAGAAAGTCAGAGAGCGAGATAGAGAGAGAAACCTACACTTTGACAAATGGGATGACATGTACTGCCGAGCAGCGGCGAGATGATGCCTCTGTTCACGGAAAACAATGTATACGTCGCAATAACTTATCACGTATATAAATATTATAATTTATATACGTATATGACCCATTCTCGGTGAAGTCAAATAACTAAAAAAAATTTTTTTTCTACAAACATCGTTTGCAGTCTCCAAATTTTATGTGAATTTTTAGATTTGTCTATCGCCCTTTTTGAAAGGTCCATAGTTGTCATTTTAAAGGGGGTGACTCCGCCGGAACGCTTGTAGCGAATATTCTAAAAATTCTTAGCACGGTATACAGTGACGTGAAAATAAGAACAGGAAATCTTTTTTGCTGCAAATTAACCAAATTTTTAGAAAAATAGACTACAAAAGGATCTGAGCCCCCAAGGGGCTTATTTCTACGAGAAGAAATACAAAATCTAATCGTATTCGATCTACGAATTTAATCTCCAAAAAATTCACAGCGCTCCTAAAAAATGTAAGCGAGTACCTACTATATTTTTTAATGGCCCTTCAAGTCTGGAGATGAGTAAGTGTGTCAAAAAAACGTCGAAAATGGCTAACTTCGGCGATTTTCAGTATTATAGACCGTTTGTGCTTCTTTCTACTGGACGGGCCTTTGGAGTGCTCTAATCACTTTGCAGTATTTTTTTCTGAAAATTTGTGCTATTTTCAGAAAAAAAAATTTCTCGCCCTGTTTTCTTAACTTCTTCTATATTGAGCGAGGACTTTTTGAAACATTCGGTACAAGCATAATATCTGTCAAGTGCCAACTTTAGGCCTCCGAAAATGTTAATAATTCAAATGACATCACAAATATTAAGTTTTTCATGTTCGCGGGAAAAAAAAAATTTAGAAATTCGACTCTAATTAAAATCGGCCATACATATAATCCGTATGTGTATTCTTTTTTTGATTCTTGCTTTGATTGATTGGTGTTCAAGTGCTGAGAAAAACAAAGAGCTCTGACATAATTCACCGTGTCAAGCTTACTTCAAATCCCAGACCTTTCTGTATATTATGCGAAGAGAGCAATTCAGTACACAAAAAAGAGGTAAAAAAAAGAAGACGAGCGGGCTTGCGCACGAATTAACGAGCTTTTATTTCCGTCGCGTAAATACACGAAACGCGTATATTGGCCCTCCCGGCGAGCAAGCGAACGAGCGAGCTTTATTGTTTACGGGGGAGATGTTGCCATTACCCCGGTGCTTTTCTTAACTCGAAATTTACGATATTTGCGAGAGCGTTTATTATTATATTGCTGCCTCGGCAACTGCAAGCCTAGTGCACGCGCACATACCTCTATCCCAGTTGACCTATATTTATAGAGACATTATCGCGAAATTTAGGGAAATATGCGCCGATTCATTTTTTAGGCCTATATAGAAACGGCACAGGAAATGAATAATGTAGCGTCACAAGTGTGGTTTCCTGACATTCATCCAGCAGAGCGGTTGCGCGGGCTATCCTTGGGATTGATTCCAAAATTCACCCTGATAATAAAAATTTTTATTCCCAGAGCTGAGGACATTTTGTGTGCTAGGATTTATAACAAAAATTCCCCCAGTTCCAGTCGGAAAAGTGATTATTATCTAAATAAATAATCTGCGAAGAGCTCTTAACTCGTCAAACATAAAAGGAATTTATGCTCATATTTAAGAAAGGGTTCCAAAAATTTTGACAAATTTTCCCTTATTTTTCGACTATGATTCAAAGGCTGTTTTATTCTTTGGCATTTTTCACTAAAATTGGTCTTGATCGTGAACCTCAAATATTCCAAACGTGATGAGCAAAAATGATTTCAGAAAAATTTCGCCATTTTTTATCCAATAAAAGAATGAAATTAGAAAAAAACTATAGATTAAAAAGTTCTAGGATTGATCGAAAAATACGTGTAATTTTTCTAAAATTTTTCTTGTTTTTTTTTATTTTGAAAGTGAATTTATTGATCAGTGGTACGTGTTCGTTTTATTTTATTTTTAAGGGCTTATATCTTGCACAGATTATTTTTGTTGTTGTTAATGATAATCACTTTTTCATTTTTTCCCACTGTCGTTCTTCTATGCATAAGTTGATATTAATGCGTAAAGCTCCAAGTCGAAAGTTTTACGACCAGACGCTAATTTCCTACTATCTGGATTGTTTGCCTCTAAATGCTAACTGGAAGTGCGCAATATTCAACAACTAGGGCTGTAGCTCGCTCGGTATTCAAAAATAACCAGTTTTGGCGAAAAAATCGTACTTTCTCTAATAGTGCTCATTATTCGCGAGCGCTCGAAACTTAAGCGATTCTTCTGTGAGAGCAAGTTCATAAAACACGAGAAACCTCGAGTTTAGTAACAAGATCTCGCCAGAGAACTCCTTGGGAAAATTTCTGACTCGAAAACAATGATGACTTTATTGCTCAGCCTCTTAAAATTGAGTAATAATCTGATTACGATAAGATTAATGCAGTGTCATCGTTTGAACGATAAAATATTACTTTCTGCCTTGTTTTTTATTTCAACTGTACTTTTTATTAACGCGAAAAAGAAAACCTCGATAATCCGCGATGACTTGAGTCACAAGTAATTGGATTTATTTCAAAAAAATTGAATGCCAGTGTTTAAGTTCGTCGTAGTGTCTAAGGAGCATTGCTATCGTGAATGTATTTCTACTCACTTGCGAGCTTGGTAAGCTATTTTGAAATGCGAATCGAAAAGTTTAGCTCCTACAAACTCGTAGTCTCTTTTATGAATAATTGCGCAGGGCGGCCAATCTGTACAGTCGCAATAAAACACATACATGTAACCTGTTGCCCTGACCGTTATTGCATGCGTTGGCTTAATTGTTGCCTCTAACGACTAGTCCGTATTGCATTGTGTGCTTTGTGCGCTGCACGCACTCTACGACATGACGTTGTACTGCCATTGTTATACATGCGTATTTTCTCTCCCCGCATCAGCCACGTGTAAAATAGAAAGCGATTTAGGATTCCCTTTTTTGTGCGTCAGAATGGCCAATGGTATATATAAATGCAATTTGAAAGTTACGATTTTTCATGTTTGATGGTTTTCATTTAGTTTGTACAATGCATGTAATCACCTGGTTTGAAATCGTCACACGATTTACTCGAGAGAATTGTTAGGTATAGAGCGTGGATGGGGTAATTTTACGTCTACGTGGTCTATATGTCACCTTATACGTACTGATAATAAAAATCAATGACCGATCTAAAAGTTTACTCTTACAGATGAAAATACTGAAAAATTGAGATCTCTGGTCATCGGCCCCATGATCAGAGGTTCAAAGTTGGATCCACGCTACAAAATCACTACAGATCATGCGCCAATTTCATCATCCTTCAAACCTCATGCCCTGCCAAGAATGCTGTCGTAAGTTCACGAATTTGATAAGGTTATAATACAAGAAAAAAATTCACGTTATCATGTTTTGTGAATTATTGGTTTGTTATTCTTAATATTTCTACCGAACTCTTTTGTAAGAAAAAAACGGATTTATAAATATCTTTGATATTGAATAAAACAAACGAGAATAGAAAATTTTTAAAAATGACCGTGTCAAGCGTATTACATCGTCGCAAGCACGTTAATATTTCATTATCTGCGGGAAAATTGAGTTATTCAGTATGTAAGAGAAAACGAAGCGATAAGGTATAAAGGCTGCTTTTTCTTGCACTTGATACTTTTCTCTTTCAACTATACACATTGCCCATCAATTATTTTTGCCATACCCCGGCGGACAATGAGTAAACTTCAAAGTGTCGTAGCTCAGTCTAAAAAGGTCGGATTGGAATTTTAAAAACACCATTCAAAAGGTCTTGGCAAGCACTTTATGTCTATGTAAATTTTTATTAGGTTCATTTATTTTTCAATTTTTATTGACAATTAACGAATCGAAAATATTGATTTTTCTTGTCTCGATTATTTCTCTTGCCATTTTAGTTAGAGAGGTCGTAGAAACATTCTGATCACATGAATTTGTAGATTTTGACAAGACCTTTAAATCCATTCAATTTAAATTGTGATATGTGCATTTTTTACGAAGATACGACCGTTTACTAGTCCCCTATATTTTTTAAAATTCAAAAATTTTGATGAGCCAAAACCATGAAAATGCTAAGAATCTGATCCATAACTATTAATTCTTATTCTACATAGAAAAAAAACATTTTTTGTACATAAAGTTTTTTCCCATCTCATTTACAAAGCCGCGTACATAAGCCGTGTGTATAATATACGTAAGCTAACAACGGCGCGATCCGCCTTCACTGTTTCGTAATTATTTTCGACGACTCGAGCGCGTCGACGAGTTTTGGTTATATATAAATACAATGAGACGTGCGACTTGCCGTTGAAAGAAAGCCGCGAATAAGACAAGCACGAGGCAACGAGGCAATGAAGAACGCGCGCTCTGCAGATGATGCTGATCGTTGCGATGACTGCAGCATCGTTACATAAACTATAGAGCCATATATTTTCGGTTTATCTTGCTAACCGAAAACATATCACAATAGCTTAAAACATGCTATATCGATTGTTTGAGCTTTTGTAAAATTAACCTACGCTGGCACGCACATACAAGAGTCTTATATGCGCAACGAGAGAGAGAGAGAGAGAGAGAGTCGCTCGCCCGAAAGAGAGTGAAAGAATCAGGTCAAAAAAGCCCGCGTATTTTTTGCTCGATTTCGAGAGAACAGGCTCCACAAGCACGCACGCACGCACGAGAACTAAAAGCAGCGGCGCGCATGCAGATTGAGTGTGTAAACGTCGTCGCAAGCTCGATATAATGCGCTTGCAAGAGGATAGGTATATACGACCACTTTCGAGAATTGCTCGCCGCGGGGTAATTTAGCGACGCATGGTCGGACGAGCCAGAGCTCGAAACGCAAATTCGATATAAATAGAGTAAAATAGAGCGTACCGATCGCACTCGCAGGTCGCGCAGCCAGAACAAAAGCTAAAGACAATATTACATTCCGAGCTATTGAATAATCATCGCTTTGATGCATGCTCGAGCGAGACTGCCCGCACCCCACTCTCAATTTTTGGCTTTGAGTACTATAACTTAGTGCATGGTAAGTCTGCTGGCTAATTTATCTGAGTATAATTCAAATTTGTCATGTAAGGAATACAACATAGTTGCGTCTTAGCTTAGTTCTCACAAATTCCTCATTCTTTTTTTGTTACGCTTTCACAGACAGATTTACATTACTCTTATCACTCTCTTAAATATTTAACTTACAAATAAAACTGTTCTTCTAGTTTGCAAAAGTATATGGAAAAGTTTATTGGTTGACCTTTTTTCAATTAAATTGTAATTCCAGGACATGAACCTTTTCAAACATAAACTGTAATACGTCATCGTTTTTATATATTTTATCGTCGCGTATAATATTGATCATCTGACTTTATTAACGACAATTTTTTCTTGAAGCAAAGTTTTTAAGTTTATTAAAAAAGAATAAGATTTAATTCAGTTTAATATTAAGGTTTTGTGTGTGCTCCTGTCGAATCTCAATGGAATCGTTTGACTGCTTGAGCATAAAAAACGAAGCATTCAAGGCATCATAGAAAAGAAGAGATAGGGGAGGAAGTGAGAGAGGAAGAGAGAAAGAGAATGCGGAATGTCTACAGGCATTAATGCACATACTACTACCGGTAAAATTGGAATTGTGAAAGCCATCAAGCATTTAATACAAGCTCGATATTTCTAACTATAAAAGAATAAAATAATGTGACATTATTATGGGAATTGAATGACACATTTAAAGGTTGCATTGTTTATAATTTTAAATTGTTATAAACTCAACGGCTAGCGTAATATTTTAAAGACCCTTTTGTTTGGCACAATCTCTTACGGGGATTTTTTATGCTTTGAGTGTCAGTGAAGTTTTATATCAGAAATTTGGTGCTTATAAAAAATTATAAATAAAAGAAAAATTATAAAAAAAGTCTAACAAACTTTCATTCATAGGTGCGTGTAGTTTTCCATGAATTCTCCAACAGATATTAACTTTTTCGTTTTGGCTGTAGGGCAAAAGCAGACTTTTTTACTTCTTTATTTTCACCTAATTGAACGTTTTATACCGAAGGAGTACCTTAATAATTGAATAAAGTTCCTTCTCTTAGGCGTTAAAATTAGATATATATTTTTTAATGATTTTTGGACAGTATAGTTTACGCTCCTTTTGAGTACACATATCATTGTGAGCAGAATAAAAAAACGATAGAAAAATTGGGAAAAATTTATAATAATCTACTTTTCACATGTAATATAGAATTTCGTTCGAATCGAATAGAAAATGAATAGTTTAAGGATATCACGAAATAAATGTAATATAAGCTCTGTGAAATTCGTTCTCGCTATGCGTGCATTATTCATGATTCATCAATAAATGTAGAATTTTTTCCCCTCGTGTGTTGCTCACCAGGCTGCGATAACTGCTGCTATTGTTACTCGCACGCATACGTGCTTATATGCGGCAATGATCAATTCATCCGATCCTTTTTGTTGCAAGCTCGGTTTAGTATTTATGTTTCAGTTATAGTTACAGTTGAACGATCTCGTCGATTATAACTGAGGAAATGTGAATAAAACGCAAAAATAATCTCACCTTCTGGCGCGTAAATATGCACTGCAGATTGAATTCTTATCGAAAAATCCTTCGTTTTTCCTGCACTTACACGCATCACCAAGTCACATACGCGGACAAAAACACTGCATGAGCTCCCGCTCAAACTTTTTCTTTGTCTCCTCTAACGTTGTTTTGATTTTATTTATTTATTTTTTTTTCATCACGAGGTACATAGGCGCTTAGAAGTGGATGAACAAAACTGTGCAGTTAAGCAGTTATGGCGGCAACGATGTCAAAGACAGAACTGCGCGCTGCTTATGGGACGTGTGCAGTACAGACGAACGCGTGCTCCGGAGTCCGGACTCTCGGCTCACTTTTTCCCCCTGTTTGCAAACACGCGTGCGGTTGAGCGCTCGACCAGCATAGAGCGGGGGTGGGGACACGAATATATATGTACAAAGCTTTTCATCGGCGCCAAACGTGCACTCTACTTCAGTCTTGCTTACAGCGTCTTCGTACGTACAAAAAGAAAGTGGGGTACAGACATACTGCAACACTCGATACAAAAATGATTTTTTTTCTTCATAAGCTGATGAAATTGAAATTTTGGCGGGTGACAGGGGTTTTATTGACGATCGAAGAACATTAAACTAATCCAGAAGAAAGATAAAAAACAACAAGAAAAAAGGAGAAAAGAAAAATTAAAACAATTTTTTGTGGTGTAACGAGATACGTAGACATGAAATAGATGATGAAAAAACGTGAGGGAGCCCTAATTATTTCATAACGAAAACAGGTGCACCTTGGTCTTTAAAAAAGCCAACAAGAAGAAAGCCATTTTTGTTTCTTTCACTTTTGCATAACAAGATATACTCGCATAAAGCGAGAGGGACACAAGAGCGAGGGAGAGAGAAAGAATGTAAGAGAGCTTAAAAAATCTTACCAGCGAGAGAAAGAGAAAACTCATCGTCTATGCGTTTGTGCCGTCGTAAATTTTTCTTATGAAATAGCTCATTAGCAGTCATACGACATCAATGTTCCGCTACAGAACGTGAGAGTACGATAGAAAGAAAGAAAGAACCAAGAGAGAAACGCTTTTGCGTTCCAAATAAGAGAGCGTAAAATTTCGGAGCTTTTTCTAAGTAATTGGCGAACATGAACACATTTCAAATGTTACTATAGATAGCGACCAGGCGCAACATTAAATAAAATTCGGAGAAAACTACTTGCATCCGTCACTTAGCAGAAATCATGGTTAATATTCGACCGACAACACGATCTGCACATGCTCGGCTTATCTTGGCAAGCGCACTTATTAATTCGCGAAGTAGAATTCATGGTGTGAAATTAATGCCAACGAGAAAAAAGGTAAAATCTGCCGTGTTAAATTAATTGAACGGCTTGTATCATCGCTTATATTGTACTTTGGCGCGAAGTCAGGCGTGAAAAAAAATAACGTATCTGCGTACACGTGCCAAAGTCGATGCTCATGACCCTAGTTGACGAATCCGTTGCTTTTATGATGGAGAAAACGTGATGGTTTTAAGCTGTGCCGAGAGAAAATACCTACAAAAAAAGTAGAAGAGAAGACGAGCCGCGGGTAAAATAAACTTGCTGTTTACAGTGTCAATCTCGGAGTTTGGAAACAAAAGAAACGCATAAAATATGAGATTTATAAACGATAGATATGTGTGTATATAAAAGTGCTCTGCATGGAAGAAGATAGAGAAACAGAGCTTACCCTGCGGGACTGGTCGTATATACATATATGTACAGTCTTATAAGGCGTCAATGCGTTGTAAAAAAATGACACGGATGAGTGGGAGAATGCTGAATCATAAATATGATGAATTCTCGAAAACTTTTCAAATTAGGTAACGAAAATTCAGTTATATGAGATTGCATTAAAATTGCATTGAGGTAAATAAAGGTATCCTAAATATCTATACATGATTTTATTTTTTATTTTTTAACGTTCATTTGAATACTTTAAGGGGATTAAAAAATTCTAAAAAATTTTTTAGAGCTACATTTTGAAGTACATTCACAGAAAAAATGGTTCCGTTACATAAGCCCGTCCTTACAGGTGGGCTGTATTCAATGTGTAGGCGTGTGTGAGTACCCGACTTTTTTCGAGTCTTTAATCTTTTTCATTTTTTTCTCAACTTTTTCCTAGTGATCGTGATATAAGTTTTACCTTTACTCGTGTAAAACGCACATAAATTATGATTATCATGTATTTAAAAAAATTACTCTAATTACTAAAAACTTTTCAGTATAAATATTACATCTCAGTAAGTAATAGAGTCACAATTATTAAGTTAATAATATAATTTAGTTAATGCCCAAATGATATGAAAATTCGAAACAAAACAAAATTCACATATTACATTTAGTACTATACGATATTTACGTGCAGCTAATGTACGTACAGTTCCTTCATTAACGATTGACGGTAAAGTTTTTTTTAATTTTTTTTTGTTCATTAATCGTTGAATGTATTGGACCCATATAAATAGTAATTTATAATATAAATTCCAAAAGAATAATTTTTTGGCACGGCGTGGTTTAAAGGCCTGAGCGTAGCGAGGGTCCTAATAGTCGAAAATTGATTTTACTCTTGAGACCAAAATCGTATTTCCTCAAAAAAATGTATTATTAGCTGTAAAAAAAGAACGATCATCGTATTGACTTGCAATTTTCACAGATTCTTTTTTATAGAATTTTGAAAAATTGTAATTAGAAAAGGGGGTATTTATTTTTTGAAACTACTCATGCATATTTTCTAAATGAAATATATATTTTCAAAAAAGAGTATTTTGCACATTTTACGTATATCTTGTAAAAAATGATTGATTTTTCGTAGCACTCTCACATAAAAATCGCAATTTTGCCGCTAGTTTTGGGCTCTTGAACTATAAAATATTGCATGCAGCTTGGGTGAATAAGCTTTTACAGCAAAACTCATTTACACCAGTTGCATAAAGTACTATACCATCCGATTATTACAGTGGTATGCCAAGAATAATAGAGCGAGAGTCTGAGTTACACTTGGGCGCACTGAACCCCCCTGAGGAGTAAAAATTACCTTATGTTTGCTTCGTTTATTATTCGTAAAATCGAATATTGCAACTGCCGTCTCGTTACGACTCGCTTGTGTCAAACAGTTTCACCCGGCCTGAGAGACGCAGATTATACTCACAGACACTCGACATAGGGGGGGGGGGGGNGGGGGGGGGGGGGGGGGGGTCATTGACTCCAGTGCACTACACCCATCGAGTGCTCTAAAATCGTAATTTGGAAAAAAAATTATGAACGGCCCCAAAAATAACAAAATTGAGAATTCTCATAAATACTATATGAAAATTCGATTTTTTCCAATAATACACCTTATCACAACATCAATGCTTACGGCCACTACCCCGGGTGACACGATCGAACCCGTATGTCACTCTCTTACAGTACTTTTAAATATTTTTAAATTTCGGCAAAAACGAAAAATGAAAAATTTTGCTCAACTGTTCATGCAGAGCAATCTGCGTGTTGCAACTAGTACATTTTACATAGCTTTTAGCCCAATTGTTTTCTTTTTAGCCAGATGTGAGATTTCCAATTAAGACGACGGTCTAGATTCAAGCCAAGATATTTTTCAACAAGACTTTGTGGTAAAAGGGTTTAGTTGAACTTGACACCACGACAATCTTCTTTGCGTAAGGTGAAAGTAACATGATGCGATTTATTTTCGTTGATGATAATACGATAGTTTGAATGCATTACAATGATAATTAAAAAAATTATCTCTCTTTTAAATTCCCACAAATAATCCCGTGGTAAAGAAATTCTCTTCTATTTAAGATGCGGCGAAAAATGTCGTTTTTTTGATTCGCAATGCAAATTTTTCGAAAAACGAGTAACGAATGAAAGGGAGCGATTCTTACAAAAGAAATAGTTTTCTGATGTTTTGTGGTGCAATAATAGCTTATATGCTGTAATTTTATTTTTCAAATTTTTAAATTGAATAAATGTCATTTTTTTACAATTCTATTCACGGATAAATTAAATAGGAGGAATCCAAAATGTATGAAATAATATTTAAAAAATGTAAAAATGTAAAAATTTATAAATGTAATTTAATGTTACTCTCCATGACAATGTGTTTTCATGCTACCCCAGCCGAAATTAACCTTTTACGTCCCGACGGTAAAAAGAAAAGTATATTATACATATTAATGAAATGAAATTTTTATTGATTTTATGTACATTTTATTACAATTGATAACATAATTTAAATTTAGGGATCATGTACACCTCAAAATCGAAAAAAATTTTATTCTATTTTCGAGAAGAATTTTTTTCCTTTTTTCAGAGCATTTTTTAAAATTCAAAAATATTTATCTTTTACTTAGATACAGCCGTTTCCGTGAGTCTTTCTCGTATAAGTTTACGTATTCAATTTTTTCTTTTTTTGAGTTTTCTGGCACGCATGTTTTACCAATTGAGTTACAGCGGCAAAGTTGAGTAAATTATTCGGAACATCGGTCACAAACGCAATCTCGGGTGAAACGATCCAACACATAGGGTTGCTTTCGACAATTATTTTTATGATGAACATTACGAAAAATAACTTAAAATAAAAAATAAATCTATTCGACTGATATCTATGATTTGACTTTTGTCCAACTCATAATTTCCCGCCTCTATTTCATGTATCTCTGCTGGTTAATGCCGTATGTTAATAACCGTGGGTAACCCCACTAGATGGAGCCAAAGAAGAACAACGGCAGTCGACGTCGGCCGGAGATCATTCACGCGATTGACCACCACGACTCACGACTCACGAGCTACATCAGTGTGCATTTTAACCTCAACTGTGTGTGAAATCAACCTTCGTCAACAAAATGGTTCGCAAGTTAAAGTATCATGAACAAAAGTTATTGAAAAAAGTTGACTTTATTTCTTGGTCAGCTGATGAAAATTTGCGTGAGGTCAAGATTTTAAAACGTTATCGTATACAAAAACGTGAAGACTATACAAAGTAAGTTTAAGAAAGCCTAAAAAATAATCAATCAGAACAATTCATGATATGTTGAACTCACTTATCATTTTATCTTACAGGTATAATAAATTATCCAGAGAAATTCGAGAAGTTGCTGAAAAAATAAAAGAACTTGATTCAGATTCACCATTTAGAGCTGAACAAAGTGCTGTATTACTAGAAAAGCTCTTTATTATGGGACTCATTCCAACAAAAGCAGATCTTTCATTAGTTCAAAAAATTACTGCTAGTTCCTTTTGTCGTCGTAGACTACCCATAATTATGGTGCGCAGCAAAATGAGTGAAAATTTGAAAATGGCTACACAACTCATTGAACAAGGTCATGTAAGGGTAGGACCAGAAGTAGTAAAAGATCCCGCATTTTTAGTTACAAGGAATTTGGAAGACTTTGTTACTTGGGTTGATTCATCCGCTATCAAGAAACACATTATGGACTACACTAATGAGGTATATACAAGTCAAAGCTAAACTTTTTATTGTTCACAAATTATTTTAATAACCAAAGAATGACTTACTTAAATTATTTTTCTATTTTCAGAGAGATGACTTTGAGATGTAAACTACAACAGCATCTTTGAAGAGTATAGCATCAGCTTTCTTAAAATTAAAGAATAGAATATTTAGCATAAGGATTGTAAATAATTGTAAATAATAAAAAATCTTTTATATAAAAAAAAGTAAAAAATGTCCTTAATCATTTGCGAATTGTCGATATGTAAGTCCTTTTGAATTGTTGTCAACTTTGATACTAACAATGATATAAAAAGTAAGCTATGACAGTTAAATCATTGGTAATAAATAATATATATACTAGAGGAATTTAAATCAGTATGGAAGGTGAAGTTTGCTTAAATTTTGGGAGCTACTAAGTTTCTGTACATATATTGGGAAGTAATATGAAATGTGAAGGGGTAATAATATTTTGTGGACACAAAAATTGTAAAATATTAAACTTATAAAATTTGCAATGACAATATGCATTTCAGGCCTTGAAATTTGTAAAACGAATTTGAGTTGGTTAACAAATACTTGTTAAACATAAATAAATCGCGCCTTATTTTGAACTGTCACATAGCGTCAGAGAGACTGCGCACATGACACATCACGAGTTTCGAGACATGCGTAGCAGCAGCAGCGTCTAACATCAGCCGTTCCTTCAATCGTTTTGAGCAGACTGCAGAGTTGTATTAGTAAAAGATCCACACTTTCCTTCTACCCACCACCCTCAACGGTACGTTAGCCTATACTATCATTCTCTCTCCATTTTTCTCTCTCTATCTCTCTCTCTCTTTTCTTTCTCACTTCCAAGTATTATTCACAGAGATCGTTTTACATTCTATAATTTTTTGTGCTCTACTCTTGTGTGTCCAGATCGAACGAGCGAAGCAACTGCTGCGCGTCCCAGTCGTCAGCAGCCAAGCAGCGGGGACTTAGTGTGTGAGTGTTACACGAGAGAAGAACTTGCAAGACTTAGCTGAGTCTTAACCTTTTGAAGATGTTGTCATCACTTATGGAAGCATCCAAGACGAGTCCCCTCGCGGGCCCCAGCAAGTTTGCCAGATGCCAACCCGACGACCAGCAATCCCTGGTCCAAGGTCGCAACATCGCAGCCGCCGACGCTCTCCCAGGAGGTGAGTAAAAACATTCGGATACGTTTTATACCGCGTGACCTATTCAAGGGCAGCATTGCACGCGAGCCACTCTTATATAAGGCGGCTTTTGGGGTCGCGACTCGCGACTACCCATCCCGTTTAAAGTCGGTCATCGCGATCACGAGGTTATCGCGCTCTTAGTGCCTGCATCACCACGTCGTACTGAAACGTGCTCTTCATTGACTCTATTATATCTATAAGCATGACTGCGGGCATTGCATAACGGCAGCCATTTTGTTCCTCGAGATTTAAGTTCAAAAAGTCTGAAAATTGTCAATTTACGGGTTGCAAAAGCGGTGTCCGCTGTGAACGTCGTCTTTAACCACGCAATGTCGTCCCACCATAGTCACGACCTTGGCCCTAAGCACGCTCCGAAAATGATCATCGGCGCAAGCATCGACCTTCTGTTGAGATCATCGTGCCAACGTGCATGATTCGGCTCAAGGTGTAGCACACGTTTTTTATAGTTTGGCTTTGACCTTGAACCCGTGCCAAGACATTCCTCTGGTCGATGATATTTCCATCCTTCCTTCTATTCGTGATAACCTCTAATCGCATTTACCCTTACACATCTTAATAATGACATTCTAAATGACTTTTCAGATAGCTGTGAATTTGGTTCTAACCATTACTTCATGCTATGCGGTCTTGGTGGTGTTCTGTCTTGTGGTATTACCCACACCATGGTGACCCCTCTTGACTTGGTCAAATGCAGAATCCAAGTAAACCCAGAGAAATACAAATCTGTTGTCAATGGATTCCGTGTAAGTTACACAAGCTTTTTTTTTCTCTGTCATTTGTTAATTCATTCAATTATTTTTACTTGACATTGTTCTGCCTTAGGTCACACATGCTGAAGATGGTACACGCGGTTTGGTTCGGGGCTGGGCCCCTACATTCTTTGGTTATTCCATTCAAGGAATGTTCAAGTTTGGACTCTATGAAGTCTTCAAAGTTCAATACTCAAATCTTGCTGGCGAAGAGTTGGCTTATGAGTACAGAACAAGTTTGTACTTGATCTCATCAGCCTCAGCTGAATTCTTTGCTGACATCGGTTTGGCACCATTTGAAGCAGCCAAAGTATGTTATTTGATCTTGTTTATTGTATTTCTCAAAAATGTATAAGTATAAAATTTGATTTTTCACTTAGGTCAAAATCCAAACTACACCTGGCTTTGCTAATACTCTGCGAGAAGCAATGCCCAAAATCATGTCAGAGGAGGGTTTAGGTGGATTCTACAAGGGTCTGGTACCTTTGTGGCTTCGTCAAATTCCATACACCATGATGAAGTTTGCATGCTTTGAGCGTACTGTAGAACTTCTTTACAAATACGTTGTGCCTAAGCCTCGTCAAGAATGTACCAAGGGAGAACAACTGATGGTAACTTTTGCTGCTGGTTACATTGCTGGTGTCTTTTGTGCTGTTGTATCTCATCCAGCTGATTCGGTAAAAAATTTTTCTCTTCATTATTTAACCACTCAATACTGCTGCATAACTTTTAGAAAAATGTTCAATTATATTTTTAATTTTTATTAGGTTGTATCTAAATTGAATCAAGAGAAGGGAGCAAGTGCTGTTGATGTGCTAAAGAAACTTGGTTTTGGTGGTGTATGGAAGGGTCTGGCACCCAGGATTGTTATGATTGGTACACTTACTGCTGCTCAATGGTTTATCTATGATGCTGTCAAGGTATGGCTTAGAATGCCACGACCACCACCACCAGAGATGCCAGAATCTTTAAAAAAGAAGCTTGCACAGGCTTAAATTGAAAAAATAAATGAATTTAAAAAATATGATCACTGTATCAAAAAAACTAGATAAAAAATTAGACCTATGTGGTTACCTTCACAGGCATTGATAAAAAAAAAGAATAAATAAATCTTAGTCCAGTAATTATCGATCTTTTAACTCCAGTATTCATTTTATATATTATATTATATAAAATAAAATTGATTATATTGTGATTTGTTGTTTATCAGAATTCATAAAATTTTAGAAGGTAACTATCATTGATTTTTCAATGACTGTCGATTGTTGACTTGAACAACATACTATGCTAAAAGTAAAATGAGTATGTTTTGAATTCTGTTATTGTGTCAGTGTTGAGGCGTTGTCACAATGTAAATAAAACAATCAATAAAAGTATTGAAACAACTAAAGTTACACTTTTGGTCTATATCTATATCAAGAACTCCTCTCTTCTAAACCAAATCTGTATTTTTTCGATTTACATTGGGTATTTTAAATAATTTCTATTTCGTAGATCAAATTCGTGTTTTATTATAAAATTATTATTTTTTATTTCTAATATACAGATCAAATAACTTGTGTATAGTAGTACATATACAGTAGTAATACTTACTATTACAAGAACTTACAATTATCAATTCTTGCAACAATAAATATTCAGAAACAAATAAATCTATAGTAGTTTTACAATATGTGAACACTGCTTACCATTTTTACATAAAATATTTTACATGATGACTTTAAATTTAGATAAGACTGAAAGTTTTGTAACATTAACGATTTCATTTATTATAGACGGACTACAGAGATCCCATACTTTATAAAGTGAGAATTAATTTCAAATTATAGCTGCCACATATCTGATGAATAATTAGATCAATAATGTGAGAAATATTTATTGCTGCAGAAAATTACTGTTTTAATTTCACCACACATTTACTATTGGTAACATTTTTCATAGAATTATGATGTGTTACTGCTCCCAATCAATACATGATAAGATTAATAAAATTCAGAAAGTGCCAAACTTTACAGCGGAAAAAACATTTTTTCTTTAAGCATTTTGACAGTATAAAGACGTTGAACAAGCACTTATTTAGAAACTGATTGTAAAAAACGATGTTGTGGCAAAAAACCAGCTAATTTTTTTTCAACATAACAGATAGCCATACAATTTTAAAGTTGATAATCAAATTATTAAAGGTTTATGTACCAATGCATCTAATATAATATTTGTACTATTTTTATAAACTTGTATTTAAGTACTCAAAAAAATTAACACAGACTTGGTGATGTTCACTTTCATTACATCACATGCATGCAATAAACAATAGTATCCAATACTTAATATGGAAAGATATTCCTGTTTTTGTATTGTAAACAAAAATCATCATTAAAAAATGTAAAACGAATAAATTGGAGCGTCTCATTTTTAAATTTGAACAAAATTGAATTATAATTCAGGTACAATTTGATTGTAAAATGTCTAAAATTTTAGGTATGTTTTACTAGCTGCATTTTTTATGTATACAATCAATGTCACATACAAATAAAAATGATTTACGATGTCTTTGATTCCTTCAAGCGAGTCTGTTTGAATTTTATGTTGATGTTAATTTAATAATCAAACCATCAACTGTGCAAATATATCAGTAGACATTGGTTCAATACAATATGAAATGTTTACCATTCTGTTTTTAATTATGGGATCACAGTTTATCCATGGATTTTCATTTTTGTACAGAAACACAGTGTTTATATTTGCGTATAAGAAAACGATTCAAGTTATAAAATTAAAATAAATAATTTTTAGCAGCAATTCACTGATTATTTGAATATATTTAGAATGTTTCTATTGATTCATTCGTAAAATATGACGTTCTGATTCAAGAAGAAAATATTAAAAACAAGAACTGCACTTCTTTTAAGGAACAAAGGCCTATACATTGTATTTAAAAAAAATAAGTCACACCGCTTTTAAAGGGTAATCATCTACATTCTATATACAAATAAACGGTATTGATTTCTTCAATATGTATGCTCCAAGTATTCTTTAATTCGCATAGGTTTAATAACATCAGTCTTGAATAAGTTTTATTTTTTACACAAATATTTTTTTGCATCCCGTGTACTCTGAAAGTGACCACTGAAACGGTAAGAACAGAACTAATGTATCTCACATAACACTTCTACCACCTAGTTCTTTTCTTATTTTTTCAATGGTCGTTTGTTAAAAGCTCATCCATGCATGCATATCTGTAAAAATCACGGTTTTATACTTATAAAATTACTCGATTAAAATCTAGTACACTGAAATCGAGTAAATATATAAATACAGATGCTCACTCATGTACACATTTGTGTCGTTATTTTTACGTACAAACAAATTTCATCTATATATGTTTATATACATATAATCGTATATATACGAATATAGATAAACGTACATTTTCCCTAATAAAAAATAATAACAGGTGTCCAACTGTCTGAGAACACGAATTACTCAATGAAGCTAAATGTATTCATTTTGCCAAAAGGAAAATAGTTTGTTAAATAATATTTAAATGTAATTGATGTGTCGTTATACATATACGTTACATGATATAAGCACAATCTATTAAATAATTTTGCTAGGACTCTCGTTTACATTAAAAATGATGGCATTATTAACGACACTGATTTTTTTTTAATTTGGAAATAGATGCGATATTACCGAAGTAATATTGAAAAACGTTCTCGAACTAGTTAAATACACCTTTCCAGTATATTTGAAAATATTATTTAATCAAAACTAATGCATCGCACACAGCAACATAATTTCCTATAGCCTTTAATGCCTACTATCATAGAGATCGCGCCACCTAGAGCTTAGAGCGACAGCTGAAACATTTACAATAATTTGAGAATAAATCTCGATAACAATTAATATTATTACTATTTTATTATTAGTATTATTCTTATTATTATTATTATTATTATTATTATGCTAATAATTTTTATCTATAAATATACATATGTATAAATAAATTTACACTTACAAGTGATCGTGTATAGGATAGTACATTTATAAATTCATGCGTACGTACAAAGATACGAATTAAAAACATATTTACAATTTCCTCGAAACTAGCAGAGTTCATCTCTATTGATAGCCGGGATAATCACGATTACCTAAATGCACATAAGAATATGCTCGATAGCTCGACGAAGCTTACACGATAACCTGACAAAATATCATTCTAATGTGATGCTTTTATCAATTTATTATTTGTACAAAACTAATTACAAGATCATCAAAATGAAAGCACGGAGATTAAAGAAGAGACCTCGGTGGGGGTACTCTGTAATATTTTGACGTCCTTCCAAATATAAGTCGTAAATGAACCACGTGCAAAGACGGGTTAAAAAACTCTACTTGAAGAGGGTCACGAACCAAGAATACTACTATATTGGACTGTTTGGTCGTGAATCATATCCCCAGTTTCGGGCTGATCCTGGGGGGCACTGGCGGAACGTTTTTTCAAGCTTAAAATGCTCTCAATGGCAGACTGTACTTGCGCGTGAATGGCGTCCGGTTCAACAGGGGCAGAAAAACGTTGTGTTGGAGTCTGTAGTTGTTGTGGTGGCCGATGCTGCTGTTGTTGCAGCTGTGGCTGATGTTGCATTTGCTGTTGAATCTGCTGCAATTGCAACTGTGCCTGTGGCTGTTGTAGTTGCGAATGCTGAAGCTGATGCTGCTGCATCTGTGCATGTTGTTGGAGTTGATGCAGCTGAGGGAGTTCATTTCTCAACTGACCCGCCTGCGCGAATAACGATAATTCATCTAAACTTTCACTATCTTCAAGTAAACCACGTTCGAGTTCATTGGCCACGTTCAATACCTCGCCATTGACAAGATCTCTATCAGCCTGATATGTATCCATTTGTTTTTGTTGCTGAGCGACTTCTTTTTGAATCTCATCCCATTCATCATATTCATTAGATCTTATCGAAGCATCATTTGAATCTAATACATCACGTAGATGATTGTCGCCTATACTATTGTTTAAATCATCAAATAAACCTGCTTCAAGTTCAAGTCTTTCCTCTTGCTTACGAGCTTCTAAAAAATTATTTATAAATGAATAAATCTTTCACTGACATTGATAAGTAAATGATATCTAAAGAGTCTTACCTTCAGCTAGCTTCTCAGCTGCGGCTTTTTCTTTTTCTGCGATGCTCAAGTCCCTTTCCTCATTCAGCAGCATTCTTTCGATCATTGTCAATTCTGCAGGTCTCGTTTCTCTCTAAAACAAGTGTCAGGAATGGAAAAACGTGAGTAAGTTCAAAGTATTTTTTAATACATCAAAATCGATGTGTTAAATTTACCGTGCTGTCCACCATCAAGAGATAATTGTATTTGCCTATCATGGAATTATATTTATTAAGCAGATGTTTAGCACTTTCCTCAAAAACATCTTCAACTTTATCATTTTTATTAAACTCTGGTTCATAAAAACAGTGATATTTCAAAAGCCTACTGCAGGCATCTTCCTCATCTTTGAATGGAGTTTTGATATCTGGATTCAGAGCAGCATCTTGATCTAATTTTATTTGTTTCGTAAACCTGTCATTGACAAAAAAACAAAACAAACATTACTATCTGATGAAATTAAAAACATTAATTTATGCATAATATTTTTGAAAACTTACAATTCTCTACGATTATCCAGTATTCGTTCAGGACTCGCACTATATGATCTTTTAATTGCTCTTTTTGGACTAACAACCATCCTCTCAGAAATCGTAGATTGATTTTGAATGCTTACCGCTGCCTGATTAAGATTCGGTGGCGTAACTTGACCTGCAAGTGACGGCCCAGCTCGTGGTTGCGTGGCTGCGGCGGGTGTAGGTAATCTTGGACAACAAGTCAACATTTTACTTTCATTTAATAATGGTTTTACATCCTCGGGTTCGCACTGAGTGACAGGTATATTTGGAACTTCAATCGTAATCGCTGAATTAGAGCTAGCTGTATAGTTTATACTGGGTAAACTAAGCGACTGCAAATTTTCCATTTGGATTGGTTGTGCCAATTGCTTAGCGGTCGATGGGTTGAAAGAAATTTGCTGCTGCTGCTGCTTTTGCTGAATCGAAGATGATTGTGGAGAACTAACATCAGTACTCTGCATATATAAATTCGAAGTCGGTGCATTAGATTGATAACTGACCGAATCTGCCGGAAGAGTTGAAGTTTGGCAAGAATTCGTGGTCTGCGTTTGTACAATCGTTAACGATTGCTTAGTAGACGTTATGCATGGAACATTAGTTGGATCCGATGCATTTGATGCAGTCACATTTATATTCAAAGTTTTTGTGGATTCCTGAAAAAATGAAAAAATTAACATTAAAATCATTTCAACAGGCAGAAAAAAAGTAAAATATAATACATACCGGTATAAGGGGTAGAGTACTTTTGTTGATAACTTTTCCACTTGATAAAATTCGTGCCTGCTCCTGACACAGTTTACTTAGCACAACCTGCTCCGATGGTGAATGTGATTGCTTTTGTAACATACCTCGAATTTGAGCTTGGGTAACTGCTAATAATTGTTGCTTTTGTGGAGTCAAGTGTAAAGTTGGTATCATTTGATTAGACGCGGCTGATATTTGAGAAATATGCCCATTGAAATTCATACATTGAGTTTGTTCTGTCTTTATTTCACCCGTCGCATGAACAACGAAAGTCGGTGATTTATCACTTTGATGATTTAGCCTGGATATTGTGGGATTAGATACAGTCAATGACGACTGTGCAGTTTGAATTGGGCTGGCTTGTGTCATAATTACTGTTTCAGTAGAACTAACAGTTACGGTTGTAACAGGTTTGGTAGCGTTTATAATTTTCATTGTTTGTTGCACCATAATTTTAGCTTTTTTCGTTGCTTTGACTTTCTTTTGTGAGATTGCTTGATTTGTTACTGTATTGTGACTTGTTGAATTCAAACTGTTACCACTGCTAACGCTAATATTATTACGTTGCTGTTGATTCAATTGATCTAAAAATTGATTAGGAAAACTAGAATTTTGAATTTGAATACTTTGTGGAATCTGTGATGAAGATGTCTGAACAACAATATTTCGTATGTTATTTTGTATTGTAGGAGCTTGAGAAGTATTTACAATGATTTGACCGGTTGGTGTATTAATTTGAACTTCTGGGGTATTTGGATTGTTTGCATCAACATCCTTTATAGCTAAGTTAGATGTTGAATTTTGTTGTTGTTGTTGTTGTTGTTGTTGTTGTTGTTGTTGTTGTTGGTTTAGGGCTTGATTTTGTGCTTGGATTTGTGCATACAAAAATTGTTGTAATATTTGCTGACTAATTACTTGCATTTGTCCATTGGCAGTTGCAATGAGTAACTGATCATTTGGATTTAAATGTTTCAAGGCATTAAGAATTTCTGTTGTAAATTTTGGTGCACCATTGAAAATAGATAAAGCCGAAGTACTCAAATTGCACAAATTTTTGGTTTCCAATTTAAGTTGCTGTGACTGTTCAATTGGCACAGAAGAATTTGATATTAATATGTTGGTCGGAACATTCTGACGTTGATCAAGTGTGATGTTACTTCCTAACATATTATTGGGCTTTGTATTTTGCTGTCTTTGAATATTAGAATTTGTTTGAATAGTTTGTTGTTGGGTTAATTGAACATCAGATCCGAGCTGTAGACTATGATCATTTGTTGAAGTATTATTTTCCGCATTCTGTTGAATGAAATTCAAAGTTTGAGGTTGAGATTGCTGTACATTATTCGTAGAATTTTGTAGAACATTTGCTGTTTCGATTTTGATGCCGTCAGCATTTTGCCGTGAAACATTAGACTGTAAACTATCAAAAATTTGTTGAAATGTTTGAGCTTGCCTTTGATGAGAATTCAAATTTTGCGTTGCATTTGGATTCAAAATAACTTGATTTTGTAATAAACTAAATTTACCGTCTTCTTGAACGTTAACTTGATTCGTTTGACTTTGAGGATTTTTTAATACTTGAATATTTTGTTGAGTAGGTCCACAAATCTGCATGGGTTTTTGAATCTGAGAGATGTTTGTTCGTATATTTTGTGGCTGACTTACGTTAATGATAGCATTCTTTCCTTTTATTTGATTACACTTAACTTGTTGAGCATTGGCTGTTTGCTGTTGATTATGAGTTATCTGATTCACAATTTGATTTCCAACTCTCTGACAAATACTAGTTTTGGCAACAACTTGCTTTTTAGTATCAAATACTTTTCGAGATACTACTATATTTTTTTGAGTTTGTACAACATTTTGATTTGAATTTTGCAAAGTATTAGAACTATTGAAATTTTGAGAATTACTAGAACTTGTATTAACTTGTAATTGTTGACAAATAATTTGCTTTGTTACTTGCTGGTTTGATGTGTTAGTAATCGGAGTCGTACGCAAATTATTGGTAACAGAAGGCTTGACAATTGTCAATTTATTATTATTGATAACGTTATTTTTGTTTTGTGCATTTTGTATAGCTTGAGACTGCGCAATCAATTGGGCTATTATTTGTGCATTTTGTCCACCTCCTTGAGTTAATGACTTGAGTAAGGCTTGAGCAGTAGCTGGATCAATTTCATTAGGGTGATTAGGATCCGGTGTGTGATGCAAGATAAATTGACCATTTTCACCTATAGCTAATCTCAATTGACCACTAATGGGTGATTGGAGTTGAGCACTTGATTGACTTGAATTATCTTGAACGCATAGCGTTTGATTACTTGGAAGGTTTGTTGTTGGTGTTTGCTGAGAAACATTTTGTTGGATAACATTTTGATGAATATTTTGTTGAACGACGTTTTGAGGAACAACATTTTGTTGAAGAATATTTGGTTGAACAACATTTTGTTGAAGAACTTTTTGTGAAGCTATGTTTTGTTGATTTAAAGTTTGTGTAACACTTTGGGTCGTAGAAGTTGGAACTGTAACAAACGAATTGTTTTGTACATTATTCTCAACTAAAGACGGTTTTTCTGCTTCAGGCCCGAAGTCACCATCAAATAAATCATCATCATCTCCAATTCCTGATATTTTCATTATACTTGCAAGGTCAAGTTTCGGTAGCTCATCTTCTTTTTTCTTGGACTTTTTCTTCTTTTTCGTTTTTTTCTTTGGCGGAGGAAGAAGATTCTGATTTAATATTGTTTGAGAACTTTGAACATTTGCCGCTGCATTAATAGGATTCGATTGAGATATCTGGTTCTGTGAATTTTGCACCACGGCATTTTGCAGCACAATCGAATTGTTATTACTGGTATTAGCTGTATAAAAAGAATGGTAAGTCTTTTATTTTAATTGTCGATTTCATAATATATATCTTAAAATTATAATGTTCTCAAATTAAAATAAAACAATAAAACTGATTAAAACACTTATTAGTGTAATGTTTAATTATTTTTATGATTACTCACATGGAGCAGAACTCGTAGGTGTTTGTCGAATTACAGGAGTAGCAGGTGATGAAAACCCATTAGGTACAGCAAAGAAAGTTGGTCCAAGACCTTGCAATTGCATATTTGGAGCCGTAACGACTCTCAAAATTGGTTGAGCAGGCAACTATGATAAGTAAATTTTTTTTTTTCAAAATTTTTTTTCGTCAAAATAATATTTTTAAACTTGAATTTTTACCTGTGTAGGATGAGTTTGTTGTTGAGTATTTGGCCTCAACAGTAACTGTAGGCCAGATTGCAAACCAAGCACTTGGTGCCCAGTTGAAGGTAAAACCTATAATCGAGAATGAGTTAATAAAATATTTATAAAATTGTTAAATAATAATTCTGAAAAACTTTACCTGATTCAACACAACTTGAGGTTGCATCATGTTTTGTGTTTGTTGATTTTGTGGAGGACTCGTGAAAATAATTTGACTTTGAGACTGTTGCTGTACCTACAAAAGGCATACACAAATTACAACTATTAACATTAAACTATTACAAAATTGATCAATTGGACATTAATAACTTTCTTAAAGTTTATTTATACAGTTTAATATATAATTATGTGCATATGAATTTTCAATGCAATAGTATTTATTTCAATGAAATCTAAAAATTAGACTTACCTGATTATTTATTGAAGTCGATACTCTTGGTTTTTGTTGGTTGACTACATTATTTTGTTGTATTGGTGGCTTCGGTAAAATTTGTGGTGGTTGCTTATTTGGCTTATTTGTAATTTGAATTTGTTGATTACCAAATAATTGAGCTCGAGTGACAAGCTGTTGAGTAGCTTGTTGGTAACCCTGGGGACCCTGTATTATTTGAAGAACTTGCATTCCTGGCTGTAAAATAGGCGTGTTAGGCCTCACCTAAGACAAAAAATATTTTTTAATAAATTAAATAAATTACAACTTGTTAGAAAACTGTTTTTCAAATTATCGTATCTGAAGCTTTTTGCTTAGTTTCAAAATTTTATTTTTTTCTGCACTCATTTTTTCTAAAAAAATTTTCTATAAAAATGTTTAAATATTTAAATCTTTTGATGATTTAAAAAGGGATTGATGATTTAGTAGTAATTGAAAAAATATGAATCATTAATGATGACAAAGCAAGTAAATTTAAGGAATAAAATAGTAATTTTCACAGTAAATTTAGATGATAATCTTAAATTACAGAGACTCACATAATAAAAAATTTCATATCAATAATTTTAACTTACGACTGGGGGACCTGGACTGCCACCAGGTACAGGACTCTTATTGTTCAGTGATGATCCAGCTCCCAAAAGATGAGGGCTTTTGGCAGGTGCATACGGACTAGGAATGGGACTTTGAATTTGACCAACGCTAACTGGGCTTTGCATTGGGCTCTGTTGCAATTGAATGTTGAAATTACCTGTAGATGAGGCAACTGGACTTGGACTGTTTCTAGCTTGTATAGAATTAGGAGCAGGACTTCGTAGCACAACTCTGCTATTAGGACTTGGACTTGGTGTAGGAGGTGTGATATTAGAGGATGATGGACTTTTTAAAGGCATAGAAAATGGACTACTTGGAGAAGTAGCTGCTTGACTCTGTATGTTTTGCATTGTTTTTATGTTTGGAATTATCGAACTTGTGTTCTGATTTGATGTATGACTTAAAGGTTGTGTGGAAAATTGACAAAAATTACTGATTGAAGGAGTGGATTCATTTGTTTTAAGTTGAGTTGCTGATATACTCTGAATAGTAGAATTAACTATTCCAAACTGAGCTGTATTTAACTGTTGATTAGCATTAGATCCATGAGTAACATTTGAAGTTGAGGCAAGAGTATTTGTGAAAGTAGAAGATGAATTAATTGAAGATCCAGTAACTTGAGCAGTTGAATTAGCAATACTACTTTGGTTCTGCGTTATTGAAGACGTAACATTAGTAAGGTTTGCACCAACAATATGAGGGGCAATACTTTGTATACTCTGAATAGTTTGAAAAGGAAATTGGGTAGTACTGCTTGTAGGATTTAAATTCCCGATTGTAGCTAATGATCTGTTAAGCCCTTGCTGGTTCAAAGTTGAATTCAAATTATTTGATAGACTGATGTTTGAATTTAGAGTATTTAGAGAATTGGCAGCAGAGTTATTGGAACTTAAACTAGCATTTATAGAGGCAAGATTTGGACTTAAAGTAGAATTATTCAAATTGTTTAGATTAGTATTGACATTGGTCAAACCTGTACTAATGTTAGATATTCCTGAACTAATACTGGTAGAATTCAGAGTGCCCAATCTACTTATTCCAGCCAAATCTTGACTGATGTTTGAAAGCCCGTTACTAATGGGATCAGGGGTTAAATTTGAGTTTAAATTTGTACCTAAAGAGCTTAATTGATTTATGCTAGGATTTATTGCAGTTAAGCCCGAATTGATGTTGGGAATGCTTAAATTTACAAGTTGATTCGATGTTGTTATGGCATTAGAAGCTAGAGAGTTTAAATTTGTATTCAAAAGTGATAAAGGCAATCCCATATTTAGACCAACCCCAAAAGTAGGGGTGGTCGTGGAAAGTCCCATTCCAGTCCCCGATGAATTTATGGCGCCCTGATTTAATTGGCTCAACTGATTCAAATACAGTATATGATTTCCAGTGGTCGTTACATTTGTTGCATCTTGAGGCTATAAAACACAAATATTAATCAAGATATTATTAAAAAATAAATTAAAAAATATCAAAATGAAATACTCACAGTATTGCTAGGTTGTTGTAAAGTAAAAGTAACAGATTGTTGACCAGAATTTTGAGATTGGAGTTGCTGTATTTGTTGGAACTGTATCGAAAAGTTTTATGTTACAATTGAAACATGGAATATTATATATATTACACTCTTGAATGAAGTCAATAGATTAAACAAAAGTATGCTTGTATTAGACTCAAATATAAGTATAAATAGTTAATCTCACCTGTTGTTGAGTAAGAACCGCCACAGGATTGTTACCATTACGACGCGTGTTGGGGGTTGTTGAAGAGGATCCAGAGTCCCCAATAAGAGGGCGTGACTGCGGCTGCTGCATGCCCAAGCAGCACTCCGCAATACTGGGCAGCTACTGAGCTACCAAACACTTGATTAAATAACTCAATTTTTTAAGCACAACGTGTACAATACACAAGTATTGGCGTTACGACGCCACTCAACGCGTTTACGCCCAAGACTGCCTGTTCCTGACATGCATGTAACTTTTCAAAATTCTAGGATTAAGACGAGTAATTAACTTTTGATTTATCGCGAGCATTCCACATGAACTTGGTAAAACTTAAGACCTTTATGAAGTACAGCTGTGATGAAAGGTCAACTTAAATTGCTCTTGAACAATTCACTATCCATTAAAAAAAAGATTCATTCGAGTCAAGTATATAGGCTCAGTTTTATTGCTCGAACATGAAAACTCTGACACTTCACCCATTTATAAGCACTAGATCACTGTTATTGCAATCGTATGATGCACATTTAACTAGGTAAACTTGAAATATAGCAGCATAGCTAAAACTCAAGGTCACATATAGTGCTGCAGTGTTGTACATTCACTAAACTACACATGTCGCAAAGGTCACAGATAGAGTTTATCCTAAATCAAGCAGCCAAATGTAATTTACTGGCATTGTTTGAAGTCAGTAGTCACTAATGCAATTTCACAAACTTGTTACATGCCATTCTGGACATGTATCACTAGTGGATCATTTTTGTCCTGTATGTGAATTGTTGACAAGTAAGGCCTGAAATGAAAATTAAACGTTATGAGAAACATAAAACGATATCAGAAAACATAAATTATTATAATATTTTTACTTGTTAGGGATACAAATATTTCTAGGTTAAACCATAATTGTTGCAGTAGAGCACTAGTGATAAGGTTAATTAGTTTCAAACTAATATTGAAGTATTGAACAGAGAGAAAGACGCGAAAAATAATGCCCAGCTTCACAGAGCCGAAAACAAGCAATGGAGTGGAGTTGGTTAAATGAGCGACAGCAGCGAGGGATGTTTGTAAGTAAGTTGCATATGCCAGTGTGAGGTCGCGCGGGTCCATAGACTCGATACAGACAGCCAAGAGTGTATATACACAAAACACAATTTCAACGATGGATGGAAACAAAAAGTCGCCTGCGAACAACAAGATAGAAAGAGATAGAGAGCAGCCTCAAGACGGCCAAGCAATACACTGGCGTACAGGAATATTATTATACGGCGCAGAGAAAGCTGTACCATGCGTATATAGATTCGAAAAGCAATTAATGGGCATGCAGGACCCAAGCGCGACACTGGTAACGAGCGAAAGAGGCCAGCTGCTACGCGAGATTTTGCTTGGAACGAAGCAACGAAAATAGGTGCGCGTGCACATTGATAAAGTCTATGGTGGAGCAGTAGCGGCCGGGAACGCGAGCCCGCGTGCCGCTGCTAATGCACCACAGACTTGGCTCCTTATGTACTGTCTTGGTGTGCAGCGAAGAGTCGGAAGCGTTGTTTTGCGGCTTACACAGCTGATCTTTAATCGCAAGCCTATAGATCTCGTGTCGTAGAAAGCGTATAGCGGCCCTATGCGCGCAGGGCTCGATCGCGCGAAACAGCGAGATCGCGACGCTACGCGAATGATCAATCGAACGAGTCCGCTGCAAAAGCAAGCAACCTCGCAGTCGATACGACGCAGAGCAACGATGCGTTTTTAGCACGTACATGCACGGCCACACGCGTATCTCATGAACGTGAAAATTTGTGCGTTGTAAAGTTGTTTGTATATATCCATCATATGCACCTGTATGTGTCTTATCGGAGAGTAAATGGCAGGTATCAGCAACAGTACAGAAAAAGAGAGAGAGAGAAAGAGATGGATATAGTACAACCAGCACCAGCACAACAACGACGGCCGCACTGTAGTGTGCAAAGTATATGTGTTTGTATACACATTTACAAACGAGTAGACTACTCGAACTGACGACAGGATAGTTTTTGTGTATACAGTAGATATTATATAGGCTCGGACTGTGTGTGCTTCACACATGCAACGCAGTTGCATAGGTTTACATACACATTACAGTACTATGCACATATAGACGGCGCTGAACGCAGCTCCAAAGTCGCGTAGTCGCGCGTACATCGAATCTATATCTATATATTACATGTACACACACGTATTGTATTATACATGTAATATATTTATAAAGGTATACGGGTGGTACGGCGGCATAGCAGCGAACGCGGCGAGAAGGGGACGGGAAGCCGTGAACGAGAGAGCACATATCTATAGGTATAGGTGTATATCTGGCAGTACCCGTACACATATATATGACCAATAGGTGTATAATACAGCAACACCGTGGAAGTTGGAACAGGGTACTCGCATACGATGCATATACGCTAGTACCTATATAGGACCGCATTATAGTCCGCCGAATTATGATCATGTACAGAGTTTGCACGTTTACGTGATATGCAATATAGGTGTCCAATAACGTGCGCATGTAATAAAGATGATCTTGGGCTTGCGTTAAGGATACGCTTGATAAAGAGCCCAATTACAACGTGAAGTCTGTCTTGAGGTATAATAGGCGCGAGAACTGGCGCTTTGTCTATTAGGATGAACCGCATACGTGGATATCAAGTTTAGCGCATATTTAGGCCTTGGATCCTCCGCACGCGGCTCGACTCAGAGTAGCGTTATAGATGCGATCCGAGTTGACAGCGGTAAATCTTATATCTCTTATCATTCGTCTCTTTTGTCTCGCTGTAATTGCGCACCTGAAAGTCCGCTTAGCTGTTACGAGCTTTCAAATGTAAGTATATCCATCGTAGCTACTCCATCGAAGGCACGCGTTTTGGAATCACTAGCCTATAAAGTTCAGCGAGACGCGGTCTACGGCAGAAAACATTGTTGAGATGCTTGTATCTTGTGCGGCTCTCTCGGCAGCCGCGACTTGCGCGCGGCAGTGCATATATTGCACACACGTACATACACACAAAGGCCGCGCGCGGCCCATAAACAAAGAGTGCGTGTAAGTACAAGCGAGAGCGAGAAAAAAAGAGAGTAGCTCACTGTGGATTAATCCTACGCTGTATGTGCTTCTCATAAACATATTACATGAATCTATGTATAATTGTTTACGAACATTATGCTTTTTTACTCTGAAAGCCAGTACATATGGGGTCCAGATGAAGCATAAGCGCAGTCCCTACCAAAGAATCGCGCATGCTGCCTAACTCGCAGCTGCCTTGACGCTCAACGCAGGATGAGAGCGAAGGAAGGAGAGAGAGAGAGAGAGAGAGAGAGAGAGAGAGAGAGAGAGAGAGAGAAGGTTGCTGCGCCGCGAACAACACCTGGCCCAGTGGCCTTTGCCTCATCTCTCTCTCTCTCTCTCTCTCTCTCTCTCTCTCTCTCTCTCTCTCTCTCTCTTTCTCGTTTCAAGCGTGTGTGACATGGAAACTTCATACACCCGTTGACATTGCTTGTTACATTTTGTTGCTCGGGGACTGTTTATGAGCGGGCTTTTTTTATTTACCTTTGAAAGTTTGTGTGCAGCGGTAGGCACTGCCCTGTGGCTTGTTGCAATAATAGTCTTGATGGGCTGGCGCAGAGAATTTCATCGACGATAATTCAACACGAGCGACTGTTCACTCATATCACACTCAAACACATAGACGAGCACCAACGGGCGACGAAGAGCATCGATCTAACTTTGTACGATCATGCATGCACTGTGCACTGTGCAGCAGCCTCGTACAAGTACATAGCGCGAGAGATATGATACATAGGGCACTTCTCACACGGCCGATTACTCAGTCGTCGACTGTACACATACGCACGAGCGTTGTAAACATATCACGGCTCACAGAGAAGACAACGACGACGGTCGGCGACAGCGACTACGACGATGCACGCTACAGTAGTGGCCAAGGTAAAGCCGAAGCTGCACTGCGCACAGTCGTTATATTATATACAGCATATACTACTTGATCGCATCGCTCGAGAAATCATGATCGGAAGAACCCGAGCAATGTTGCCATTATGCCGGCTCATAAAGTTACCGTAAGCAGCGATACAATCGAACGCAGCGCCCGTGACTTGTGTATACACTAATAAATGCGCCCCGCCGCCAATGCCAGTGCCGCCGGCCCGAGCCAATGCACGTATTACGTGCACTCGCGCATACATGCCTGTTGCCCACACAGCCCTTTTAGATTTTATACTTGCCTGCGCCTGGTCGGTCGCGGCCTGCGACCCCTCCTCCACCCCCCNCCCCCCCCCCCTCCATCCCCCTTTATCATTCTCTTTTTCTGTTACTTACTCGTGCTCCGAGCCATGCATGTCCGCATGTTAGCGTATTTTGTACAAATCATTGAACTTTCACTCGCACACAGGTATTCCACGTCGGGGTCTCAGGGTGCTACATTTTTGGATGGTCTGTAGTGGTATCAATGATATCAATTTGAGAGCGCGCGCTCATTTAATCGATGAATCAGGGAATTCTAAATTAATTCAACACGTGCTATAAATAGTGCATTTTATTTTTATTAAATCAAATCTTTTTCAGACTCGAAAAACGAAAGAGATCATACAATACTATGATTTAGTAAGTCAACTTTGTTTTATTTCGTTGATGAAAAAAACGTAGGTACGTAGAAAGTATGTGTGATTTTATGCGTCGTTTATCGGTTTCTTTGCAGATTATTGTGTACTTGAAAACCATGAAAAACTTTTTACTATAAATAGTATACAATTCGATTTAAAGAAAAATTAATGTAAATGTCTTGCACAGAAAGTTGTTCGAAAATTGGAGATTAAAATACATTATCTTCAAGCTCTTAAGCTTCATAAGACTAGAAGTTATTCTTTTTGAAACAAATATGTTTTCGTTAATAATATTGTGTATACAGAAACTTTTCTGTCTTATTCTAATATTTGTACACATAGATATTGAAACACTTAAAATTGTTGATTATTTAACATATTATTAATCTACTATTATTTATAAAAATAATCATTATATGTAACATAAATAATTGTTTGACCAGTTGAATAAGTTAACGAAGATCGTCAACGTTTTCTAAAAGAAAACCAAAAATGTGATAAATCATCTATCATGCAAATAAAATTTTTCTAGACTTGTTCAACATCGGTGCATCACAGTGAAGATCCGTTCGAGATAAAATTTGACATCAATCGTAAATATGCTTGCTCTCTTGAGTACTCATTGATACGGTGTGTTTTGGTTGACATTGATCATATCATTTGTGCTGCGGAAAAGAAAAAAAAATCATTTTAATTAATATTGATTTGAAAAAAATTTTAAATCATTGAAACAGTATCGGCCATGCGCTAATTAATGCGTAATTTATTCTTGAAGGAATTGTAGCAAAAAAAATGAGCAAAATGTAAGTATATAAATTTACTATTAGTTAAGATTGGTCACATATTGCAAAATGATGTTTATGCAATAAAAAATTAAAAATAAAAATTTTAAATAAAGCTTTAGCACATTAATCTTTTTTCATTAACAATTAATTTAACTTAAATCCATCTACCTGCAGATATACAACTAGTACTCCTCATTAAAGAAAGGAAGGAAATTTATATAAGTTATCAGTAACATTCAAACAATGTATTTTTAACTGGACCAAGAATATTAACTTTTTAGAAATATTTCAGAGGTAGTCATTACTGTTTAATTTAAGTATCAGTTACAGTTCAAGAGATGTAAACTTCTTTCATGATTTAACTTAATTTGGGTAATTAATTTAACAATTTAAGTAATTTCTTAAAGCAAAACAAGTAAGCCAACTTTTCTGTATTTCCTACATTTAAATCTTAAGCATACTTTAACTTGTTAATTCGTTGCATGAATTGGAAATGCATTTCTGCATTAACTTTTTTTAGATAATAAAATAAACTTTTCTAAATTATTCACATTCATATGACATCTAATAAAATTATCTTGTCTTATTTGCATCTTAATAGAAAATGAACGGTTTCAAGATATCAACCCGTATTTCTGAATACACTCATTTGTTTTATTTTTTCTAACAAACAGTTAATATTTTAAATGATTTTGTTTAAACATCATTAAGAAGACATTTTTTTTAAATTCTGAATATCTCTATGCATTGTAATGCTATACTATTTTTAATCAGGTAGTTTTTTCAGTTTGGTCTCAAAAACGTGGAATATTTGAAAATAACCATGCAACGAGTGCTAGAAAATTTAAATTTTAGAAAAAATAACATTCTAAGGGGAGAGCAAATTCTTTGAATAAATGAAAATGTTCCAACACGCCCTTTGACTCATACCTTTATCTTATGTTCTTTACACCCACCTTCTTTTCAAAAGAATATAAGGTATGAAACTTACTAAAAAAATTCCATTTACGCTTTCTTTGTCAATTAAGAATGGAAATAGTTATTTATGCAACAAGTGCGAAAAATGCGTTTTTGGGCACGAATGGGGTCTGTGCGCAAAAAGCTAGGCACGTGTTGCATACAACATTTTATGCAATAGAATGCGAAAAGTGAATAAATAACAAGCATGATATTTGACAAAATACCAAAAATTTTACCGCACACGAGTGTCCAAAAACGTTTCTTTAACACTGCGTGCGCGAAACACGGGTTTTCTAACCTTAAAGCGTCAGAAAACCCTAGTTTCTCGCAAGCAGAGTTAAAAAATATCGTTTGCAACTAGTCCGCGAAGAAGTTGACTCACCCAGGAGTCTTTGCACCCTCGCTACGCTCGGTTGAAAACAACTCCTGGATGAGTCAACTGCTTCGCGCACTTGTTACAAAATATACTATTTGCCCACTAAAAAGTGTGCGCAAAAACGCATTTTTCGCACATTTTTTAGTGTGCAAAAAGCGTTTTTGGACACTCGTGTGCGGTAAAATACCTCATTTCGACACTGGTGTACGGTAAAATGTCTCGTTTAAAATGAAAGTATTTTTCGCTTACTATTGCATAAAATTTTGTATGCAACACGTGCCCAGCTTTTTGCGCACGGTGTGCGGAAAAAGACACGAGTGTCGGCCATGCCGGCATGAAACCAAAAACGCCTTTTGGGCACTTGTTGCATAATAGAATATTATGCTAACAAACCAACAAACTAAAAGTAAATATATTAAAAAAGGCTTATGTAAACAACTAAATTTCAGTAATAAGACAATGTTTTTGAATTTCAATAATAGCAATTGAAAGAAAGAGAATAATTCTTTCCAAAATTAAATGATATTTTTCCAAAAGTATCTCCTTACACTTACTAGATGCAATTTTTAAATATAGAATCAAAGGGATGCAATAACTTTTTTGAAAAGTATGAAATAATAAAAAATAAATAAATCAAAAAACAACAATTTTTCCAGGTATTTAAAACATACATGCTTTTACATGCAAAAATGAATCTTTAAAATTCTTTGATTTTATTTTCATGTTTATTGTATGAAAATTATCAATGATTAATACTTTATTTCTTATAAATCTTCCTAAACATCTACATGTTGATGAAAAAAAAACTTATAATTTAATATTAGTAAACATCAGTAACTAAATCTACATATTAAAGAACGGAAATTAAAATAATAATTATACTAAATGATATAGCAGGTTAAGCAGGAACTTATTTTTGTCAAAAAAACTTACAAGGACATTTCATAGTCCTCTTTGGTCCATTTTAGATAAGTTTGCTGTGAGAAATATACATTTTTTATAAAGTTTGATAAATTATAATCAAAATGTAGAATTAAAATTTTTTTCAAATTCATTTGGTTTCAAACGAAAATAATTTTGCTGTTCCATTTTTGTCATAACATCATCAGCATATTATTGATATTAGCTCTTTACCTCGCTCCCTAAAGCTCGCTTGTTTTTTAAGAATTTTGTTGGAATTTTCTGCTTTTTATTTCTCTTTCAGTTAGACAAAAACCGCGTTTTACGCACAAAATGTTAAAAAAAATATGGCATGCAACTAGTGCGCGAAAAGGATGAGTCATCTTCTTCGCGTACTTGTTACATAATATACTATTATAAATCTGTAAATATACTATATAGATTATATTTTACAGATTATAGTAAGTATACTTCACTGTATAATTAATAGTATAACAAGTTAGTTTGGAGCGTAATTCATTTTTTTTTTCATCTTATATGTCGCATATATACGATGAAATGATGAAAAACAAATGATTAAGCTTTAACTATCTCAAGTCACACTATAAATTATATATATATATAATATATATAGATCTATGTGATTAATCCCTTTAACATTAACACTACAATATTTGTGTAAAAACTTCAAAATTGTGATTCCTTGTGATGTTTATGTTCAATTTTTAATTTTTTTTTGTCTTGAATAAATTGGTGATCCTCAAAAACTGTACTTTGGAAAAAAAATGCTACTGAGTAGTGTACTCTGTAACAAAAGCCTTCTACACGGAAAAATTAAACTCAATATAAAATATTAAAAACTAATTTGTCCATTACAGTTTTTGACATTTCAGAAAAGATAACGCTGAGTGCTTTTTTAAATAAAGAAAAATTAAAATTTCACGAGATTTACACATACACAGATCTTTTTTTTTTTTAATAATCGGAATCAGAAATTTTCGAGGTTCCAAGAATTTTTTTGAGCTTCAACATTTAATGTATAAGATTTTTGCATTATACATATCTTGAAGCTATCAATATTAACCAGTATCAAATCAATTAAATTGAATACAATCAATTAAATTGTACTTAGATTAAGATATATAAACTATAATTATGTAATTAGATGGTTAAAAACACTGCTTGAAACATTTTTTAGATACATACCTTTTAGAACATTTGATATGAATTATCAAAAGAGCTATTCCCAATAATAAACAAACACATCCAACTACTATGTAAGCATAACCTAAGAAAGGATTTTTTCCTCCAAGGAGAGATGTTGTGCTCAAAATCATTCTTTTTGTTCCTTCAAAAGCAGAAACTTGATAGGCTAAAAAAGTTTAAATGGATCGTATTTAGGTTTTTAATTAAAAAATTTGATTAAAATCGAATTTTCTTTTACTTACAATATTTAATGTTCAATGTATATAATCCTGCAAGTAAACCATTAATAAACATTGGTTGTTCATGATCCACTCGTCTATATAATTTTCTAAAAGTAGGTAAAGCTGCAGTTCTCATCCAAACAATAAGATCTTCATTTTTGAATCCATTGTTATCAGGATCATCAGTATCTAGTTCCCAAACATGCTTTTTCCAATTCTTAGGCTTTTCATAATCTTTAAATGCTTCTTTTAAATTGCTGCCTTCTGGATTTTTAAACTTTATTTCTTTATCAGTTGGCCAAGCAATTCCAGTTTTTTTTAGAGGAACTTCTTTATTATGTTTATGTGAAAATATTGTTAATTCATCATTGAACAAAGAGTTAGCTATTGCTCCACAAGGTGCTATTGGTACTAATGTACCATTCTTATCGATGCTAGCAAAAGGTTCACAATCACTTGATACCAATGGACTCAGTTGACCAAGGAGTTGATTGTCATCCCGCGATTTGACATAACGACGATGATTTTGATAAAAATTGGTTAAACCATAATACATGTAAACTTTTCCATTGTAGTCTGTAGGTAATGTAAAATTGATACTACAATGACATTCTGACCCTGGATTTTCGCTAATATAGTCTGTGCATCTTTTCAATGGATCATGTGTAGAGGTGCAGAAAGTGTAGTCAATTATTTTTTCTTGCACCTCATCGGAAAAGTATAATAACCCAACACCAACAGGGATAAAAGCAATACCTATTACAAAAAATGTAGGTAACACAGTTCCAGCAGTTAATATTGGCTGCCAAGCAGGTAAACGTTGCTGTTTAAAGGCACTGTCTGCAATTGCAATAAAAACCAAAGTAAAAATAGTTCAACATGATTTGATAGTCTTATAACTTACCAGATGGTTTTTTAGATTTAGGAAGTGAATCGACATCTCCAGTATTCACAGCCATCTTATTAAAAACTCACGAACAAAGTTGTTGTGTTTTTACGGATATTTGCCACAGTAATATCGTTGATTTACACTTTTCAAATCAATGACGCAAAATACCTAAATTGTTCATCCAGAAGCTAATTTTATTAAACATTTACTGTTGAGACTAAAATCAATAAATCTCGAAGTTGTAAAATCGAGATTGGCCGTTGAAACATACTAGAGTAGCGAAATATGACTATGTGACTATAGTTACACACCTTTATAGAAACTTACAGCTTGTACAATAACTTGAATCACACTAAGATTAAACCTTTCACGGATAAGTCATAGTATATAACTGCAAAAGTGTTTACAGAAGGTGCCAGTGAATATCCAATAACCCTTTTCTATATCTATTGACAGCTAATCATGGAGATACACGCATACTAACAGAGGAACACTGCAGAATGTGCGAACTCAGCCTTATATATGCATGACTGAATGCGAGCAAAAATTGAAGTGTGGATTGAGGAAGGCAGAAAATTATATTACGCATATATCTTATCAATCTGATAGAATGTTGTTGAGCTGCCGTCACATGACCTGTTCTAAGTTTTATGACGCGACAATTTTTAATTTACCAACAATGCCAACTCAGAAATCGCGAATGTTTTGTAACTTCTTATTACTTATATTAGTTTCTTACCAAGTTCTTACTTCATGAATCATGATTAGCATTAAATTTTATAGCCCGCCTTTAATTAGAAAATTCTCAGTTGGCAACAGTGTTCAAGCGCTATTTTTCGGTTGTGTATAAATTTTATAAAAATTTGACCTAATGAAATCAATGGAATGAAATTGTTAATATTGCTTTGTAAAGGAGCTGATATTAAAATAACTACGGTTATATTTTTAAAGTTTTTTACTCAACTAATAAAATATTTTACATAAAACTCAAAAACATAATATGATTATGCAGCTTTTTACATTAACTACATAAAATACATAGTATAATTGATTACATAGAAAACAAAATATTCATTTAAAAACAGTTTTCATTTGTTGCCGGTATAGCATTTTATGTGATTACAGTTGGTTTATCACGACCTGTATATTCACCTAATTTGCTCAAATTGAGAGAGATATCAACCAGTGGTTTTAATATCACTTGTGGGTCCTGTACAAACGTAGATGGATCTGATTCATAACTTTCAATATATAATCTTATAGTTGCGCCTGAACTTCCAGTACCAGATAGACGGAATATTATTCTAGATCCATCTTCGAATAATATTCTTAAACCCTATAAATAATAATATCAATAAAATAGTTGAATTATAATTCAAATATAGTTTGAAATTATTTAACATACTTGTTTCGAAGCCACACTTCCATCTATAGGATCTTTGTATGAGTAGTTGTCTGCTTCTTTGACAATGTAAGTCTTATTTCCAGACTTCAACTTGGTGCCAACGAAATCGTTTTTATTAATCAAATTTTCTACATAATCCATCATTTTATTTGATTTATCAGAATCACAGTTCTCATAATCGTATCTAAATATTTAAAGTTGAATTAAAAAATAATTAATATTACAAACGATGATAAAATTAATAGTCTTATTATTAGCAGAAATTTTTAAGAACCTTGTAAAAAAGTTTCTGCCATAAATACCCCAATGATCAAGTAAAATCTGTTCAACAGGTTTTTTAACACTAGCAATAACATTTAACCAAGCTAGTGCAGCCCAAATTCCATCTTTTTCTCTGATATGATCAGAACCAGTACCAAAACTTTCTTCACCACAAAGTGATAATTTACCAGCATCCATTAAATTACCTGAAAAATTAAAATGAATCAATAAAATTAATGAACAAACAAAGAAAATAAACAAGAAATTCAAATCGTTATACCAAAATATTTCCAGCCAGTAGGTACTTCATAACATTGAATATTTGTTTTTGTAGCTACTCTATCAACTGCTGCTCCTGTAGGCATAGATCTTGCATAGCCCTTGATTCCAGTTTTTCTAAAGTATGGAATCACATTCAAATTATTAGCCAAAATAGCTAGAGAGTCTGATGGATTAACAAAAAATGCTTTTTTCCCTATAATCTAATTTCATAATATAAGAATGCATGTAGTGTAAATCATAATTTAATTCATTATTTTTACAGTACCATGTTACGATCCCCATCTCCATCAAAAGCAGCACCAAAATCGTATGGACCACTTTTAACAGCATTAACTAGATTTGCAGCATACGTTAGATTTGGATCAGGATGTAAGCCACCAAAATCTTCTTTTGGTACGCAATTCACCATGTTAGATTCACTGACTCCTAATTCTTTGCCAAAGATTCGTTTTACATAGGGACCAGTGACTGTAGACAGTAAAATAATTATTTGAACTCTCTATTTCCAAATCTTAAGGATATTTTGAAATTGTTTACAAGCTTACCTCCATTCATAGCATCAATTAAAACATTAAATGAGGAATTCCCATCACTACCTTGGAGTAATTTTTTTATACTGTCAAAATCAAATATTTCTTTCATCAGTGCAGTATAGTCATTGACAGAATCTATTATATCTACAGTAAATGGTTTTCCATCAACTTGTACAGAAAAACTTTGAATTTTATCAATATCAACATGAAGATCATTCACGATTTTGTATTTTTTTATAGTTTTTGTTAGTTCATAAATTTTGTTAGTAACAGCATCTGGAGCTGGTCCTCCATTTTCACAATTGAACTTTATTCCAAAATCACCGTTTGGTCCACCTGGATTATGCGATGCAGTCAAAACAATACCTCCAAGTGTTTTATTTTTGCGGATTATAGTTGATACTGCAGGAGTAGAAAGTATTCCATTTTGGCCAACAAGCAATTTAGATACCTATAAAAGTAATATTTGAGTACAATCATTTACAAATTAGTTATCATCAGTTACTTCCTGCTTTAACAGATAATTTATAGATAAGCTTTTATCTCAAAATTTATAATTTTAGAAGTATTTTATATCATTCACTTTTCATAAAAGACTGGGATTTATCTCAATGTCTTTAAAATTTCGCAATGGATAATTTTAAGTTCATCTCAAAAATAGCCAAAATATCATTTACTGATTAAAAAAACTTATTGTTAAATTACGCGTATGTAAAAAACTATCAAAATTTCTATAAAAATTAAAAATATTATTTTGAAATTTATTTTGTATTAAAAACATGATCTCATACCCCATTTGCAGCAGCGATTTTAATGATTTTTTGTACAGCTTCTCTACCGTAATAACGACCATCGCCACCGATCACGAGGGTCGATCCCAGCAATTTTTCTCCTTGAGCATCGAGTATGGCTTGCACAAAATTTTCCGTATAGTGTTGTTGTTGGAATACTTTAACAGCTTTTCTTAAGCCTGACGTGCCGGGCTTTTGTCCATCAAAAATAACCGTATCAATGCTCGTGATTGACAGCGAAGTCATGATGTATTTTTTTGCAAAAAGTAATCTATAGATGACAATTTAAAAAAAGTTTACACAGCTAGTTTTCGCTATGCACTCAAATAATGAATATGCTTGCAAAGATCAAAGACACGCAAGGACAACTGACAAGAGTGCGTCTCTGCCAGATACGAACGACTATCAAGACTGAGTTAATTTTGAACTGGGCCTCGAACGTGACGCGAGCAGAGCGACACACGATATGTGATTTGTCGTGTATCGCTATCTTTCATGATTACTAATGCGCTGCGCTGTAAAATGATACATAAAGATCTTTATGTTCCTCGATAATCGTATCGCAAAGATTGATTTATTATGTAAGAACAGAGAGTAGCAGAAGAGCGAATATTGTCGCGTACAAAGTTTTAAGTTGTTTGAATGTTTCCTCCCTGACCTCCCTCGTCTCCCTCCACGAATCAAGAGAACGCGCAAGCGCTTTAGAGACTATTACTAGTATTACTACCGAGTGTTGAGTGTTGACTGTTGACTGTTTCTACTACTTATACTAGTCACAGGTCACTACTTACTACTCACAAACAAAGTTGTGTAAAAAGATAGGTAAAGATTTTAAGTGACTGTCACAGTATACCATTAACAATTTTTAAGCTGACTGTCTTAAATCCTGCGCAACCTACGTTTTTACACAGCTCTGCTTACAAAATAAAAAACAAAAATTGTTATTTTACAAATGTTATGATGGTTATTGACATGCTGCATTTATTGAAATTATTTTTATGATGACAAAATCCTTTTTTTTACGTTAAATTATCTAAAGATATCCGGCTCACGTCGGGTAATGCCTAATACAGTTTCACTAACCAATTATAATACCTAGTCACAGCGCCAATTAAAACACGTGGCTCTTTTTTGCGTGGCTATACTATACACGTCAAAATTTAGTCGTTCCGATTTATTTTTACAGAGTATTTAAGTGTATACAAATACGAAAATTGATTTAGGATGACAACAGAATTAATGGAAAATATTCTGGGCTATCTGTCCGAATATGGGGAGGCAGATTCTCTCGATCTCGCTCATCGTTTTGCAGTGGATCATCAAAAAATAGTTGGTGCTATCAAGAGTTTACAGGCTTTTGAAGACGTTAGTAATAAATTACATTTTATAACAACTATGATTAATATTTATTGTTTTTTTTTGTTTTTGGAGTTCATAATTGAAAATTTTTGACTGAATTTTTTTCTCTATAAAAAATTTAGATAAACCGATTGCTTTTGAATTTTTTTTACAGTTGTTAAAAGTTGAGAGCAAAAGTCGCAAAGAGTGGGTACTAACAGATGAAGGGCAACATGTATTGGAAAAAGGTAGTCATGAGGCTGCTGTTTATAATGCTCTACCGGCTGATTTCTCTGCTGTTAGTCAAGCTGACATATTATCAAAAGTACCCTTTGCTAAAGTTGGTCTTTCAAAAGCTCTTGCTGCTTCAATGGTAGAGTTAATAAAGACTGGAAAAGAGACTTTAATCAAGAGAAAAGCACCTTCGATTACTGATAATGTTCAAAAACATATGAAAGAACTTCAAATGTTGTCAGATGATTCTAAAAAAGAGTATAAAAAAAGGAAACTTATTAAGGAAAAGTAAGTTAATTATTCAAAATTTTTCAAAATACAGATATTCAACACTTGTATTAATAATTTTAGTATTATCAAAATTATGGTACTTCAAAAGGGTCCAAACTTTTCAACAAAAATAGAAAAACCAGAAGCTGATTTAACTGCTGATTTATTGATGAATGATGCATGGAAAACAAAAAAATTTAAACCTATCAACTTAAATGCTCTTGGAGCAGCTCTTGATGTTGGACATCTTCACCCATTACTTAAAGTTCGCACTGAGTTCAGAAAAATTTTTCTAGAAATGGGTTTTGAAGAAATGCCTACTAATAATTATGTAGAAAATTCATTCTGGAATTTTGATGCATTATTCCAGCCTCAACAACATCCAGCTAGAGATGCTCATGACACATTTTTTATTTCTGGTATGTAAATAATTCAAAAACGTGGTTACAGAGTCTTTGTATTCTAGTACTAATAATAAATTATTTCTGATGTGTAGAGCCAGCAATTAGCAGTAAATTTCCAGAAGATTATTTGAAGAGAGTAGAAACTGTACACAGTAAAGGAGGATATGGTTCTCAAGGTTACAAATATGATTGGAAAATAGAAGAGGCCCAAAAAAATTTGCTTAGGACACATACAACAGCCGTAAGTGCTCGAATGTTGTATCAACTTATGCAAAAGGTAAGATCAAGATTTTATGCTTATTAGTTTCTTAATCAGTATGCATATCATATAAGCAATCGATTTTCAGAGTGAATTCAAACCAGTGAGATATTTTAGTATTGACAGAGTATTCAGAAATGAAACATTAGATGCTACACATTTGGCTGAATTTCATCAAGTTGAAGGTGTTATAGCTGACTATGATCTGACACTAGGAGATTTAATTGGTGTTCTTTATGAGTTCTTCAAAAAACTTGGAATTGAAAAACTTGAATTCAAACCAGCTTACAACCCATACACAGAGCCTAGTATGGAAATATTTTGCTTCCATGAAGGCTTGAATAAATGGATAGAAATTGGTAATAGTGGCGTTTTCCGACCAGAAATGTTATTGCCAATGGGTTTGCCAGAAAATGTCAATGTTATTGCTTGGGGATTATCGCTTGAGAGGTAAAATGTTTTCATAATTTCAGTTGAAAATACCATATTTATTATTATAAAATATATTTTTCTACAGACCTACTATGATCAAATATGGTCTCAATAATATTCGTGATTTAGTTGGACCAAAGGTCGATCTACAAATGGTTCAAGAAAATCCTCTGTGTCGTCTTGATAAGTAACTAACACTTTATATTACATTTTCACAAGTATTTGTACAATAGATTATATCAATTGTTTTGAACACAATAAAGTTGACATTATTCTGTATAAATCTATGCATTTTTAGCACTTTTATAACTAGATTGCATGATTTTGTATATCAACCATGAAAACACTCATACCAAATAACGTACAGATCATCATCCTTAGTGTTTTTGTATTTATTTTAACAGATGCAGGACTGCGATAAAAGTGAATGAAAAAGTAATGATAAACAACAGCTGTTCACCCATCATTTTTTTGCGTGAAGTATTTGAAACGGAAGAAATGGCCCTTTTCTGCGATGCTGATCATCCACCCTGTTGTATCAAGCCTCTGTTGGTTCTATTAAATAAAGTTTATAATATTAGTGTTACTACTCATGAACATTCTTCTGTTGTGCAGTCTTGTCGTAAAGATATCAACAATATAAACCGATTTTTGTTAGATTTGACTTCAAATAATACACTGCCAAAAATGGTTATAACTTTAATTTGGCACAGAGGAGAAACGTGTCTTAAATTGTCAAATAAACGAGTTCTAGCTGGCCAAGTGAATGTCGCTCGATATTTTGGACGTTTAATAGAAAAAGCTAACTCAGAATTGTTAAAATATGAAAGTTTTGGCGCGACTTTTGCTGCCCAAATAGATATGGCTTTATCAAAAATAGAAGAAGCTGAGCCTTTGACGCAAAATTCATTGGCATTATTACACGAATTCCGGAAGATTGACAACTTGAATTATATTTGTGGAGATGAGATGAGTCTTCTGGATGTTTTTTTCATGTAGTAAAAGAGCATATGTAAAAAACTTAAAAATTATAGATTATAACAAACAAATTAAAGGATTATGATGATCTGTTAACTTACAGATATTAATTATTTTATTTAAATATACAGTAATCCTGTTGTTCGAAAATAAAAGTAAAGATTTTTCACGTTCCTTTTAAATATTACTGACAATTATTTCCCTGTTTCGATAATACATCAAAGAATTGATTAAATATTTTAAAAAACAAATTGTTCTGGATTAAACTATTTGTTACCACAATTTCACTTTTACTAAAAAGTTGTGCGGAAAAATTCTGCAGAAATTATCCAAAGAAAATCCTACAGAAAATCTTAGGGGTAATTCTGCGGGATTTTCTAGGGTCAATTCAGACCGCATGATTCTGAAGAATTTCTTGCGGAAATAATAATGATCGTTATGAATAGAGTTTTCTCCGAAGAAATTATGATGATTCCGGCCAGGCATAAATTCGTCTGAATACAGCTCCAACGGGATTCCTGTACAAAATCTATGAGAATATCGCTCTTATCCTACAGGAAATTTAATTTCTTTCTCAAGGATGCCTGCAGAAATCCATGTATTTCTGGAGGATTCCTACGAGAAATTTTTCGTTATTGAGAATGAAGCTCTTTGAGAAAAGCACGAAATTCCTACAGGGATCCTTGAGGTAAACGTGAAATTCTTATGGCTAAACTTTGAGAAAATCACAAAATTCCTACATGAATCCTGCTGAGACATACTGATAGGAATCCTTCAGTTAAGCGCTGAATTCATACGGGTAATCCTTCAGAAACTCGTGAATCTCCTGCGAAAGTCCTTCGAGTAAGCTTCACAGAAATACTTCAAAATATGTTTAAGATGACTTATAAGTTTCGATCATGTTGAATGACTGCTTCTACCTAAAAAAAAACCGCAAAAAACCCTTAATTTTGCCTGATAAACCTATCTCCCCCTTAATTTCGATCGGTGAACCTTGAGAAAAACACGAAAATTATTATGAGGATTCAGCAGAAACAATAGAAACTTCTTCTCAGAAATCCTGCAGAAATTCGTGGATTTCTTCGTAGATTTCTGAATTTTTCAAAAAGAAAGTAAATTTACCGTAAGAATTTCGGCAGATAAGAGCGATATTCTCGTAGATTTTCTGCGGGAATTCTCTTACAGCTGAATTCAGAAAAATTTATCTCTGTCCAGAATCATCATAATTTCTTCAGGAAAAACTCGATTCATAACTACGAGAAATCCTTCAAAATCATGCGGTCTGAGTTCACCCGTAGAAAATCATACCTTTTCTACAGGATTTTCTTTGGAAAATTTCTGCAGAACTTTCCCACAAAACTTTTTCGTAGGGGTAATGTAAAGGTAAGATCTAAAATAATGTCACGCAAATTTTGCAATAGTAACTATATTGTTTATATTTTGTACATTGCACACATACAACAATTAAAACCACTTCCTACTCAAGTTTACGTACCGCTTAATTTTTTAACATTATAGATCAATCATACTGATAATATATAAATAGAAAATGTATTGGTCCATTAATTAAATATCATGATTTTATTTTGTACAAACGCATTCATGATCCAATACATGTTTATCTTTCATCATTCTAAGAACAACGTGATATGATTAATGTCACGTGATGTACACCAGTACATTTTAACTTTTCATAATATATATATAATATATAACACGAAGAGCGGCACGGTACATTTCAATACATAATAGTTAATATTTTCATTAGGAATTGCAAAAGATCAATTATATAATATTTTTAAATCTTATTTATTCACATCATTCATTATAAATTTTTCTTTAAGGAACTATTACCGGTTAAAAGAAAAAGAAAAAAGCTATTTTACCTATTTTTTATTCTAAATATTTATATGCAATTTCTTACCCAATGTTAAGAGTAGAAATAAGTATTCAATAAATTTATTTTGTATTTTTTTTTTAGTCTTTTTTCTCGGAGTACACTGTCTTGGCAAAAAGTGATTTTTCAATGGCGGACGATCTTCGAATATACCCAATCGATCTTTACCAATCTGTGCACGCCTCTTTTTTAACATATGAGACATGGTATTCAGAAAAAAAATTTGATTAAGAAAACAAATTGCGGGAGTCTGACAGTTTTGTTTCAATATCAATTTTTTAGGGACTTTCGCATCACTTAATTCAATACAATTTTTTTGCAATACTATGGTATATTGCAAGTGATAAAATTTGGTAAAGATCAGCCGAGTAGATTAGGAGATAAACTGTCCACCATACAAAAACACATCATTCATTACCAGAAAGTATAAACATTTCGAAAACGTAATAAAAAGAATTATAGATTTTTTGAAAATTCAATCCGGTAATAGTCTCTTAATACGATTAATAGTCATCATTGATAGTCTATTTATCTATAAATTTTTTGATGCAATGACAACATAATTATGTAATGAGCTCAGTAAATTTGTACGCGCTACTTAAACATACAAAATTATTTTACTTATTATATCACTCAATAAAAAATTAAAATGCTATGTAAGAAAATTCAGCATCATGCCTTCAGTTTTTAAACCCATAAACGCGCAAAAGTGAAATTTGTGTGCAGGAATTTTTCATCGTACGAAAACCATAAAACTCGTATTTTTCTTTGAAAATTCTTACCAGGGAGTTTTTGAGGAGTGTTCTTTCCGTATCTGGTGTTGGTTTTGTGATAAATAAAGAAGATTATCACTGTATATTTAGCAATGAATACAAAAAAAGTGAAAATATGAATGATGAAAATTGTTTTCAAAGTCGATTTCTACCTTTTTCGTTCTTCGAAGGACCCAAATATTACCATAAATCGAGCACTTTCACTGTAAACCTCCAAGGAAACCGTCACAATTTGTATCTTACCACCAAGTTTCAAAATTTGTTGAACTTAGACTGGACTGTAAATTAATTAATTTTTTACTTCACAATCATCAACTTTACAAGAAAATGTTATAGAATGAAAATTGCATGAAATGCGTGAATTCTGGTATTATTTGGGCTTTCCGAAGGCCGAAAAAGCAGAGAATCAACCTTAAAAAAATTCAATTCGAAAAGCACGTTTTTTTTCTAATTACGAAATAAACGATGATGTTTATTAATCACAAAACTAACACCAAATTCTGAAAGAGGATACCCCAAAACCAATGGTTAACTTTTTAAGGAACAATGCTAGTTTTATAATATAGATTTTAACTATTCGAAATTTTGAGAACTAACAATGAGAAAAGCCAGCGAGTACATTAAATAGCAAAATTTTCCTATAAAAACCATACAAAATCACACATGGTTCGAAAATAGCATATTGAGATGTTTTCGACTCTGACATAAAATCAACGAGATTTCTTATTAAAAGAATCGGGTTATCCGTTCGATAATCTTGATAAGATACACAAGAAAAGAAATTTTCTCGCTGGAGACTCTCGAAATTCCGAATAAATAAAATCTATATTCTAATACTTGTGAGCAAATTGAACAATTTCAATTAGAATCCAAACGGTATCTATACTTTTGCTAATTCATGGATTACGGTTTGAGAGTTTGACATATATTTTATATCTAAAGTATCATGTTTTTAAGTAAGTAAGCAACAACTCACAAAAAGAATGTATCACCATAAAGAGTACAAATTCGAATGCTAACCTATTTTCATAACTAAGGATAAGAACTAGTTTTCGGGCACTTAAGAAAATTCATTACTTTATTGCATTTGTAAACCTTGCTTATCTACATTGTCTACATTAAAAATGTATTATTCAATAGAAAAAATGATCAACTTTCGATAAAAAAATCGAAAAATCTCGTTTTCAGACACTGCTTTGTACCGTAATTTATTTATGTGTTGATCTTGAATTCTGAATTAGGTACACTGAAAACCCAACAGTATAAAATTAGCTTTGAAATAGTAATACTTGCGCAGTTTACACTTTTCAAAAGTGTTTTAAGCGCAGATTACACTTTTTGTAAAGTCTTCACAGCCGAAAAAGTGTGAAGGGTGCAAATTACACTTTTTCGGCTGTAATGATTTTTCAAAAATAATATAATTTGCTCCTCTTTCACTTTTTCTGCTGTGATAATTTTCGAAAAAGTGTAGTCTGCGCTTAAAATTACACTCATTGAAATGTGTTGCACTAGAAAAAGTATACGGAGTACTTCTTTTCGAAGGGAATAATTTTTATTACAGTGTATTTTGTGCACATAGCAATTTTCAGAATGTAATTTGCATTCAAGTGTTTTCTATGCAATTACAAATCAAATTACCATTTTCAAACGTATAAAAAATTACACGTTTTTTTATACAAAATACCGTGACAAAATCCAAAAATGTAGTAAAAAAATGGAACATTTACCAAAAGATGAAGAAATGGTTTTTATAGCAGAACGATGGATTATAGCACAATTGGGAAAAAACATTAGGAATCACTCTCGTAAAAAGTATAAAATAATTCTTAGACCATTTTTTTGTTAATCCGCATTCATTCCATATTAATGAAATTAATAAGAAAACTCTAAAAAAATACATGCTTCAAAAATTGTAACCTGCTCTGAATACACTTTAGCGCAAATTTCACATTTTCAAAAAGTGTAATTTGCATCCTTTATACTTTTTCGGCTGTGACGACTTTACAAAAAGTGTCATCTGCGCTTAAAACACTTTTGAAAAATGTAAACTGCGCAAGTATTACTATTTCAAAGCAAATTTTATACTGTTAAGTTTTCATTGTACGATGAGCGAAACGAACACTGTCGGTACTCTGAAAAATTTTAATTGTTACGTTTCAATTAATACCAACGTTCGAAAATGAATTTTTATGATAACTTACAATGAATTCTTTTTTTGTGATTTTTGAAACAGATTGCCTAAAAACGTTTTATTTAATATTTACTTTTGGGCCGCTGGTATAAAATAATACATTACTGATCTAAGCCACGAAAAAGAGAAAAGTTCTCGACTTTGCCTCGGCCGCTAATTATAATGGAATTTTCTTTTTTTCGTGTCTTAGGCCTGTATATATACTACTCTTCATACGCATTGTCCCAAAAATAGATTTTGCCGCTTTGCACAATAAGAGGGAAAATTATTCTATAGCTCGTAGAGTCTGAAAATCAGTTGGTTACCGATTATTAATAGTTTTACCCTATTTTTCCAGCAAATAAATTTATAAAATCGCAAACATTCTTTATTTGATGAATCATGAAAATTACATTGTTTCCATTTTCAAACTAAGAATGGGATATTGAAGAAAAATTTAAAAACATTTCATATTATAAATACACCAAGTAATATAAAACTATCAAAATGATTTTAACACGTAAAATATGTATCGAAGTTCAATTGTACTTTGTTCATTGCCACTGAGGAATGCCGCAAATGGACGAAGACTTATTTTATTTTGCCGTTGGCTATCATCCAATACATTAATGATAATAACACTGATATGCTTTCATTCCATGTTCTAACAGAAAAATAAACAGACAAAATGTTAACCAAATGCGTATCATCTATTACTATGATTTTTTGCAAAATTATTTATTATTGTATTAGTATTTTTTTTGTCTGAATCATACAACAATAACTCTTAATTATTGAAAATTTAATAAAAACACGCTCACATTCATACTCATACCAATACATTGTAATTAATGCGATAAGCAAAAAAGGGGATAAAGGAAAAATGAGAACTTTGATAGCGTCAAGTTATGCAATTTATGACACACAATTATTTTCTGCAATCATGTCATATCAAGAAATATAAAATTACGTATTTTTGTTTTAAATTAAAATATTGTACATTTAATTAGTTTTTTTTATCTCCAATTTAATCATATACATTTATATGAATATAAATATTGAAGTGTCCCTTACTTCATTTTTATTAATATTTTTTCTCTCCTTCTTACCCAAATTGCTTTAATATATCATAAAATATCGTCGGATGATTATTAAATAATTCTTATTATTTCTTATTATTATTAAGTTTTTTGGAATCATTGACCCATTGATATTTTAAAAATTTTAAGAATGTTGCCAATTAAATTCTGACACAATTCAGGCGTTTTTTTCGTAAAGTACTTTATTTTCGAGTAAAAAAATAAAATGAAAAAATAAGTTGTATAAATGGCGAGTAAGACTCTGCACTTTTTTTAACTTAAAAAAAAGTAATGAAATGGTACTTTACGATACTAGTGGCATAAGTAACATTTTTCAGTCCGGCTATTAGGACCCTCGCTGCGCTCGGGCCCTAAACTACGCCGAACCATGGCACTTGTATCGTAAAGTACTATTATAGGATTGGTGAAAAAGCTATTGCAGTAATCTAGGGGGAAGTGGGATGTGGTGAGGTAGGGTAGAGGGATAAAAAAAAATTAAGCGACACTTTAGTGTAAATATACAATTCCTATTACTGTATGGGTACTCTATTCATTTACAGTTCAACAATAATGGATATATGGCTTTTGTGATGCTATATATACGTTTGAGAGCGCTGGGGTATTTTAGTATCTATTATCCTTCATGATTTATGATAACTTTGTGTAAAATTTATTATTGAGATAAATTGACTCATCTTCTTTCTCAATAGATACATGCACACATAGTACAGCTTTGTGAATGAATCGATGGAAACTAATCCGCCTTCGTGAGAGCTAGTTATGAAATTAAAAAACAGCACATTTCGGGTAGTTGTAGAGATTCAACACAAGCCATTTCTACCAAGTAGATTGTCGTTGAGTTTGGTTAATTCGATATCCAGCTGCTGTTGCGGTGCATCGATGTAGCTCTCGCGTCGTGATATTGCAGGCGCCAAGGTAGTCGTCGTCTCGATGACTGTCGGTTGCTGCTGCAGCAGCTGTCGTTGCTGACGATGATGTAGCGCGAAGCGCGTCGTTGTACCTGTTTTCGCGATAAATCTACGCGTTAATAACAAGTAGCAATACAGGCCTTAATGGTGAGACTATTTTGCTGCTCATGTCGTACATACCGTTGCGTGAAAACCTCGAACGGCTGTCGGGACTGCCGACGCAGCTGTAGCGAGACGTCAGAGCTTCGGAGCGAGCCAAGGCCGGTTCTTGCGTTATCTTGACGCCGGGACACCAGGAGAAAAATTGCAAAAAACCACGACGAAATTTGGAATTCATCCAGCAGTAGATCATCGGATTGTACATGGAATTGGACATTGCGAGCCAATAGATTGCCAAATAGACTTCTTGCGCGTAGGAATTAGTCGTCACGTGTGGCATCAGCGATATGACGATGAACCAGATGTGATAAGGTAACCAGCAAACGGCGAATATCACCACGACGATCATCATCATTTTCACTACCTATCAGCAACAGAAATTCGCGAGGGCTTAGTATTTACGAGTAACAGTTTTTCCTTCAAAATTTTTCATTCAAGGATTCAAGATATAATCCTCTTTCATTGTAAGTAGAGAGTTCATCTTTCAAACTTTACAGATCATTAAGTCCGTTCGACTAATGGCTTCCCTATAGACAGAGGTTGTTAAACGTTGAGTTGTTGCAGTTTGTTCTCGTGCATAATTGATTTGCACGCAGAAAAAATGTAATCATTCTTAAAATAAAAGTCTTTATTTTTAATTACACACTCGATACTTCTGTACCATACCACTTTATTTGGATACAGTTGCAATAATTATAAGTTGTTTAATGCAACTATTAGAATTTAGCATCAGTTCAGAAGAATCAAGTTTTGATATGTATAAGAGAAAATTATTACATCGTGGATACTCATGGAACCAAAAGTGCATTCAAAGAAAAAATCAGTAGTATAGCTGCGCAATTAGTCAGGCATCGAGAATGCAACAATTTTCATTGTTTCATTCTTTTATGTGGCTTATTTTTTTTCAACTATTTTATGATTTTTGTAAGTAAAACGATCGTATCCATTAGTAAACAAACTATTGAGATTTATATCGAATCGAGCCCTCTAAAAACCAACTTCATGTAAAAGTATTACATTTTTTGAGCCACATAATATTAATTTTCATAATAATAGCTCCCGCGTACCAACAGTTTATTAGTCTTTGTAATCAAAACCTTTAGGACAGTTAATGGGACAGAAAAAATGACCATATGAATGGAAATAATTTAAAAAAAATTGTTTCTCAATGGTAAAATATATTGATACTACACTTGATTGACCAAAAAATCCCCTACCCAAACCTTTTTTAGATTACTAAATATTGCGATAGGTTTCACTGGTCACGCGATTCTGAAGTCATCAATATTAATCTGATTGGTCACTAAATTTTTAGAAAAGTACCCTCTTCTACTTGAGTGCAGCAGAATTTTGAAAAAAAGTTTGCTTCTCCTCTAAGATCTTAAATATAGCGTTTAATGTTGATAAAATATTGATTTTCTTAATATTTGTCGCATTCCATTAAGCTGTACATTATTTTTCTAAATTTCGCTCCGCTTAAGTGGAAAAAGGTACTTTTTTGAAGATTTTGATATTCCATAGAATAAAATTGATAGAGTATCATTTTATTTTATCATCAAAAAAAATAATTTAACTATTTCGGATTATATGGTTTTTTTTAAATATCAGCTCGAAACACCAATATATCACCTTTAAAAAAGTCTTGAAGGCTTGGGAATAACAGAAATGTGCGGATTCGGAATGTTTTAAAATAGCAAAAGAAATAGCAAAAACGAGATGGCTTTTTTTTTAAATTTTTACATTTTTAATTATGATAAGCAAGTAAATAAAGAAACCGTGCACATTTACATACATTGGCGTTTAATCAGTTTTGTCATAACTGAGCAAAAAATGAGTAAACTTCAATGTGTCATAGCTCAGTCAAAAAAGTCAAATGGAGGGATGAAGCGCATTGTGACCAACGGGGAATTCACAAATTTTCACGTCCCCTAATTCCTTACACGACCCGGCTACGTGAGATACTATCTCTTTAACACGAGAAGAATGTGGACATCCGAGTGTACGTATTGTGGACTCGAACGAGGCGACGCTGAACATACGCTTTTTTACTTTAATAAGTGGACAGCTCGACGACAGAAACAAGAGGCTGTCTACGAAGCACTCACTCCAGACAACATCATTGGTGGGTTGCTCCAAGATTATATTATGTCATATACAACTCTGACGCTATTCTTCGAAACCGTTCTTCAAAGTAAGATTGCCGATGGATGCCTGAGCAACGGATGAATAGAAATAGAATTAATGTGACTGGCTATTTTGTGGCTCTAGATCGGTCTTTAACGATATGGATCAGTCATGACAACAGACTGGCCCACCAGGTGATAGTAATAATGCTAACGGAATTTCAGTCTGGGGGGTGACACAAAAGGGTGGGTGTGTTTTAGTCAGTAGAAATCTGGCACAGCCGATAAATGCAGATCCCTATACGGTGATCTCCTATCGGAGAAAACTCCAGCTAGTGACTGGGCTATAATCTTCCTTGTCAAACTGCCTATTCCTCTTAAAAATGGTAATAATAATAATAATAATAATAATAATAATAATAATAATAATAATAATACAATTTTAAGACAATGATTTTTTGTAAACAAAAAATGAAAATTGTTTTTTACCCTACGCTTATTACGTATATTTTCTATTTGTCTCTGAGTAGCTTCACCTATGCTCTGCGAACCCCATAGTTCTAGACCGATACGGGCGTAAGTGAAGCACATAGCGCCAATCGGTAGAAAATATGTCAATATCATAAAACACACGTTGTACCTGAAAATGTATCTAGTTAAGTATCCAATATTCAGTAAACAAAAAAATAAAGCAATGAATAATTTTATACTCACAAACGTTCAGCCTTATTCTCGGCGTTTACAGCCCCCTCGTCCGGGACGACAAAGCAGACGGTACGAACATTTCCGTCGGTGAGATTTTGCGATTCTGTCTGGTAGAACCAAATATTAGGCAACGACATGGCAACACTTACCACCCAAATGGCCACCGCGACGCATAAGGTTGCCCGCTTGCCCATGCGAGGTTTTAGTGGATTCACGATCGCCATGTATCTAAAAAATTGAAATGAAGTATAGTTATAATTCGTAATAAAAGTAAGAAATACAATATAATTTTTGTGGTAAAATAAACTTGACAAGAAAGTAGGATTGCTATGACAGGGCTGGGAAATTCAGGGATATTATAACATTTCAATTGAACGCCATGTGAATATAATATGACGCTACAGTTCCATGCGCATTCTAGTGAAACTCCGACATTAATATCTACGCATCTCTTATTTTTTCTTTGGAGCAATTAAAAATCTAATGTCGATATTTGTATAATACTGTGACACAAGAAACTACTGAGTTTGTGGGACATACAACCCTCTACATTTTCCTCCCTTAAAAAAATCATGTCAAATTGTTTTATTCGTTATCTGATTAGTCGATCGCTTTATTTAACTAAATTATCATCAATTTTCTTTGACATTATTATGATGCGTGAAAATTACATCATAACTCTTACATTACATGCTTCTCGCTTTTTCTGTTTTTCGGAATTGGTATACGAGACAAAGTGTTTGTGTGTTCTAAAATTTTAGCATGTGCATAGTTATACTAACAAGGAGACCAGCCCAATTCCAATTTTTTTTTGGGTCTCCTGGTACCCAATACTGAAGCTCCCTGTGCTTAGTTTAATCTCATGGGCCTTGCGGCAATTAAACAAGAAAATGCAAAGAACAAAAGTTTTAAAATTAGTTACTACTTGAAAAACTAGTAAGTGAACACTTCAATTATGAATTACTATTTTAAAACCTCACAACTTAATTATTCAGTTGGCTGTTACGTGATTAGTAGCAGATAATTGAATAATTCAACTAGCAGTTACTAATGTAGTAATTGATAAAATTTGCAACACTGCTTTATAAAACTTATTATAATTGTTCTTCAATCTTCGGCGCTTGATGCTGATTCTCGTAGCTGGGGCCCTAATCTCAGTCCAGGTTTTTCTTGGGCGAAACTTCCAGCCCTCTTTCCGGGCAACTTGTTCCCTTCTCGGGCCCACATAGGACTTCACAAGCTTTACTTCACTTAAATCACATGGGCTATCACAAGCCCAGTCACACCTTGAATTTCACGGGCGATCATACGCCCAGCATAGGTCAAGCCTCGGGGCTTGTTTCCACTCTCAACTTGGACCCTATTCGCACGATACGAACAAGCAGAGGACTCCGTCCTCCTCCGCAGATTTTGCTTGCGAGGAATTTGCACGGCTCAAATCGATCTGCCCACTTGAGCTCGCTGCTGTTGCTGCCTTGCTCACTTTCCACGCCGCTCCGGGCCCACGTGACTGCATCTTCTTCGCTCTTCGCCTGTAACGCGCGAAAATCATACACACACGCACTCACATATCGACGTTCGGGCAACGCAACTTCGCTCGGCCGAGCTGTGCCCTGCAACTTCATTACAATATAATATAATGACTTGATTACAAAGTTCTGTCCCGCATGAATCTGGAGGCCATTTTTGACCAATTGGAACCATTGGGGTCTTGAAATCGCTGTTAACATTTTTTCCTCAACTTAAATGGAGCAGATTGTTTACTTAATTCTTTATTCAATTTGCCAGTCTCAAAAACTAGTAGTGAGTGTTGAAAAAAACTATTAAGCATTTTTTGTGTATTTTTGTATGCAAAAAATGACCCTAAACATTTCTTGGAATTCTGTTTCACTCAAGTCAAGGAAAAAATTTGAACAAAGATTTCAATATTCCAATGGTTTCAATTGGTCAAAAATAATTATTTTTTAAAATAGTCCGTAATCTTTTTTCTGAACCAAGTTCTCAGTGGTGATCATATCAATAACGGTGTCAATTTTGAATAGAGCAGCGAAGACACTTTCGTCTATGTTATTACATTTTTTGTATGCGAATCCTATGCGCTAAAGCAAATATCAATAAGGTGAGAGACATGTTTTTTGATGTAAAAAGATTTGTAAAAACATAATTTTACATCAAAAACAAAAAATGTCAATATTTACTTTTAATTTTCATGTTATTTAATTTGTAATATTTAACACTGGTTTTTCCCATTAACTTGCCATAGGGCTTGATCATGAACAAATGAATAGTACTGCATCTAATTAAATGTCATTACAGTTTGAAGCAACATCGCGTAACGCATGTATTCACAATTGTACCCAACCGTCTCGTGCTCACCTGTATTAATGTAAACGTTAATATGGTAAATATAAATAAAATGTTCACTTTTTTCTTATAATATTTCATCCACTAACTTTTTTATTCATGTTTTTTTCAGAAATTACTTTATAAAGAAGGCGAGAGATTGAATAGGGTTAATATTATAATAACGCATTGCGCGTAATACTCCGACCCCCGATTAAATTTATCTCTTTTTTACGAAATGTAACTTAATATCAGTAGAGCCCTTGTTTTGCTCAAATGTTTTTGATACTTTATATTTGAAAAATGATCGCCTGCAGGAATGATAAAAAAGTAAACCACACGGGGGACAGTTTTCTCCCGTTACTGCTATGGGCTTCCGTAATAGAGAAAAGTATGTAAATTCTGAATATCCCAACCGTACAATATTGTATTGTAGTAAAAAATGACGCTATTATTGTACTTCTTCCCTTTTTTAAATATTTTTTTCGGAATAAAAGACATCGACGAGAGGTTGTTCTCTATCCTCGTTGAATAAAAACAACTCGAACAAAATTATAAGATTTTCAGCAATGTATACCAATTCAATTCGCCAAGCTCTAGGTAATAATTATGAAAGCACGCAAAATACAGGGCACTCATATCGTACAATATTCATTATATTTCGTTAGCAATATCAATACTTTGACGGCATGTGAATTTTCTCAGTTTTCAAAAATATATGAACGCCTGAGCAAAGTTTTTCATCAATTTTGTTTCTAGAGCTCTTTTTTTGTTAATAGACATCATCCAAATATACGCACCTATCGATCGATATGGCCATTAGCGTGTAGACACTAGCGGTCACCGTAATTACAGCAATGATAGGGTTGATCCTACAATATAGATCGCCAAAGGGCCAATGACTATTCAACATGTAGATAAAATTGAATATGACGTTGAGGGTGGACACAGTGGTATCTGCGATGCTCAAATTGACGAGGAAATAATTCGTCACGGTGCGCATACGTTTGTGCGCCAATACAATCCAGATGACAATGATATTTCCGCCGGTTGCCACGATTATCATGCAGCCGAAGAGTAAGCTCCACAACACTTGACGCCAGAGGGGAAGGATAAATTTCGTTTCGTCCTCGTTATTCAAGATAAAGTCGTCTAGCAGATCGGTGAAGTTCGATGAATTCGTTGATAAACTTAAATTTCGTAGCAGTGGCCACGATAGCTCAGGAAGCCCTTGCATCCTTTACTGTAATAGTAAACAAAGAAATCAACTTAATTTTTTAGTTATCCTATATATTGTCAATTTAAAAAGAAAAAATTGTTTATGATTTTATGCGTCTTGTAAGAATAAAGTGGGACTAATAATTATATGAAACATGTAAAATAATAGTTTTTAATTTCATTAAAGCCATTACCACTGACAATCAAGATACTAACAAACCATTTTCTCAAAAATTTCCTAATAAAATGCTTTTAAAATAGTACTAACTTCAAAAAATAAGGTACAAAGGCTCTTCAGAAAAACATCATGATTTTACATAATGATTTTAGACAATCAAAACAATGATAAACATTATATTACATTATCGTGTGCGTTATGACAAAATGTAATGAAGTACAATACTAATTCACAGTTTTACGTTTTCAAAATAAATACAAGTTTTTGGAACGAGAAACAATTTTGAATTTAAATTGATAGAGAATCCTTCATCCCTTACATTTTTTTGCTTCTTCATTTTTTATTACAGATCACAATGTATAGTATAAAATTTATCTAAAACTTTTTTAGATTTAGGAAGAAAAAAACTGTAGCAAAAACAGTAGGTAGTATAGCAGACGATTTCAGTTTCACCTGAAAACTTACCAAGCTTTATCCTACTCCTTTGTAGGTGCTTTTTTCAGTAAGCTAGCATTATGGTAAGCACATTATCTCTTAATTCTTTTCCCTAGCAACAAAGAAATATTTTGACTAATATATTTTATTTAAGTCATGTTATAGTTGATTTTTTTTAGAATAAAATTGATAATCAGTTGAAGATCACGTTGGTTGCAAAGTTTCGATGATTTGATTGATATGGTATCGCAATGGTATTATATTTTATTTATCAGATAATGATCCGTTTGACCTGAAACTTGCTGAACGACATAAAAGCTCAGATTAGAATACTAAAAAAATTAATGACATAAAGAAAAAATAAATATTACAGGTAATCAAGTTATTAAAAAAATAATAAGGTTTTAAAACGCTGCATTTAGTCTATTTTCCATTGCAACGATAATTAAAATCCAGCTCGATTTGTTTTAATCTGTATTTATCTTTATCAGAACTTCTTTGAATTAATTCTTTACAATTCTAGCGTTAAAAATTATAAACTATGTTACTCCTGAATGTTACAAGAGGTAAATTTTAGCGTTGCGATCGCTTATTTTATTGCTTCCACGGAGATAACATATTTGAGCAATAACCATTTTGAGATTATACAAACGCAAAGTAAAGCTGTAATTGAAATTTTTCTCGTTATGCATATCATATATTCTTTCAATAGAACGATTTTTTTTCTTTTTTTTCACAGAGATTATTTAATTTATTTTTCTTTGATAACATCTTTTCATAAATTATGTTACACTTTTTATTAAGATAAGTTAAATAAGCGTATATTTTTTTAAAGGAACTTTAACTTCAATATGTTTGAAAAATTTTTAAATTTTAAAGTGAAGTTTATATTTTCATTAATCTTCATAGCAAATATATTTGTTATATGTATGATTATAACTTTTTCAAAAATCACAAAATACGAATTCATTAAAAGAATAATTTTTACTTAAAGTATACTATTTTTTAAACTCATTAACCTTTAAAGGGCCGGGATTTCAGAGGTTATATAATCAATAGAAAACTGGCATAAAAGGTATCTTAAATCATTGATCGATTATGGGCAAAGGGTCGATCTGGGGGTGCGCCAATATATTGGCTTTCCGGCCCTCTAGAGGTTAACGAACGATCTGACATACAACTTTGAGCCATTGTCATGTCCCAATGGAAACGAGAAAAGTTCTGAATACGATCATAGTTTCAAGTTTTTTATCTAAACTCAATTCACTTACTCACTATTGTTTATGAGAAAGAAAATATTAATAATTGTTGCGAAAAAAATATTTTCTTTCAAAAAAACAGCTAGAAAAATTATGCAGTTGCAAGTTGCTATATGATTCATTATCCACGGCGCATGATTGACGTAGAATGGCATTACTATCTAGATTCACAAAATGACAATTGAAAAGATTTATATAGTAACAGTTCCCGTTACCATTAGGATAAATTAATAATTAAATCAAAGAACGTCCTAGTACGCGTATCGCTGACTGACTCAGTACTAGGTGCGAAATTTCGCCCCGCGGCAGCGTCGTAGTCCAACTAAGGAAAGAAATTGATAGGAAAAGTGCAAAAATAATCACTCGTGGATTAAATTAAAGAAAATTACAATCAATTAATTTAGGTATTTGTTAACGTACGCAAAAATAGATGGCAATTCGTTGCCACACGCAAAACAAAAGTACGCAAATCGGCCCGTGACACCGCTTCGCGTGTCCCCAGAATTAAGTCATGCGATGATGAATAATCCTGCGATCTACACCTTAGCTTAGTATATTAGTAATGCTTAGTGTAGAAGGTCTATAAGGCGCTTTAACAATGGAATTAACTGTTTTTAGGGATATAACTGGTCAAAGTACTTCCAAGTGGGGTATTAAAAATGTTTGCTATTCCTGATTCATAATTCGATATTTTGGTCTGAAAAAATTTGTAAATATAGTTAAATACATACATTATAAGTAGCAACAAACTTGACTGCATTATTCACTTCCTTCTGCGAAAAAAAATCACGAAAAAAACGTCATTTTTGAGGCGCTAGATGAGAGCCTCCCCTTAAAACGTGTATAGTTTTAAATTGTCTTTGCAAAATGTAATGTATAGTCGAGATTTGATTTTTATTAGTTTTATTATACGAGCCTCGAAGAAGCATCTTGCTGTACGGCGTATTGAAAAAGCATATCACTAAACTGAAGGCTGAAATAGCATTGTGGTGAACGGAAATTAAACTGGCATCTTGCTGCTCTGTTCTTTGAACTTGCTAGGAGGAATCGACTTGAATTGAGCGGGGCCCTTTTATTATTGAGACAATTTTACAGTTTCCTAATTTAATGCAAGACTTATCTTATTGAGTCTACGTTCGTCCAACTTCATTTTCACATACTCGTGTAAAGCGCATCAACCTGTTGCTTGGCTGTTTGTGGTGGCTATGTGGCTAGACCAGCCGCTATACACTGCAAATTTCGAAAAAAAATTTCGTGTATACACGTGCACACCTATATGTATTTCGACATTTTTCAAAGTGTTAAATAAGCAGCTCACTAATATTAAAAAATTCAATTCAGTGTGTAGTGCTTTTTTTCCTCGTAACACGGAGGCTTGTAAACATTTGAGCGTTAAATAATCTTCGGGCATGGGGGTTTTCTAAGCTGTAGTAAACTTGAATGCAAGGCACGAGTGTGACGATAAACATCATTGAGCGAGTCAACTGAATCAAACTTTATTTTATTTATTCGTGTCACTAAAAAATAAAAAAGAACCAGATGAATTATAAATTTCGAAGAAAATTTAATAAAAGGAATTCTCAACTTAGTGACAACTAAACTCAAAACAAAATATAAATCCAATTAGGCTTTTGCAAAAATAACTTTTTTTTGTTTATTTTATAATATTTGCAAGCCTCCGGGTTTTTCATTTTATGAAATGAAATATTGAACAAATTTTTCTTTTTGGGAGTATGATCTCAGAAAGGAAATACATTTTAGATAGAGATTGTTTATTCAACAGTCGTAGTGTACTCGAAAGGCATTTTAGTGCTGCAAGTCAATTAATTTAATTGTTTATTTGAAAACCAAAAAAATATTTGTTTTATAATTTTTCAGAAATTTATATTGTAGACCTCATAGATTTTTTCACGAAAAATGCGAATCTAAATGATAAACCTCAACAATTGATTGAAAGGCTAGTTTTTATAGATTATAAATGTAGCCATAATAAATCTCGACATCAACGATCTCACCAAGTGAAGTGAATTCTGATTAAATCGCTCTCATACAAAAAATACATCGGATATTTATGCGTATGCTACAATGTACAAAATATATTTTTTATACGTCCGTACTTATTGCAGCCATATTTAAGCCCTTATCATAAATCAAATTGTCCTCTTTTATAAATTTACCATTAGGAAATCGTGCTTTTTGACAGCTAAGTCTAATATTACAGATATTGACGTGAGATAAGCCATGCATGCTTCACGGCAAAAAGAAAAAGACATTAAAAAATGTATATTTACAATAGGTCAACAATTTTTATATCGCACGTGTACATCATGAATAACGTTTTACCCTCTCTGCAGCTGCAAGCGGTGAAACATTAAGCATCGAACAGTAGCGCGCAGTGACAACTTTCGACAAATCGTGGCATCAAGCCAGCCAACATATCGTTGCGAATCAACTTTTATATTTTTCAGACACTGTGTCGTGTGCAATATGAAGTGTTCAAGAATTCAATTCGAAGTATAAAACGACGAACGAACGCATGTACGTTGCACGTACCAAATGGTAATATTTTCCTCCGAATAAACACGTAAAAACGTGCACTCTTCCTCTCTTTCTCTCTTTTTCCCTTCCATAGACGGGTTCACGAGCATTTGCCTAAACTTAATGAGTTAATTATTTTGTTCTCTAGCTGAAAGCTAATGATCCGTAAGCGATTCATAAATCTGTATTTTCTCTGATAACAATTTTTATGGCTATTTGCTATTTATTATGTAGCGTAAACTATTTTATACCGCTCAGTATTATACATTATCTATAGCGAGGATGAGTTAACTGCTATACAAATTATGGGTACCGTATGTACGTGCTCATATCCCGTTCTTAAGGTCTAAAAAGTAAATTATTTGTTTTATTAAAATAATTTTATTTTATATATAAGTAAACTATGTTGAACAAAGATGTAAACACATAATGCGATCAAGCGCAATTTCGTTTGTTTATTTTTCGAGCTCGGACGCGCGCGTACACTCAAAACATACACACGGCCTGCACAATTAGACTGCCTATACATACACTTAGCGGCAGTTTCAATTTGCTTCTCTAGCCGCAGTCAGTCCAGCGCCAACAATTACAGACAGTCTAGCGCGCACGTGTGTGTTTGCGTATGGGTGTGCGCTTGGCTGCAATTGCAGCGCAAATTGATTTGCATTATTCGATCTGTATAATGGTTGCTCCGCTGTTTGTGTCTATGCACGTGTGAATGACATCGTTTCCATGCATAAAATAAACGTGTACACGGACAAGAGAAAAACAGAGAGAGAGAGAGAGAGAGAGAAAGAGACAGAGTGATATTTTATTCGGACGTAGGGAGACTCGGTTAGCGATACAATAATATAATTAGATATAATTCTAGAAATGTAATGTAATAATAAGCGAAAAAGTTCAATTTTAATTTATTTGAAATGAGATAAAAATGAGCGTTAACGTGACAAGCATATGGTGAATGGTACGTAAAATATGTATGGTTAGAAAGTATTGTTGATGATTATTTGAATCATCGTACTGTGCAAATGCGATATTTTGACAATGAGTCCACGTTTGGCACTAAATTTTGTGGCGTTTTATTAACTTGTCCGAGATTTGAGCTTTGTAAGATCTTCTTCAGAATGAATTGACACAAGCGCGAATTCAGTAGACTTATAGACTCTACTGGACTCTACTAGATTGACTTATGAGGTTCTTGACGTTGAGTCGAGCGTAGCTGAGAATATGAGAGAGTGTCTTGTTTAGCCGTCAGTAAACATCTTTAGGACATAGCTCTTCGCCGATCGCCGCCCCAACAAAAATTTGTCTCCGG